TATTCAAGATCATGATGGCACGTCCCTTTGTTGAGCTGGACATGCACTTGACATTGTGTGGTGTCTGGTCAAGCATGATCATGGAGTCTTCAGGAGATCCTCAGGCCCTAGCATGGCAGGGAGGGTAGGGCTGAGTAGAGTGTTATGGATAATCATGGCAGACATATCAACAACATTCTCTAGTCTGGCAAGGAGAGGTGAGTTAAGATGGGGCAGGTAAATACTTTGAGTAGTCTTTAGAAAGGAATAAGGAAGGCACTGATGGGCCAGATTTGGGAATAAGCTAAGGTCAAGACTTAAGGGACTAGAGTTTAGGATTAATCACTGGTTGTGCACCAGTGAGGAGCAGGAGGGCTGGAAGCTCATAGGCTTGATGGTGTTAATAAATAGGTAGATTAATAATCATCACAAATTGCAACTGTATAATACATTCTTATACTAAAGTGCAAGCCTTGATAATTTTTTCTTTCTTCTTTCCTTCCTTTCTTTCTTATTCTTTATTTTCCTTCCTTCTCTTCTTTCTTCCTTCCTTCCTTTTCTATTTTTTTTTTTAAATGCAAGTGACTAGCTTAACTTTTGGTTGCTGAGGCATTGGCTCAGTCAGTTGAGCATCTGACTCTTGGTTTTGGCTCATGTCATGATCTCAGGGTCCTGGGATAGAGCCCTGCCTTGGGCTCCATGCTCAGTGCAGAGTCTGCTTGTCCCTCTCCCTCTGCTCCTCCCCCTGCTCTCTTTCTCTCTCATAAGTGAATAAAGTCTTTTAAAAAAATGGTCAAAGTACCAAAGAAGACATACAAAAGATCAACAGATACGGGAAAAGGTGCTCACTATCACTAGTCATTAGGGAAATGCAAACTAAAACCTTGCACCTGTTAGAATAGCCATCATCAAAAAGATAAGAGATAACAAATGCTGGCGTGGCTGTGAAGAAAAGGGACCCTTGTGTACTGTTCTGTTAGGAGGATGGTAATTTGGTGCAGCCACTGTGAAAAACAGTATGGAACCCTCAGTTTGTTTCCTGAGATTAAGAATTCCTCATATCAGTGAGGTCATATGAACAAACTGAGGGTTGCTGGAGTGGTGGGGGTGGGAGGGATGGGGTCGCTGGGTGATGGACATTGGGGAGGGTATGTGCTATGGTGAGCGCTGTGAATTGTGCAAGACTGTTGAATCACAGATCTGTACCTCTGAAACAAATAATGCAATATATGTTAAGAAAAAAAAAAAGAAGAAGATAGCAGGAGGGGAAGAATGAAGGGAGGGAAATCGGAGGGGGAGACGAACCATGAGAGACGATGGACTCTGAGAAACAAACTGAGGGTTCTAGAGGGGAGGGGTTTGGGGGGATGGGTTAGCCTGGTGATGGGTATTAAAGAGGGCACGTTCTGCGTGGAACACTGGGTGTTATGCACAAACAATGAATCATGGAACACTACATCAAAAACTAATGATGTAATGTATGGTGATTAACATAACAATAAAAAATTTAAAAAAATAAACAGTATGGAAGATCCTCTAAAAAGAAAACACAGAGCTACCATGTGATCCAGCAATTCCACCTCTAGACATATGGAGGATATGTCTAAAGGAAACAGAAACACTAACTTGAAAAGGTATTTGTACTGCCATATTCATAGAAGCATTATTCATGTTAGCCAAGACACAGAAATAACTTGAGTGTCCATCAGTGGATAAATGGATAGAGAAGTTGTGGTATGTCAGTATATATATGGAATATTATTCAGGCATAAAAAATGGGGAAATTCTACCTTTGTGGTAACATGGATGGAGCTTGAAGGCATTATGCCAAGTGAAACAAGTCACACAGAGAAAGATAAATACTGTATCACCTCACCTATATATGGAAAAACAACAACAAAAGCTTCCGAACTCATAGAAAAAGAGATCAGGTTTGTGGTTACCAGAGGTGGGGGCAGGGAGGGGCAAGTGGAAAAAGGGGATCAAAAGGTACAAACGTCCAGGTGTAAGATAAAGAAGTACTAGGGATGTGACGCACAACATTACATTAGCCAACACTGCTGTGTGATATATAGGAAAGATGTTAAGAGAGTAAGTCCCGGGGCACCTGGGTGGCTCAGTCAGTTAAGCGACTGCCTTTGGCTCAGGTCATGATCCTGGAGTCCCGGGATCGAGTCCCACATCGGGCTCCCCACTCAGCAGGGAATCTGCTTCTCCCTCTGCCCCTCCCCCCTCTCACGTGCTCTCTCTCTCTCTCTCAAATAAATAAATAAAATCTTAAAAAAAGAGAGAGAGAGTAAATCCCAAGAGTTCTCATCACAAGGAGAAAAGAAATGATTTTTTCTTTTCTTTTTTTCTTTTTATGGTAGTTGTATGAGATGATGAATGTTAGCTGAAGCTATTGTGGTGATCATTTCACAATATATGTAAATCAAACCATTACGCTGTACTCCTTAAACTTATACAGTAATAGAGTATACGGGTTAATTATTTCTCAATAAATACAGAAAAAAAAGAGGCAGTCATTTAAGAGATGGCTATCTTGAATAAACACATTGCCAGCCACACGACTAGATAAAGAGCCGGGCTGCGATCCCTCCCACCTCACCACTCAAATCTCCATTGTCTTAGAAATCTATGTTGAGTTTATTTGATAACTATTTGAGCTGCTTGTTTTTTCTCCTCCTGTACTTTCAATTCCCACTGTTATGGGGTTTTTTAATTTTTTTTAGAGGTGGTGAGGGGCAGAAAGAGAATCGTAAGCAGGCTCCATGCTGGGGCTCAATCTCACAGCCCTGAGATCATGACCTGAGCCAAAATCAGGAGTTGGATGCTTAACTGACTGAGCCACACAGGCTCCCCTCTTATGGGTTTTTTTAAAAAAGGTTTTATTTTTAAATACTCTCCACCTAACATGGGGCTCAAACTCACAACCCTGAGATCATGCTCCACCTACCAACCCAGCTAGCCAGTGCCCCTCCACTCTTGTTTTAAATTCACCAATAAAGAGTGAGCTTGCAAAACCCTAAGCACCCACCCTCTACCCCAGTAGAAGCAGAATCCCAGGCCCGAGCTATGACTTCACTGTGTGGCCCCAGGTGTGCCATGTAATTTCCAACACTTACAAGTAATAAACCTCATCTCTTTCAAAGTCTCCTGATGGTTATTCCTGAGGGCGTCTTGCAATCATAAGGAGAACCCCAAGGGCTGGTCCAGCTACAATACTGATTATCAGTAGGCTGAGACTGGCACACAACACATACATTTTCTCATCTGAATTATTTTCTGGGCCAGTATTGCTATATGACTTCCTAATACCCACATAGACATTTTAATATATGAGGAAACAGACTCAGAGAAGTTAAGGGTTTTTCCTTTGTAGCTACTTAGGGGTAAAGTTGGCACCAGAATCCTGGTCTCTGATCCAGCGTTCTTTCACTTCTGTCAGAGAGATTCCTTCAATATAGAGGGTTGGGAGCCAAAGGCATTTGGCCTTTAGGAAGAGGTGGGGTGGGACCAATGAGGAGAGGAGCCTGGGGCAGGCTTATGGAGATGGGCAGAAACTCTCCCTGCCACAGGTTGGCTGGCGAACTTTGTGACCCAGCAATTCCACTCCTAGATACATACCCAAGAGGAATGAATGCATTATGTCCACCAAAGACAGGTGCGAGAATGTTCATTGATGTTTTATTGAGAATTATCAAAAACTAGAAACAACCCAAATGTCCATCAATAGAAGAATGGATAAACATTTTGGCACATCTCTATAATGGAATACAACTCAGCAATGAAAATGAATATACTACTGATACATACAACAATATGGATGAATCACAAAGACATTGTGCTGAGTGAAAAAAGCCAGTTTCCAAAGGATGCATTCAGTATGACCAAAACTAATCTGGAGTGACAGAAATCACCTCAGTGGTTGCTTCTACTGATTGAGGGAGACTGACTGGAAGGGGTACAAGGAAGTTTCTGAGGGTGATGGAAATGTTCTATATCTTGACTTGGGTAGTGTTAACACATGTACACGTAACTTTAAGATTTGTACACTTTGCTATATACAAATTATACTTAAATTTATATTTAAAAAACTAAAGTTCAACTTTTTAGGAAAGGGTCAGTTACAGAAGGAAAAGGAAGTATCTCAAAGAGCCGAGTATGGAGGGGACATCCCAGGCTGCCTCCTGTGTGGGGTGACCAACTTTGTCTGAGTTGCCTGGGATTGAGGCATTTCCGAGGACAGGAGACTTTCAGTGGTTGTATGGAGAGAGTCCTGGGCAAACCAGGACAGCTGGTCACCCCACTCCTGTGGGAATAGGGAACTGAGAGGGAGTTTTGGACGTCTGGCAGACAGGCTGGATTCCCTTGGTCTCAGACCCCAGGGGCTGCTCCACAGGCTCAGAAAGGGACCACAAAAAGGGACCAACCAGCAATGCCTACTGTCACAGCAGTAGGCATTGCTGGTTGACCACCGGAACATCAGTACTAGGGAACCATGCTTGTTCTCTGAGCTCCCTTTAGGAGCAAGAAGGGGTCGGGAGCAGAGCTGGAGGGACAAGGCCTCAGAGACTGAATAGGGTGTGACTGTCCAGGTTCGAAGTATCATGGCTTCTGAGGTAGGCTCTGAGGTGAGTCCCACTTAGCTCTCTCTTCACATCAGATATCCCCACCCCATCATCCCTCAAGTGCCTTAGCCAAGAAAATACCAAAGCAACACATTGATTTTGTGCAAGGAAAACAGAGACATGGGGACCTATCAGAGGCAACTGCTGTTGTATCTCTTCACCTCTACGGATGTCACAAGGCAGGGGCTGTCCCCACCCTGCTTTTGTTTGCCATAACCTGCTGTGACTTGAACCAGAGGGGCCTTCTCTACCTTCTCAGAGCATAGGACAGATGGGGCCATGAGGGAGGGGCTCTTCCAGCTTTCTAGCTGAGGCCTGAGGTGGATTCTGACAGAGAAACTGTTGGCAGGGCTGCCCACAGAGGGGAAACAGGAACCAGGAAGTTCTCAGAGGTTCTCAGAAGTTCTCGTAGTGGTGCACGAAGTGGGCCTGGTCCTGCCTATTGATGAGCTGACAAGCCTTCTCTACATTCTTGGTCATTCCTGGAGGGCCACAGCTGAACACCCCAATCTTCGGTACCTGTCAAGTGTGTTGAGGGGAACGGTTGCAGAAAGGAGAGGCCTGAAGGCTTAAGATGCTCACCCCTGGGAGGAAGCTGCTTCTCAAGCCTGCTGGAATGGCCAAGGCATTGACCCTGGCCCTAAGGAGGAGGCTTGAGCTGGGGGCAGCAGGGGGTCGGGCTTGAAGCCTTCCTCCACACTTGACCCTATCCTGGGGCTGGCATGGGGTGTTCCTCCCCTCAGATTACATCTGCAGGGTGCTTGAGGGCAGGATATCCTGGAAGGGGAAAGTCAGGGTCCCAGGACAGGTGGGGTGGGACTGACCTGTGGGTGGACCTCCTGCAGGGACTTGAAGAAGGGCTCGAAGGGGGGGCGGCCAAAGTGGGTGATGGAGCGCAGGCCCGTGAACAGACTCCGGTTCAGCACCTTTTGGAAGTGTCGCTCACAGATGTACTAGGAGAGGAAGTAGAGGAGGAGGGTCACAACCAAGCAGAGTCAGGGTCAGTTCTTGGTCTAGATGGTGACCCACCTAGCCGCCCTGGCTGGCTGGCCCTGACCTACCAGCATGGTGGTCCTGAGGTCAAACTTCTCAGCCAGCTGGGTGATGTAGATGTGCACGGACACCAGGTCCTGGCGGTCATTCTCCTCCACCTCCCGGATGATGTCAGCCAGCCACTCAAACTGCCGCTGGGTGCGCGTCACCCAGATGAAGTAGATCTGGGGACACATGGCGAGAGCTCAGGACCTGGCTTAGCTCAAGGTTCCTCCACTCCAGATGCCTTCACCTGAGAGGCCGGAAAGCCTCTGACCACCCACAGACACCAAACCTCGGCAGCCCCACATCTTTTAACCAACAGACCCCAGCAGAGGCCCTTCTGTCTATACCTCCTACCCTCCCTCCAATGTTGGGCACGTGGACAACTGCGTACGAATGACCCCTAGACTCAGCGTCTAGGAGCTTAGGGCTTTTCCTCATATTACTCTGCTGTGACATGGGGACACAATCAGGCAGTCTGTCCCCATTCCTTCAAAGAATGGGAGAGAGACACTCACCTTTTTACAGAGCATTTGGCTGCCCAAGGATGACTTGAAGACCAGGTCTTTGAGGATGGAGGCAAAGGGGGTGACCCCAATGCCCCCTCCCACCAGCACTGACACCTCAAACTTATGCCACTCCTGGTGGCCCTCTCCAAATGGTCCATCAAGGTACAGCTGCCAACCAAAGGGAGAGAAGAGATGAGCCTGGTCTGGCCTCAGCTCTCAGGTTAGAAATGGGCGTGGGGCAGGGAGAGGAAGGATATGGCAACATCCCAGCCTCTTCTGAGGTACCCCAGCCTGGACTTGCGCTGGCTGGAGCTTCTAGTCTCAGGGTTGGGGAGGGTGGGAACCCTTTGCCAATGCTGGAGCCCCAAAAGTGATTCCCAGTGGTTGACACCTTTGGGTATCTGGCACAGCCGTCACCCGTTGGAGGTGAGTAGATCTCCCTGAGCCGAGTGGTCCAGGGGCCTGCTGCCCGGATGTGCAGGCTGAGAGTGTCCTCATGGGGTGCAGAAGTCAGTGTGAACGGGTGGTACTCGTTGGTTCCCAGAGCCAGGCAGGCGATCCGCACCCACTGCCCTGACTTGTACTCAAAGCCATGGGGCCGCTGGAACTGCAGGTGGGTCACTCCTGGAGGTCATGGGCAGGCAAGGGCAGGGATCAGAAGCCTTGCTCCTAGTACCTGAGGACTGGCAGACACCCTGTCTTCTCCACACACCTGAGGCACCCCCCAACTCCCACCCTGACCGCAGCTGAGCTTCAGGCCTGTTCTCTCTTTGTTAAAAAAGTTGATTAAAAGAAAAAAAAAAAGTTGATTTGTGAGTACCGCAGAGTGCAAAGGGTGTACTAACACCATGCTGAGGCTTTGTCCTTGAGTAATCTTAACTGACATAAAGTTGAAATGAGGTTCATTTTCGTACTTAGTCCTGAAGATTAGATGGTCCCACAACAGCTAAAATACGTGGGAGCTGGGGGACAGGGGCAGGCACAGGGAGTGGGCATATGGTCTGAGCAAGTGGGGTTCCTGGGGGTGGAAGTTGGAGGATCCCCTTCTCTCTTTCCTGGGTAACCCAAGAGCTGGGTTTCTCTGCTCCTGGTTCCAGCTCTCTCTTCCCCTCCACTCCTTATTCCCACGAAAGGCCCAGGCCCTATACCACCGTCCTGAATATCAGCCTACAAGTCAGGGGACCTCAGGTTCCCCGAGGACCATCTCAGTGTTTACCAAACCTCCACCATTTGAGAATTACCTTTGTGATGGGCCACTTCTGGACACCTCTGCATTATTGTTTACCTAATGTTTTTCTTTAAATTGACTTACTTTTCAATTTGATTTACCTTGACAAACTTTAGATCACTAAGATGGGTGGAAAAACAGTATCATGTGTTCTAAATAGAAGGCACCACATTTTATCAGATTTTAACTGGATACTGTTTGGTACCTGACCACAGCTGAGCTTCAGGCCTGTTCTCTCTTTGTTAAAAAAGTTGATTAAAAGGAAAAAAAAAAAGTTGATTTGTGAATACTGCAGAGTGCAAAGGGTGTACTAACACCATGCTGAGGCTTTGTCCTTGAGTAATCTTAACTGACATAAAGTTGAAATGAGGTTCATTTTCTTACTTAGTCCTGAAGATTAAATGGCCCCACAACAGCTAAAATCATCTGTCAGCCTCCACAGTGATGTGAACCCCCACTCTGGTCAACAGGGACTCTCAAAAACAGGCTCTCGAAATGTGGGCCAATTGCCCATCTCTGAAGGGGGGTTATTCTAGGAGAAGGGAGGGGTATATATGGTTCCCCAAGCTGCACCCAGGCCGCACACAAGGGGGCGTCTGTGTTGTCCTTAAACCTCTCTGTATGAGGCCTGGGTGGCTCAGTCGTTGAGCTTTTGCCTTCAGCTCAGGTCATGATCCCAGGGTTCTGGGATCGAGCCCCCCATCCGGCTCCCTGCTCAACAGGAAGCCTGCTTCTCTCTCTCCTGCTCCCCCTGCTTGTGTTCCTGCTCTCGCTGTCTCTCTCTGTCAAGTAAATAAATCACATCTTAAAAAAAAAAAACACAAAACAAAAAACACCTCTCTGTATGCACTTCCAACTGCCTCTTCTCATGGTCACTTCTCATTGTTTGCAAGTCGTCCTGGGGGCAAGCATAGCTGGGGCTCTGTTCGCATCAGGAAAGTTGCATGGGTTCCCCAAGGGGCTATCAGAAACCTCAGTGGTGGTCTGGAGGCCTGGGGAGCTGTCTCCACACATCCCATGAGTTGGCTTCCAAGGCTCCTCTCCCTGGGGTCAGGCTGGGCCTGGTACCTGAAGGCAGCAGCTCCGCCTTCACCACGCTGATCTCCACCTTCTTCCGGCTCAGGCTCACCAGCTTGTCCCCCACATAGATTAGTGCCGGGACCAGGAAGAAGATGTGGAAACGGGGCAGCTGGATCAGGCCGAAGCTGCCGTGGATGATGAGCTGGAGACACGGCCAGTTAGTACAGCTCAGGCCCAGCCAGGCCCCCTTCGTGCACTCCCCTTGTCCAGACACTTCCTGCCTGGGCCCTCAGCCTGGGCTGGGTAGATGAAGCTGGTATAGACTTCAGAGACTGGGGTCTCCCACCTCAGGGTCTCACTCTGAGATCTTAGGTCCAATTCAGCCTGCTCCCTACCCTGCTCATCCCTGCCCCATGGCTTGGCCCTGCCCAGAGGAAGCCCTCACCAGCACGTAGAGCAGGATGTAGAGGTGGTGGGTCAGCCAGAAGCCCCGGAAGCTGCGGCGCCGGAAGTGGTGGGAGGCGAAGACATACATGATGGCCAGGACCAGGAGCAGGAGCACCCCTGTCATACCTGGGCGCAGGGGGACAAGGTGGGAGAATACTCTCGGGACCTCCGCGTGGGCTGACAATACAACAGAGCCTTCCCCCACTCTGCCCTCCTTCTCCGACCTCCCTGGCCCCCAGAACAGCTTGCCTGCAGGGGCTGCAGCTGGGGCTTGTCCTGGAGACTAGAAAGAAACCATGACCACGACAAACAAGGATGTACTTATGGGAAGATGAGGACAAGCAGAGATTCTCAGATAGAACCCCCAGACCCCACACACAGCCCCACTCCCTACCTGGGACCGTCTGGAAGAACCACCAGTAGAACTTTTGCGGAAGCTGGGACCTGTAGGGCAAAGGTGTATGGAGCTTCTGGCTGGGGCAGGTTTGGCTCCCCCATTGTCACAATGTGACGCTGCTCCCGCCGGCCCTGACTGCTGAGCTTACTGGGCCTCCACTTAGAAGGCCAGGGGTCCGTTCCAGGAACAGGGCACCTAGCCTCCCACAGATCTACCCTCGGCTCTCTCGGTCGTTCTTCCTCCTGTGTTATCTTGAACTCTCCTACTGCAGCTGACATTTGCTTCGTAAGCTCCGTGGGGGCAAGGGTGTGGCTCTGCTCTGCTCATTGCTCTAATCCCTATGCTCAAACAATGCCAGGCACGCAGTAGATACTCAGTATTTGCTAAATGGTTGTGTGAATTTGGCCTGCCTGTTCTCTGGCACCTGGATGGGCACATAAGATGTGCTCCATAGATGTTTGCCCAGTGAACGGACGATAGGCTAAGATGCCATGCCCTTTGCTGGGTACATGTGGGAAAGGGTCTCCAATTCATCTCCAGAACATCTTTCCTGGCTAATCGTGGCCAGCTTCCTTCCAGGGCAAGGAAGTCACCTTTCAGCTTCCCGAGCAGGCTTCTCACTCTCATTCAAAGAGAGAGTAGGGTGTCTAGGGCCATCTATTTCTTTTCCATTATGCCCTTCGGCCTGCCCCAAGTGTCCCAACGGGGAGCCCTCCCCAGAACTGACCCATCATTCACAAAGACGTTGGGGAAGATGCAGGCCAGCAGGCTGAGGGGACTGACTGAGAAGATGAAGACATTGACAGCGTGGCCAGCACTGTGCAAAACTGAGAGAGACCCCGTTAGAGATGCCATCCAGGGCCGATGGTACCTCCCACCCTGAGGGACAGAGGAGGCCCAGGGAGGAGAGAGAGGGGAGTATAAGTAGCTCCTGTCTCCTCACTGTTTCCCCCACAGCTAGACCCAGGGGGGTGCAACAGTGCGGAGGAGGGTGCCCAGGAGCCACGCACTGGCCAGGACAACAGCAGCCATGGCGATCCAGCGATGGAAGTCCACGGCGGCGTCGAAGGGCACGTAGCGGTTGAGGAAGGTCTCTCGCAGGAAGGTGATGAGGTTGCGGCACATGGTGAGCAGGATGTAGGAGAACATGAAAGAGATGCTGGCGGCCGTGCCCCGGGACAGGATGATGCCCACAAAGGTGGTCTCTGCGATGCCCGAGGGTGGCGAGGCAAAGGCATAATCTGGGGAGGAGGCGAGGGGTGGATCAGCATGGCACAGAGGCTGGGGGCCTGGGCCTGAGTCGACACACCTGGGCTCCAGTGGGAAGAGCCACCAGAAGGCTCTCCATGTCTCCCTTCCCACTGCCCGCAACCTGGAGCTCTTACAGTAGGCCCGCTCTGCAAACAGGCCCGCACAGATGGCCGAGAAGATGGCAACGCACACGATGTGCCGCCGGTAGTTCTCCACGAAGCGCTTGTACTGCCGAAGCTTTTGGGCCAGGAGGCCCCGTTGCATCTTCTCCTTCAGCGCCTCTGTGTACAGCTGGGGAGCGGGTCCCACCGCCCTGCAGCCATGGGAGGCAGGTGGCTGTTAGATCAGGGCGCCCCAGTCTCCCCCGCATGCCACCCCATGAAGGAGACCTGGTGACCTGGCAGGGTCAGGAGGGGCCAGAACAGATGAAGGAAACAGCATCCGGGGAGTAGACTCCTCTCCCCACCCCAACTTTTACCTCTCATCTTTATTTGCTCCATCTACCCCCACTCTTCTGTCTCCCCACTACTCCACTTCATCTTCCTCTGTCCGTCTGTCCTTCCCTCTTGCTGCTCCCTACACAGGCCTTGCTGCTGTGCCCAAAGAAGGCAGGAGCCAGGAGACCCCTTACTGCCATCTCAGTATTGCCTCTGAGTGCCAAGCCCCTGCCTGATGATGAGGGTGCAGAGGTTGGAAGATGTTGAAGAATCCTTTGACTCTGTGGCCCACCGGTCAAGGAATGAGACACATGACCTTGTGTGTCCAGGAGGGGTGGGCAGGGCCAGAGACTCTGAGACTTCTCCCCATGTTTCCTTGGGCCCGAGGTTCTGGAAAATACTCACTTTTTGCCAAACCTCTTCTTCAGCCCAGGGCCTCCCAGCTCTGGGGCTTCTGAGGCAGGGAGCTCCAGTTTCTGGGAGCAGGAGCTGAGAAATGGAAAAGGGGGCTTGTTCTCCCCATGTCTTTGCAGCCAGGAGAAGAACCCCCAGATCAGAACTTCAGGAGATGGGGATGGATCCTGGGACCCATCCCTGCCCAGAGAACCTGCCCATAAAATGGGTCAGAGAGAAGCCAGGCAGGAGAGGCAGGGCAGAAGGAATGAATATGATCCGGTCATCTGTTTTAGTGAAGGATTCTGTCCTGGAGCGGCAGGGAGAGAGCCAGCCTCCTGAGCCGCATGGGGTGTGGGAAGCACTGGAATTTGGGCCAGGATCAATCATGGACTAAGAGCTACTTTCAGAGGGCAAATATCTGGTCCCAGGCACTGACTCAGCCAGCCCTACTTCCTTCATTTCTCTTCAGGGGGCCTGCCGATACCCCATTCTTGCTCACCGTTCCCCCCGAGTCCGAGCGATGAATGAGACTCGACAGCTGATGTTTGGTTTAAAGATGTCTCCAACACCTGAAGTGAAGAATGAGCGTCTGGAAGTGTGAGAGACTGCTCCCACCCACTTCTCTAGGAAGGCTGCCACCGCACTTGCTAGTGACTTTGTCACGTTCTCATCTCTTGTTGCTGCCCTGTTCCCCTCACTGCCCACACTGAGTACCCATTGTACACAGGGCAGCCACTGCTAGACGAGGTGGTGACTTGGCACAATTAGGAAAGGGAACTGCTACAGGCAGATGCAACCCTGCATCCTTTGTATAAACAAAATAATGCCTCTTCCTCTGACTAGATATGCCCCAGGCCAGTGTGCACTAGCTTAGTGAGTGGCATGTAGGCTGGATTTCAGCCCACCCCCCGACCGCTCAGGAGGCATCTTTGTGCAGTGCACAAATTGCACAGCTGTATGTGACACGCTAAGTGCCTGGCTCTATACTAGGCACAGAAGACTTGGGGAGAAATAAAACCTGGGTCCTATCCACCAGTAACTCTCATTTTGAAGGAACACCCCTCCCTGATTCCTACCACTTCTAACATACTCACACACCTCCACCTTTGACGCAGAGCTGCGTGAATCGGAGCTCGCTGTCATGGTCCCGCAGCATGAAGTGGAAGTCCTCCCACGTCAGCTCCTCCTTATCCTGGAAGCCAGACTCCCGGAACATGGACTCCACCACCTCTGTTAGCTGGGCCTTGGACAGGCAGTTGTTGGAGATCTCGATGAAGGACCTGGGGGAGGAGGAGAGACAGAGCCGCCTGTCATCCGGCAAGGTCAGGTTCAGGCAGGCGGAGGGTGGGGCGGGCCCCAGATTATCTAATGTGGTTACCAGTGACCCGGGAAATATCACTGAGAAGGTGTTCATCGAGAATGCAGCTGACGTGAGGCTGGGTGGGGTGGCCAAGGGTTTGAAATTGAAAGTGACCTTGACCAATTAGAGAAAGCAGCCCTCAAACAAGGGGCCATTGAGAGGTGGGATGAATGTCCATTTAGTGTAGGGACACGTCCATATGGGCCATGGGCTTCTCGCGTGGCAGGCTCTCTGCCCACTCTCTCGTGTTGACACATCCCACGCCACCGCTGGCCTCCCCCTTTCACAGTCCAGTAGGGTCACAGATAGCCCGGGTGTAGGGGGAGGAGATGTAGCTACAAGGCTGCTGCTTCCTTGTGTCAACACCCCAGGGTACATGCAAGAGTGTCTCCACACCCCATCTGATAGCACCCAGACTGGCAGATGAAGTGGCCATACTTTTTTCTTAGGCTGTGCTTTGGGACACAAACCAACCAACCATGCACGTTTGTGTGAGTCCAACAGAAAAAGACCTTTGTGTGCATGGCACAGCAAACACATTTAAAAAAGGCATCATCCAAGTGAGACTAAGCAAGAGTCACAACTGGGTAAAGGAGGAGACGGTGGTTGCTCAGCCCTGGGGGACAAGGACCCTCTCCTGGATTCCCTAGAGCCTCACCCAGGCCTGGGCCTGCAATGGCACACCCAGTGAGGGATGGACAGCAATCGGCTTCACCCTCGCCTTTTAAAGATTGATTGATTGATTGGATTGATTTGAGAGAGAGATTAGGGGGAAGAATGGAGGGAGAGAATCTCAAGCAGGCTCCACGCTGAGCATGGACCCAATGCAGGGTTTGATCCCCCAACCCTGAGATCATGACCTGAGCTGAAATCAAGAGTCAGACACTTAACCGACTGAGCCACTCAGGCAGCTCCACCCCAGGCTTTCAGATGCCCATGCCCAGCTGTGGGATCTGGGCTGCAAGAGGGATGCGGCAGTTAGGGGGAATGCTGAAAGCAATGGAAAGGCTTGAGGTAGGAAAGGTAAAAGACTTCGCACCATTTTATGCGTTCTATTTATTCATTTGCTCATTTATTCCATCTGATTCAGGTAAGTTTGTATTGAATACCTGCTGTGTGCCAATCACAGCACAGAAGAGGTGGATCCGGTGGGAAACAAAAGAGAAATAAGACCCCTGGCGTTATGGAGCTGAAGAGGACTGTGTTACCGGAACAGTGTCTTCAGGAATAAGAAGTCTATGCACTAAAAACTGGTCTTTTTTTTTTTTAGGATTTTATTTATTTATTTATTTGAGAGAGAGAGAGAGAGAAACAGCATGAGAGGGGAGAGGGTCAGAGGGAGAAGCAGGCTCCCCGCTGAGCCGGGAGCCCAATGTGGGGCTCGATCCCAGAACCCTGGGACCACGACCTGAGCTGAAGGCAGATGCTTAACCAACTGAGCCACCCAGGTGCCCTCAAAACTAGTCTTTATCAGCACACCATAACCAGAAATAGCTTACACAGCAGGAAAAAAGGAAGGGTTGGAGTATAGAGGAACTTCCCATGTTTCTCCTCCCACATGTCATGGTGATTAATACAGGAAGAGTGACCAAGGTCATCTGTCCTCCATCCATTATTTCACAGTGCAAAGCACAGTGTTATGTATGGTAACAAGAGTTTACAAAGGTCCAAAGCATCCAAAACGGGCTAGTAGACTTTTCTGTTATTAGTTATATTGGTTTGTTATTTGTTTGTCTTTAACTAGGGAAGGAGAATTTTCTGTCTGGTATAGACAGTGCAGATAATAGACCCTCCTGGAGGCAGGGGCCTGGCCAGATAAACTTAAGAAGCTGGAGCCTCTGAGAGTCTAGGAAGCAGTAGCTAAGCCACCTTTCAATACAGATGGTCACACAGCCTCCTTGCCCACCCTCTGATTTGACTTTCCCTGTTTCAAACAACAGGGAGTCTCAGAACTAGAAGGGCCCATACCATACCGCATCATGGTGAAGAACTCATCCTTGGAGAGGAAGCCATTTGCATCAAGGTCATACATGGTGAACATCAGGCGGGACTTGTCCTCTGGGGAGCCTGGGAAGAGAAAGAAGGATGCAGGTCACCTCTGTGCTGAAAGATTGCTGGTTCCTGGAATGGCCCACCCTCCCCCTACCTTTCATGAAGACCACCAGGATGTCCAGAAACTCCCGGAAGGACAGGTAGCCATTGCCATCTTTGTCAGCCAGGGAGAACATGGACTCCACAAACATGTCCTGGGGCTTGAGGCCCAGGGACTCGGCAAACTCAGCTCTGCTCAGCTCACAAGTCAGGGCCTCCCGTACCTTCTGTGATGAGTCCAGGGGCAGGGTCCCTGCGTCCGCCTGGTCGATGTTCAGCACCTGCACCCGGGCAGCAGCAGAGGGAGAGAGAGAGAAGGAGGTGAGGCCTGGGCTGGATACAGTTCAGTGACCCTTCCCATCTCCCCAAAGTCCAGTTCAGAAAGGGTGAGCCCCAGTGGCCACTCCCGGTCCTTATATATACTGCTGACTTGGGCTTCTGCTCTCCTGTTGAGGCAGTGACTCAAATCTCTAGCAGCCAGTCCATTTTCTCCCCAGACCCAAGATCCAGGAGCTTTATAGAGTAGGAATGGTGCTAGGTCTCAAGGGGAGCGGGTGGGAATGAGAAAGGGCAAAGATGGGGATGCAAAATGAAAGAGCCTATCCTGGGGACAGAAGATGAAGTAGACAGGGGTGGAAAGGCAGAAAGAGGCTAGGGATATGTTCTTTCGTCAATTTAGACGGGGCTACCACATGACTGATTTGGTCTCTGCCCATTGTGCAAAGATTTTAAAAGTCCTATACATGTAACTACCATTTGTTAAATGCCTACAATGTACCAAGCACCTGGTCTAAACACTATACATAGAACAGTGTTTTTCAAACTTGAAAGCGTATCAGAATCCCCTGGAGGGCTTGTGGGCCCCAACAGCAGAGTTTCGGATTTACTAAGTTCGGTGGGGAGTGCTGAGGCTTTATATTTCTAACAAATCCCCAGGTGAGGTGAGGTGAGGTGGCTACTGCTGGTCCAGGGGCCACGCTTTGAGAACCACTGATATGGACTATCTCACTGAATCGTCGCAGCAACTCAAGGTGGTGGATCCTATTTTAATCATTGTTGAATAGATGAGGAAATGGAGATACAGAGCAGAGATGTGACTTGCCCAAGGTCAGGCAAGGAGGGAGTGGCAAAGCTATGATTCATTCAAGGCTGTCTGTCTCCAGCCCACAGACCAGAAGCTTAGTTCACCCCGTGTAGGATCCTGTCCAGCCCAGGTTCTCTCCAGCCCCTGGGCCAGGTCCTGTCTCCAAGACACAGCCATGGCACCTGGGCAAACAGGTGTCTGAAGAAGATCTCCAGGATGCGGCCCCGCTGCTGCTTGGTCACAGCCCTCCTGAACAGCTCGTTCTCTCTCATCTCAGCCACATTAAGGCCCAGAGCCCACTGCACACAGAAGTCCTGCAGATGCTGCACGAAGGTGCCCCGCTCCTCCTCAGAGTTAAACAGTAGTACCTGGGTGGAAGGAAGCCTGTGCCGGTGCTCGGAGCTTCAGCTCTGGCGCAGCCTCCCCTCAAAAAGACCTTGAGTTTAGGGAAGGGGAGAAAAGTTGTCCCCCCTCCAAACCATCCAGGCTGGAACCAGATGAGTGGCCCAAAGGGGGGGGTCAGAGGGAGGGTCACGTGGAATGTAAGGTCTGCTGAAAGGGTGCCTCTGCCCAGCATTGCCTTCACAGGGGAGCTCTGCAGCTGAGGAGAGGGTGAGCTGACAGGACTTGCTCAGAGAAGGGAGACAGAGGAGCCTTCCAGGTAGGGCAGGCAGGACGGCCATACCAGGTCATACTCCTTGGGGATCTTGAGCAGCAGGGTCCAGCGTCTGCGGTTGCTGGACAGGATGAGGTTGACCTGCTGCGGGGGCTGCAGCTGGATGGTGCGGAGCACAGAGAGCCGCCTGTCCAGGACCTGCAGACGCCTGTCTGGGAGCAGCTGGATGGTGATGGGGTAGCTCTTCTCCCTGGGGCCCGGCCACTCCATCGCTGGGCAAGGGACGATTGGGCAGAGCAGTTCAGCAGAGGTACCCAGGCCCCTGACCTCAAGCCAATTCCACTCTACCAGTCTGAGCAGGCCACCCCAAAGCCTGGCTTTCTCCCCATATCTGTACTCTGGTTTTTCTCCCAGGGCTTCCTATCCGGCCCCCAGCTCCCTCCCCCCGCCCCACCCCTCTCACCTGGCACACCATCTTTGACTGCTTCTTTCTTCACACTCTCTTTGCCTTTCTTCTGTAGCCTCTTGCACTCTCGGCTCCGGAAATGGGCCACCACCCCAGAGATAAGCAGACTCACTGAAAGGGATCAGAAGGAGCCAGTGGAGAGGGGAGCCCCTCACCTGCAGCTTCACTGAGGGCTCTGCTATTGCCCCTCTCTTCACAAGGGTCCCCTGAGCCGGGCTTTGATGGTAGCAAGGAGCTCGTCCCACTGACCAGCAGGTTACGAGGAGCAGGGACAGTTGGCGGGCAGGGGAACGGCCAGGGAAAAAGGGGTGGGTGTGGGTGTGAAGAGCTCACCGAGCGGAAGACAGCAGAGAGCCACAATGGTAATGCCAAACCCAGGACCGCTGCCCTCAAAGTAGTCCAACATGGTCAGGGGCACACAGTGCGGCAAGCCTTGGGTTGTGAGCTGCCGAGGCTGAGGGCACGGGGCATCTGAGGGAAAGGACACAGAAGGCCTCAAAGTCTGAGCACCTCACTCATGGCCAGGCACTCCTCCTCTCTCTCCGGTAAAGGAGTAGGTACCATTCTCCTTCCAGGCCCACCTCTCTGGAGCTTGTTCCCCTCAGTAAGTTCCCTTCCATATCCTGTTCTCATCACCCACCCCAGCTTGAGCACAGAGTGCAGCCTGCGAACTAGTCCAGTCCCTGCTAGGAGAGGCAGCCTATTGCAGGCTTCCCAGCACCACAGCGAAGGGGCTGCCTGGCATCTGCTTCCCTGGATAGGACCAAGTGATTTGCTGCTCCCCCATCCTTGGTCCTTTCTCTGGTTGCCATTCACTATGTTCTCCCAGGCCACCCACCTGCATGCCAGATAAAGACATTGGGCTGCAGGGCACTGGGATCCACGTTGATAACAGCCAGCAGCACATCCCAAAGAGTAGTGTTTCTGATTTCTGCGATTTCCTTTTTGGAGAACAGCCTAAGTTGGAGAAAGCCAGGAAATTTTGGGATGGGAAGGGGCTGCCAGCCTCCAGCATTCTCGGACCCAGGGACCCAGATGAGGGAAGAGACCCAGAGGGGCTGAGGAGCACGGGAGGCCAGCTGGGAATCAAGGGCCCATGGGGCTGTTGACAGCACCTGCAGAGGACCTGGGGCCCAGGCCAAGGTGAAGTCTGAGGAAGGGACTCAGGCAGGCCTTACCCATTCCTGGTGTTCTCAAACCAGTAGCGGTCGCCATCCCGCAGCCTCACAAACTGGTTAAGGACGATGGTGCTGAAGAGGGGCCCGGGGTCCCCATGGCTCTCCAGGAGCCCCCCGGGGAGCAGCTCCAGCCGGGACAGGTCCTGGTTGTATAGGGCAGCTGTGGCCTCCAGCACCTGTGGCACCACGGGAGGTGAGGAGTTTGTGTGTGCCCGTGTGTGTGCACACGCACATGTGCGTGTGAGGGAGGGCAGCCACTGTGGCTCTATCCTTCAAACACAGGACTCCGTCAGCTGCCTGGCTTGCTCCTCAGGCCTGAGGGAGTCTCCTCTTCCTAGGCAGTCCCCCTCAGGAGTGGCAAGTCTGATGGGAGGACCAATGTGTCCCTCCCATGCTGAGGTCACTGTGAGGTGCCTGAGGACCATATCCTGTAACCACCACTACCCAGACTATCTGGCCCCAATGATTAGCAGCTTCAGGGTCACCCAATTCATGAGGAGGGAGCCTGTAGGAATGGTACAATGTAGTGGTGAGGAACATACTCTGGAGTCGGCTGGCTGAATTTAAATCCTGTCTCTAGGACTGACTTACCAACTGTGTCATTGGTAAGATAAGGATGATGAGAGTATCTACCCTATAACATTCTTGATGTAGATTAAATGAGTTACATGTGTACCGGGCTTAAAACAAGAAAGTTTTAGCCCCTATTGCCATCATTACTATTTCTCACCTGGGGCTCCACATGGGGGTTGATGTGACTCCAGTTCCGTGGGGTGTCCAACCCCAAAGCCATCAGGGCTTGGGTATAGCTGGGCAGCCCCATATCTCGGCCACGTTGGATACTGCTGGCCACGTAGTCTGTGCGGGAGAACTTGCCAGGGCCGGGCCAGTAGTCTGAGAAGGAGAGAGGACCAGGCTATAAGCCGAATCCTTCCGACCCTGCTTTGCCCAGCAGCCTTACATTAGGCTATTGGCACTACCCGTCCCCAGCACTCCCAACATGTGACCTGTGCCCATATCAACCTTGCCTCCACAGGGGGGCAATGTTACCATGTGTGATTGGGGGCAACTTTTCTGGCAAGAATCTTCCCCTGGGACTCAAGACTATTCTAGTCACCAAGTACTGTATTCCCCGTTCTTTACCTCCTTAACCTCAAGACAGGACTGGATAAAAATCTTTAGAGACCTAAGCACCAAGGAGATCATGCTGTCACCCCCCGCCCACATATTCAGACACAGGTAATTTAGAATAAAAACTACACTAAACCCGAATTAAGCAAAAAAAAAAAAAAAAAAAAGTTTTAATTTTTTTTTTTTTTTTTTTTTGAGTTATCTCTTTAAAAATCTTTATTATGGTTTTTTCCTTTTTTTAATTTTTTATTGTTATGTTAATCACCATATATTACATCATTTGTTTTGGTGTAGTGTTCCATGATTCGTTGTTTGTTCATAACACCCAGTGCTCCATGCAGAATGTGCCCTCTTTAATACCCATCACCAGGCTAACCCATCCCCCTACCCCCCTCCCCTCTAGAACCCTCAGTTTGTTTTTCAGAGTCCATCGTCTCTCCTGGTTCGTCTCCCCCTCTGACTTACTCCCCTTCATTCTTCCTCTCCTGCAAAAGCTTTTTTCTTCTAATGGCTATTTGCAGTGGTGTGTGTCTGTGCTTCTGCATTGCAGGTACCTAGGGTCTGCCTGTTGATTCACCCAGGAGGGTCCCCAGGCTCCCTGGCCCCTGGGCCTTCACCCCTCTGGCTCCCGAGCTCACCTCTCAGATCTTCCACCACTGTCCTGTCCTCCAGCTCTGCGATCTGGGAGGCCATTCCCAGCAGCAGCTGGTCCACTGCCTGGGCACTGTTCACGGTGGCGTTCTGGAAAAAAAAACAATGCATTCAGGGTAGGCTCTTGGGCCTCTTCTCAAAGCCTGGTCCCTGTCACCCTAAAGCAATGCAGTACCTCAGGACAATGGGCCCTTGGCCCGTCCTAGACTCTTTTGAGCCGTTGTCTCCACCTAATTTTCTGATCATTCTACCCTTCATCTCCTATTAGCTGGAGCAGTAACACACAAGAACTAGAATGGTTGCTTTTCCCAGCCTGTGTGTCAAGTCTGACATTGACCCACCTTCCCCTGACCCGGACCCCAGGCTGACCCCAGGCTGACCTCCCGACGCCAGTAGCTGTTGCAGACCCTGAGAGCTGGGGAGCTGCCAAAACCCTCGTTCAGGACCATCTGGAAATGACAGCTGGCATTCCTGAAATGGGGAATCAACGACGGGATGAGAACTCAGGGAAAAAGTTGAGATGAGGTTGAGTGGGGTGAGGGACTCAGAGGAGTTTGGCCAAGACCGAGAACTGAGCTTCTTTGAACACAGCAGGGATGTGGCAACATGCGTGGACTGAAGGTATGGGTTGCTCTTTGTCCACCTAGAGTGGGAAGGGAAGGAGGGACGAGAGTACCCAGCTGCTGGACAAATCCTGCTCTCAGCAACTAAAGTTCAGCCATTAGGAGGGGTTGTTAAGGTTCAAACTCCTACCGCAGGGTCCTATTTAGTGCTCCAAATCTGCTTCTCTTCCCCATTAAACCGTGGAGGTGTATAAGAGGCTCCAGGCCCCCAAGGTCCTTGACCCTTCACCTCTGTCAGTGTGCTAAGCCTCTCCCACTGCCAGCCCGTCCCTCACCTCATGTAGACCCCAGGAGGCACCATGGTGGAGAAGAACTGCTCAGAGGCCACCAGGAACTCTGGGGAGATGCTGGGGTCCAGGAAAGGGTTGTATCCTGGGGGAAGGGGAGAAGAGAGGATAGTAACATTTAGCCCTTAAACCACCCACCCTCCCTCCCCACCCTCCCCCCCCACCTCCAAAAAACTCCTGCTAGCTCTCCCATTCTCCCTCCCCATCCCCTTACCTGCATACTTCGGGGGTGTTTTCTGCAGGAAGCTGGGCAGCCACTCATACAAAACGATGTTCTGAGGGTCAACAGAGGGCAAAAGGGAGGCAAGCGCTGGAGCAGCCATGCTGGGAGGGTCTGAGCCCCAGGAAGGCTTAGGTGGGAGGTGAGGGCCAGGCAGGGGCAGTCAGCAGGGAGGCAACTCCAACAGGACAGGTGCGGACGCCTGTCCCCCACTAGGAACACGGGATGGGCGTGGGCTAATGACTAATAACCACGGCCAAGTCTCGTGTGTGAGGGTCCTTTTCCTGCTCCTCATCTTCGGGGTCCATTCCTAGACGCTAGCTCCAGTTCTGGGGAGCAGTGTCCTCCCGGAAAAGGGCGTTTCTGGGGGCTGCTTGCGCGAGGACGGAGGGCTCTGCGGGGCAGCGGAGTCTCCCGCGCAGCAGTCGGGGTGGGGACGGGGGGGGGGGCGGGGAGAGGGCGCGTCACTGACCTGGTAGGTGGCGATGACCCTCTTGCGCGCGTGCTGGAACAGCTCCTCGTCCCCCCATTGCGGGTGCTCGCGGGCCAGCCGCTGCGCGCACAGGTTGTGGTAGCGGAACCACAGCAGGCCCAGCGCCTGCAGGAACGGGTCGCGGTTCCCTCGCTCCGCCCCGAAGGCTGCAGGCGACGCGGGGCCGCAGGGCAGGAGAGGAGCGGCGGTGTGATCATCAACTTTGCCGTCCGCAGCCCGCACCCCGCCCCGCGCCCGGCCGCCGCAGCCCGCCCCGCGGCCTCACCGTACAGCCCCCGGGGCCCTCGCTGTCCGGTGGCGGGGTCGGGCGCCGTCCACATGAGCAGGGGGCTTTGCGCGTTCCGGGGGAAGGCGGGGTCGGGCCCCGACGCCAGCTCTCCCCCGGAGAAGCTCCTCAGCGCGTCGCTCCACGAGTGCGAGGAGCCATAGATGGCGCTGCCGTCCAGCCAGCCCGTCACCTCGTTGGTCTGCAGGGGGCACCGCGAGGGTGAGCCGGGGGTGGGCCGGGGGTCGGGTAGCGGAGGCGGGTGTCAGTGCGCGAGGGGGTGGGAGCCTCTCCCCGCCCCGCCCTGCGCTGGCCTGGCCGCGAACCCGGGACCCCGCCCGCCTCGTCTCACCAGGTCCCGGGGATTACTGGGGCTCTGTCCGGTCTCGGGGTCCCAGCGGCTCCTCTGGAAGGGGAGGACCACGTCCCCGCGCCGGTCGGGATCGAACACCGGGTCCCCGGGCGGGATGTGGATGTTGAGGAACTCGGCTGGGCAGCCGGGGGTCTCCACGCTCACCAGGTCCGAGAGCACGTGGTAGCCTGCGGCCATGGAGGCCAAACTGATGAGAATCGCCACTCCCCGTGGGCAGCGAGTTTCTCTAGGTTTCTCAAGAGTCAAAAGGCGTGTTGGAGTGCAAGCTCTGCCACCGGCTCCGGGTCTTTTTTCTAATTTTCAAAGTGGGGATATAGTACCCTCTCCACCCACCTCATAACATTGTTGTAAGAATCAAAATAATATAATTAACGTAAGGGCTCCCCACCCCAATTCCCATCTCCCAGCAGATCTTGCCCCCCCCCCCTTCCTCTTCGGAGGAAAGAGGATATAATCATTCGGTAGGAGAGCGGTGGCAAGGGACTCAGCTCCTAGAGCTATAATGGAGGTACAATGACACTCCTAGGTTTGGCCTACAGGGTAAGAGAAAGATTAGAGGAGCGAATATCCCTGACTCGACACTCCCAAATCCCTCGAGATAAAGAAGGGTTGGAAGTGTTGCTTAGTGCGGAGGAGGAGGTGTCTGGGAGTCTTGGGTCCGCCTCCCGTGCTCTTGAAGACGGCCTCAGGGCCCCTCTCCCCAGGCGCTGAGCTAAGTGACTGCTCACCCCCGGCGTCCTCCCACTTTGCTCTCACCAAAGAAGACCCCCAGCACGGTGCGGTTGCGGCGGGATGGCTGCCCGGCTGTGCCCCGCATGGCGGCGTCGCTGAGTAGGCGCGGGTTGGGCAGCAGCGGCTCCCCCAGAGCCTGGTAAACGCCATCCGCGTAACTGGCTGGCACGAGGCGCTGCAGTCGGAAGCCTGCGGGAAGCAGGGAGCTGGGGTGTCAGAGAACCCCGTCCCCAATAAGCCCACAAGCTTCTCCCTACGCCTACCTCAAATCCCCATCCTCACTGGCGAGACCCCTCTTCGCCAGGGTCTCCCGGCCCCAGGAGTGCGTAGGAGTTCGCTGTGGAGACAGCCCGGCTTCTGCGCGCCGGGTCTCCCGCGGCCCGGCCCCCTAATCCATCTCCCTAAACCCTCCCGCGGGAGGGCCACCCAGGACTTGGGGATGGAGATTGGAGGTTGGGAGTTGGGGGGGGGGAGGGGAGGGGAGGTGCTGCCTTGGACTGGTAAACCCCAGGGACCACAGGACGCACCCGCTGCGCCACGCTCGTGATGCCTCAGGTTGTTGAACCAGCCGTCATAGCGCTGCACTTCCCAGGACAGTGGGAGTGAGTCCTGGCCGCCTGCCGATCAGAGAACGGTCCCCTCAGCGCTAGCCTCCCTGCGACCGCTCCGGGACGCGACGGCTTCCGCCCGCGCTTCTCCCGCTCACTGAGCGCCCCCAACCCTACCCAAGAGGCAACCCCTGAGCGGCGTTGCGGCTGCCCTGGGAAGTTTCCCATCCCACTGAGCGGCGCTGCGATTTGACCGATCTTGTAGGGGGGCTGCATCTGTTTCTTTCCCCAGCCTCAGGAGGTACAGGGTGACATCCCGAAGCTAGGGGCACCGGATACTTACCCGCTGGATCCAGGGATGCAGTCAGCAGAGCTCCCAGGAGCACCACTGCCTCTGGCCTTGTGCAGAGCATGTTGACCCTGCCGCCTGGGAGGTGGGAGGTGAAAAGTGAGTGACAAGGAGCTGGTGTCCCCCATGCCTACAGCAAGCATGGGGAGGAGGTGTCTGCTGTTTTCACTTCTGGAGCAAAGCTTTTAGAAGCATCACTGAGGACCCAGGGCTTGCTGTAGGCATGGGGGACACCAGCTGCATGCCACTCTTTTCAGGACACCTGGTAGGTACTGACATTGGTCCCCACTGTCCACCTGGTGGAAGAACTAACACTGGCCAAAGAACCCCTCCACCTGCCGCAGCACTAATCTTCTGGGGTTTACCAGTCCAAGGCAGCACCTCCCCTCCCCCCCCCCCCCAACTCCCAACCTCCAATCTCCATCCCCAAGCCCTCAGTAACTGCTTCTCCTAGAGGAGGCAGGGAAGGGAAAGCAGTTAGTGAGCTGGCAACCGGGACCTGCAGCCCCTCCTACTCTACTGTGAATGCCTGTGCATGGACAGGAGGGATGGAACGATCAGGCCCCAAACTCCCTCCAACCTCTGGTTTTGGGCCCCTGTCTGGGGTCAGAAGTCTTTCCTCTTGGAATCTTTGCTTTTCTGCCCTCCTCCCAGCCTCCATCTTCCCAAACAGCACCACTCCCACCCCCCAACCCCTCCGAGCTCTGAAGATCCTCCCCAGCAGCACTCTCACCCTCTTCTCTGGATCCTCTAAGGCCAGCTGCCCTGGTGTCTGCTGAGGTCAGAGCGGTGCCAAGTGTCCACCTCCTGACGGGAGGCTAGCCCTCTTACTGTGGAGGCTGGGCTTTCCTCATTTGCATAGTAGCCTCCACCTTTCATTTGCAAGATCTCTTCCCAACCGCACCCAGCTGTCAAGCCCTGACATCCACCCAACGACCTACCCAGGCTGCTATAAAAGGGCTCCAGGTCCTGCACACTTCCAAACACAGAGCCGTAAAAGTAACTGGCTATAGCCAGTGAGAAATAATTCCTCTCTCCCGCCTACCCAACCCTGCCTGGGCCAACCCAGAGCACTTGAAGGCAGCCAGCCGCTGCGCTTCCTTAGGGGCGAGTTGAGCAACTCAGACTTGACCAGCCCATTAAGTCCTGTCCAAGAACACAGGGGACCGGCTAAGGAGAAGTGGGACCTGGGGTCGGTTGCCAGGTTCACACTTTTCCCTCTCCAGCGGACCCAGCTTGGCACAGTTGCAGCATGACTCTGTGGAACGGCGAGCTGCCTTTCTACCCCCAGCCCCGGCATGCCCCAGGCTACAGCGTCCCATTGCTCATCGTCATTCTGGTGTTCTTGGCCTTGGCCGCCAGCTTCCTGCTCATCTTGCCTGGGATCCGTGGTCACTCGGTAAGGGGGTGCTAGATGCTAGGGCTTGAGGGTCATGGGCAGCTTGTCTCTGGAAGACCTAGGACAGGTAATACTGTAACAAGGGCTTCCACGAATAGTCAGACGAAACGCTGAACCAGGGGAGCATAGGTGGAGGAGACCCAGAAGTCTGGGGGCAGCCAGCACCGCTCCCTGCCCGGGGACTGGGAGAGAGGGAGGCCCTGTATAAGACATTCTAGAGACTGAACCCACCTGAATCATCCAGGAGGCTGCTGCGGCGAGTGGGTGCCCAGTCCAGTAATCCTGGGGCTAATTCTAGTCTTCACATGCTGCTAGAGTCTCCCTCCTCTCCTCAGACTGTGGCTGCACTCCAGTCTTAGCCTTCAGGTGATGACCAGTGGACCAAGAGCTGAGAATGCTGTGTTTCACTAGTGTGCTGGGTTGAGATGCATGTGTATGGGTGCTCCCATCCTAAGGACTCGGGGACTCCCACAAATGATTCGAAGTTGTAACAGACTGGGTACTTGTCCTTGGACCACCCCCCCTTCTCCCAGAACCTAAGTTGTTTTTCCAGTCTAGGAGTACCTGGCCTCCCTGAGTCTCCATCTGTGTCGGTTGCCTTGGGAAACTGGTGCACCTAGGAATATCTGAGAGGCTGCATTCCTACCTCCTCTATGACAGGACCCTGGGGCTGCGCTCTCCTAGGGGAGGTGACCCCAGCCTGGTACTTCTGGACTCACTGAGCCTCATCATAGTAGTGACTTGAGTAGCTGGCAAGACCAGGACCAGGAGCCAGATAGCTGGGGGAGTGAAGGTGATATGACAACACCAGGCAGGGAGCCAGGTTGCAGGGTGGACTGGGAAATGGGGCTAGGGAGGCAGAAGTGCATGGCTAGAAAACATCAGAAATGCCAGTGGCTCAGAGGGATTTGCACAAAAAGCAAGACAGACTTTAGCTTTAAAACGTCAGGAATGTAACTCGGAAAAGGGTGTGGGGCAAGAGGGTACAGTTGCAGGGGCACTAAAGATCTAGGTGGCATGGGGTCAAGGGAGGTCTTGGGGACTCTAGTTGGGCAGTTATCAGACCTGACCCAGGTGCTTGTTCCTGCAGCGCTGGTTCTGGCTGGTGAGAGTTCTTCTCAGTCTGTTCATAGGCGCGGAAATTGTGGGTGAGTGTGTGGTGCTGCAGATGGGGAAAGGACCTGGGGTGAGGATGGAGGTGGGCAGAGGGCACCTGGGAAAATGGAGATTTGGGGGTTGTTTCCTGCTCTTTCTTCCCATTCTTCAGCTCTTTCTAGTGCCCACTCTTCCACCCTTACCGTATATACCACCTTGGACCTCTAGACCCTCCATCTCTCTGCACAGTGTGCTACCTGCCATCACCACTCTCCTCATTCCATCTCCCCAATGCTCTCCCTAACCCTCCCCCCACACTGTGTCTCTCCCCACAGCCGTGCACTTTAGCGCACAATGGTCAGTGGGTGGGATGAACACCAACACATCCTACAAGGCCTTCAGTGCAGCAAGGCTCAGCGCTCACGTCGGTCTCCACGTCGGCCTGGGGGGAATTAATATTACACTCACAGGTGAGGGGGCTGGGGCAAAGTGAACTTCTGGATTGGCAGACCCCATGGCTGGGGGGGGGGGTGTGGCAGGGGCAGCTGGAGGAAATCTCCGACCCCACGGGCTCGAAGAGTTTTTATTTCTCACGGATCCGTGTTTTCCGCAACTGCTGCCAAACCTCATGTCTCTCACACCTCTCCTTTCCTACGCGCGCTAGCTTAGTTTCGGTGTCCCGGGTTGTGCGCAGCTCCACGACCCCGGCCGCCCTCCCTTCGCAGGGACCCCGGTGCAGCAGCTGAACGAGACCATAGACTACAACGAGCACTTCAACTGGCGTCTGGGTGAGAACTATGCCGAGGAGTACTCGGAGGCCCTGGAAAAGGGGCTGCCGGATCCAGTTCTCTACTTGGCGGAGAAGTTCACCCCGAGCAGCCCCTGCGGGCTCTACCGCCAGTACCGCCTGGCGGGACACTACGCGTCCGCCACGCTGTGGTGAGCGCTGGAGGGAAGGCACCTGTGAGTGAGGGAGTGTCGGCGCGGGGGCGTGTGAGCCAGAGGATGTGAGGTATAGTTACAGCCCTATGGTGCGGGGAGTGAGAATTAACTGCTCAGACGGTCGGAACCCAGAGAGCCCCAGCAAAGCCTGGGAGTCGGCTACTCGGCTGGAAGGTTCCCTTGCGCCTTCGCCGTCCCAGCCCCGGCTTTCGTTCTGGGGTAGGGACACAGAGCAAGCGAGGCTGGGGAAAGCCAGCTCACAGTGCGGCGGGTCCCCTCCGCAGGGTGGCGTTCTGCTTCTGGCTCCTCTCCAACGCGCTGCTCTCCATGCCGGTCCCGCTCTACGGAGGCCTGGCGCTCATGACCACCGGCACCTTCACGCTCTTCTCCATCTTCGCCTTCGCCTCCATCTCCCGCGTGCCGCTCTGCCCGCTCCGCCTCGGCTCCTCCACGCTCGTCACTCACTACGGCGCCGCCTTTTGGGTCACCCTGGCCACCGGTGAGGACCAAGGGGGCGGATTCTGGGAGGCTGGGCGTGGGAGCTTATGTGTGTTTTTCCCGTTTGCAAAATGAGTTCACATATATTATCTAATTTGCTCCTCTTAATAGTTCCTAGAAGCAGGCAGTTATGCCCATTTTACAGATGAGGCCAGGGGCTTCTGAAGGGTTCGGTGGCTTGCCCCAGTTAGCACGTAATCCATATTAGAGGTCTTTCTGCCGTGTGGGTTGGGGGAGGAAATGCTAGGGGTAGCCCCCAGGAGATGGAGGGGGGCAGGCCAGGTTCTGGCTTGGAGCCCTGACTACCCTGTTTCTTTCTGTCCGCGCCACCGCAGGCATCCTGTGCCTCCTCCTCGGAGTGGCGGTGGTGAGTCTCCACTACTCTCGACCCAGCGCTCTCCGCACCTTCTTGGACGGAAGTGTCAAGGACTGTGGTAGCCAGGCGAAAAGGAACTTGTCTCTCATCCTGAACAACCCACTGCATAAGCAGTTCGGAGCCCTGGACTTAACGAATAGTACTAACCTTTGAGGGTTATTCAACCTCGGACTCCTAACCCCGCCTCGGCCCCCTGCAGGCCGGGTAGCAATACCTGCTGGGCTCAGGCCAGGAGAGCTAGCTCCAGGAGGGTCACTGCGCCGCGGGCGCAGGGAAAAGCAGGCGGCCTCAGACGTGCCACACGCCTGCGCCCGGGGAAAAAGGGTCTCCCAAGGTGAGCTGTAAATAAATCCTTTTTCTTTTTCTTTTTTTCTTAAACTTGTTTCTATTACATTCAATGGCTTTTCCAAGCTTGGGGAATATGAGTCCTCGGCCGACTTCCCTGGGTTGGAAGCATTTGCTCTGTCTTGCCACAAAGCTCTGGGAGAGGGGCGCCCTCTAGTGAGCCCAAAGGAGAACCCTCCGGAGCCAGCATCTTCCTGAGCTGCCCCAGGCAGATGACAGGTAGCAGTGACCAGACAGGTCAACCTCCCATTGGCTCAGCTGAGTGGGAGGGAATGGCATTCCTGAGGTCATTTACTAACTCCAGTTTATTCACTAACTAAGAGGTAGTGTCCAAGGGCCAAGGTAGTTGTCAGCAAGGCATAAAAATGTAAATCCTGGGATTTTTTTTTTTTTTTTTTAGGTTCTTGGCAAGACCTACAATCTTATTTGGCAAATTTGAGAATTGAAGCTTAAGCTTAAAGATAATGTAGCACACTTAGTTAATATTAGACCTGGGACAAGAAGTTTGGTTTCTTCTGCTGCCCAGGGCTTTCATTGTATCAGGAGATCACACAAGTAAAAGAAGAACAAAAGGGACCCAGGGAAAAGGAAAATAAGAGGTACAGAGGGATGAGGGGGACTACATGGGAATCACACAGTAACCCCCCCCCACACACACAATATAGATGAAGCTGAGTTTCAATAAATGGCCCCTCAAAGAGGCGAGGCATCAAGGGAAGGCAGGGTTGCTGTGCAGAAATGGGCAGCACCTGCTTGGTCTTAACATGGAGACAGGGTTGATAGGCAGCCCCAATGTCTGTTTAGCATATTAGGGCTTTTTGTTTTTGTTTTTACATCAATAGAAAGAGGCTGTTTTTCCTACTCCACCTGCAGATTGGGGCTGGGGACAGATTGGATTCAACCCATGCTGCAGTCAGTTCTGGCAGGTTTATGGGGCTCCAGTGAGACCTGCAACCAGATTAGAAGTCCAGGTGTCCACCAGGGAGAAGAACCTTATAGGGCACAGTCAGGCTCTCTGTGATGCTCCTCCTTACACCATGCCTCAGAAGAAGCCTCTGACAGAGGAATGTCCTGGGGCTCAGGACCCTCAGCTGTGGACCGGTATCTGGGGCTCAGGAGTCCCCCTTCCTCAGGATTCCACTCCAGTGAAGGATCCTTCCCCGTACTCTGGTTGAAGAAGGCCTTCAGCCTTTGGGGCTGCATCCTGTGGGCCACTGCCATGGCCAGGCCGAGCAGCATACAAAGCAGTCCTGGGAATGAGAAAACAGGTGTCCCGCCTTGGTGATAGTAATGCCCTCCCAAGGACATCTTCTCCCAAGAGCATCAGAACAACTCAAAGAGAATCACTGGTATCCCTGTTTCAGGGCAACTTGGGCTCAGAGCAGTGACGGACTTAGGGTCGTACGGCTGGTGTGGCTCTGTTGTCCTGAGTTTTGGACTCTAAGCCCAGTGCTCTTTGCATTACATCTCAGAAGAGAGAGAGAGAGAGAGAGAAAAGAGAACTCTGAAAACAGAGAACCTGGGGGAAGGGCAGAGCACAGAGGAGGAGGCATGAGAAAGGGCATGAGAGAAGAGGAGAAGAAATTGCAGGACAATTTAAGGCTATGTGAGGCAGAGAAAGAGAAGGAAAGAGAAGGAATGGGGGGCACAGAGAAGAGTGTTTGGGGGAAGTGGGCAGGAACATAAGACTGGAAGATTTAGGAAAGAGCTGGGTGAAGAGAGAGTTAGGGGATGAGGGAAATGACAGAGACAGAAGACACGGGGAGTAGGCATCTATGGAGGGGAGGCAGGTGGAACTGGGGAGATAAAACCCAGAGATGAGTGATGTAAGAGGGATGGGGCTTTAATGAGAGGAAAGGCATCCTGGTCCCCAGAGGCAGATCCTTAACCCCCACTAATATGGTGGTCCCTGGCCCTAAGCCTTCCGGTGTCTGTCTTCAGGGCTGCACCTCACCTGTGGTCAATGTGATCCAGAAGGCAGGCCCATGGTGAGTGTGCAGCGTAGCAGTACCCAGGTGCAGGGCACAGGGTGGTGTGAGTGATGTGGCCGTGGAGAACAAGAGCAGTCCCAACAGCTGGAAGAGGCCCGTGGCCAGCAGCATGTGGCCACCATAGACCAGCACGGGCATGGACAGCATCACATTGGCCAGCAGCCAGCAGAGGAATGCTACCCTGGAGAGCCAGGACCCAGTGAAGGCTGGCCTGGACACCTCTACTTGGAAGGGCCCAGGTGGAGGCTCAGGGACCCAAGAATACCCCAAAGATGTGAGATAGGGATTTTTGCCTATAGGTTTCCCAACCAAGCACTGTGGGGCTGGTGCCACCCTGTCCCACCAGGGATTTCCACATAGGTGGAGGAAAGATGGGTAGAAACTCCATTCCTGGGTCTAGGCCAGCAGGGCCTCCATCCCACCCTCACCAGAGCATGGCTGAGGTGTAGTGTCCCGCCAGGCGGTACTGGCCATGCAGACCACATGGACTGTTCGGGGTGAACTTCTCAGCCAGGTAGAGCACGGGGTCTGGCAGCCCCTTCTCCATTGCCTTTGTATACTCCTCAGCATAGTTCTTGCCTAGGCGCCAGGTGAACTCCTCATTGTAATTGATGGTCTCATTCAGCTGCTGCACTGGGGTTCCTGGGGAATAGGGCAGTTGTGCTCAGCAGGAACCCAAGGACCAGAGTGGGCATTTGCCTGGGTAGGGGCTCATCACATTGGGCAGAGGGACAGGAGCTGGTCTCAGTCTCTGGAAATATCCCTTCCTACCACCCCCCCCCCATCCTGTAGATCCCAATTAGATCCCAAAGACACAGCAGAATCTTCTCCTCCCTCACAGGTAAGAGCCATCCCTCACCTTTGAGTGTAATGTTGACTCCTCCCAGACCAACCCGCAGCCCCACATCAGCGCTGATCCGTTCGGAACTGAAGGCTTTGTATGATGTGTTGGTGCTGACCTGGCCCACGAACCACTCAGAACTGAAATTCACAGCTGGGGTGGGGAGTTGGACATATGGGAACTCAGGAAGGTCCAGGCATTCCTGGGTTAGAGTCAGAAGGAAAGCTACACGGGGTCTAGGTCTGTTTTGCTCATAACTGTGTATCTGTTAACTAGCTCAGGGTCTGGCTCATGGTTAGTTTGGCAACAGTATGTTTGCCCAAGATGAATAAAGTGGTCAGAATCCAAGATTTCCTTTGGTGACAGTCTGCTTATGCCCCTTCCTCCCGTCCCTCTCCCGAAGCAGAAGATGCCATGAGGAAACACAGAGAGGACAGGTTGACTGCTGAGGGAACCAGATAGGACAGAGGCAGTTGACCAGGATTATACTCACCCAGGATCACAGCCCCGATGAATAAGCTGGTCACCACCCGCAACAGCCAGAACAGCCTCTGAGTCACAGGGTGGGTGGGTTTAGAAGGAACACCCTCCTTCCAAATCCACCCTTAGTCTTTCCAGACTTGGGTGTGTGTGGTGGTGGTAGGGGGGTGTTCTAAAACTGAGGTCACTTGGTCAGTTGTGATCAAAGTGTCTGGCATGTAATAGGTGCTCAATTATTATCCATTGAATCAATGAGTAGGGAACTCCCTCCTGGGGGTGCCAGTGGGGGACACTTTCTCAGGATTGGAGTCTCTTTCCTGAATCTGGTTGTAGCCAGAGAGTCTGGCCCCCTCACCTTGAGGCCAAGATCTCTCTGGGGCTGGGGTCTCCAGGGCTGGGCTTGTTTCTCACCATCTTGCCCCGAATGCCAGGCAGGATGATGATGAAGGTGACCAGTGCGGTCACAAAGATGGCAATGACGACGGCCAAGGTGGTGTCCACTGGGAAGATCGGCTTGTGGCCCACATAGAAGGGGAATGTGTGTCCCAAAGTAGCCATTTTGCTGGGGTTGTGCAGGGGAGGCGTATGCTGTAGGACAATAGATGTGTATGTCTAGGTGCCAGGCACTGTTCTTAGTGCTGAAGATACAGCAGAGCATAAACCAGACCGCGTCCCTCATCTCTGGAGCTCACCAGATGATACCGCTCCTGCCATTCGGCTGCCCCTCTGCCATTCATCTCCATACGTTTTTTGTTGTTGTTGTAGTTGTTGTTTTAAAGATTTTTTTTTATTTGTTAACACAGAGAGGGAGACAGCAAGAGAGGGAACACAGGCAGGGAGAGTGGGAGAGGGAGAAGCAGGCTTCCTGCCGAGAAGGGAGCCCAATGTGGGACTCGATCCCAGGACCCTGGGATCATGACCTGAGCCGAAGGCAGACGCTTAGCGACTGAGCCACCCAGGTGCCCACATCTCCATACGTTTTGACTGTGAGGGAACGAGGGTCTTGGCAATCAGTCTCTGTGGCCCCATGCTCCTTTCCTAACCCGTAGGTCCCCTAAATCAGGGCCACAACCACCCTCGAGGCTTCTCTGCTTCCTCTGGGACTGTCTTAGGAAATATAATTCTCTTTTATCTTTCTCAGGCCTCCAGCACAATCAGACAGATCACAGGACATAAAAAGACCTATGTTTACTATCAAGTGAAGGCATAAGGGTGAAAGATGGTACAGATTACAACAAGTTGGCTTTCCTTCTCAGTCCCCAAAGGAACAAAAGCCAGACAGCTCTGCTAAGTATCTAATCCAACTACATTCCCAGTCCTGGCACTCCTCGCACCGGTCTGTCCAGCTTTCTCAAGCACCCTGGCTCCTGCTCTGGCAACTCTAGAATAAACAAAATTGAGTTCACTTCATCTTACAGTCGATGAACCCAGCTCTACCAATATCCCTGTGTGCGATCTGCACTGGGGCCTTGGTTTGCCTGGGAGGCTCCATTATTTACAGTCTGACCTGGTAGTGTCTTGTTAAGCGATGCAGTGAAACAGTAAGTTTGGAGTTGTGCAGCTCTGTGTCTGAATTCTGCCTCTGCCTCTTGCAAGTTATTTGGCCCCTACAGAGACTTGGTTTTACTACAAAATAGGAATGATAATGTCTACCTTGCGGGGTCATTGTGAGTATGAAACAAGATTGTGTGTGTAAAGTGCTAAGAATAATACCTGAAACAGAGTGACATCAATAGATGGGAAACAGGGGACATTTTATTACTCCACTTATCTCTCTGTCCAATCCTTCTTGGAGGGAACCCTGGGCTAGAATCAGTTCTGGGTCCAGTTCTAGTTCTTCACTAATTTTAAAACATTGGGCAGTCAAATGACAACCTCCCTGGCCCTTGGTTTCCTCATCTGCAATTGGATATGATGATCTCCAGGTCCCCTCTAGTTCTAAATTCTGTGATTCTTCTATAATACCTTGTGGAAGACTCCCAGCCTTCCACTCTTCTCCTAGGCCGGGCCACCTCCTATGCTATCTCTGGGGGTAGCATAGTGTGAAGACAGACAGTTTGAATTTTTAATCCTGTCTTTTGGACAAATCACATAACCTCTGAGTCTCAGTTTTCATGTGGAGTTTTGCTTTTTTTCTTAACTCTTCAATTCTTCCATTCCAGAGGAACGGGTATCTCTTTTCCTCCTGGACTCTCACTCCAGTCCTGTCTGACCTTTCTCATTAGTCATTCCCTTTCTTTTTTACAACTTTTCAGCTTCTCTTTCTCTGCTGGCTCCTTCTTCCAAGGATATGTGTAAATTTCTCCCATCTTAGGAACACAAAGAGAAGGGACTGTCTCCCTTGAACTTCTTAGTTCCTTCCAGCTCCTGCCTTATCCCACTCTCTCCCCTCTTCACAGCCAGGCTTTCTGGAAGAATAGACTATGTTGGTGTTTTCACTGTTTTATCTCCTCAACCCATTGCAATCTGGCTTCTCTCTTGGGCCTCCATGATACTATGCTCTCCTGGGTCTCCTGCCTTTGGCCATTCCTTTTGTGGCTCCTTTGCTAGTCCTTCCTCCTTCTGACATATTTCTGTTTCCCAGGAGTCTGTCTTGGCTTTTTTCTTCTAGCACTCTTCCTGAGTCCCTAGGTAAACTCATCTATTCCCATGGCTGATGCATCTCAAATCTATGTTTCCAGGTAGACCTCTTACCTGGGCTCCAAACACAAAAGGTCCAATTACCGCACTGACATTTTCACTTGGCCTTCACATGGATGCCTCGGATTTAACAGGTCCCACACTGAAGTCACTGTCTCTGCTCTGCTTTTTATTCTGTTTTCTTTGTCTCTTTGGTGGCATCACCATTGTACCAATAAAATAAATCAGAAAGCTAGACCATCTGACCTCCTAAACATTTCTTGAAGCCATCCATGCATTTCCTTCCCTACTGCCCTAGTTCAGCCTCATTCTATCTTGCCTGGTGGCAGAACATTTTTTTTTTCTAACAAGCAAATATAATCATTTTACTTCTTTGCTCTAGGTAAAGTCTAACCTCACAATCACATCCAAAATCCCCTATAATCTGATCTCACCTACCATTGCATCTCTATCTTTGGCCCAGCCTAATCTCCAGCCACACTCAATTATTGACTTCTCCCTGAATCTGACATGCTCTTTCAAGTCTTCCTGCCTCTGTACAGGCTATTTCCTTTGCCTGGAATGCTCTTACCCCTTAGCAAACACCTTTTCACCCTTCAAGTCTCAGCTCATGTTACCCCCTCTGTGAATTTTCCTCTGAAACCATTGGGCCAGTGTGGATGTTCCCACCTCTAATATTCTGATTGCGTTTTGAATATACCTCCACGATCACAATAATTACACTGTATTATAATTATTTGAATATCAATCTCCCCGTTAGCTTCTAATCTCCATCTTTGAATCCCCTGCATGTAGCATATACTAATTAGTCTATGGGTTGAATGAACGAATATATGAATGAGTTCCTCTCCCTGCCGGTAGCATCTTCTATTTCACACACAAGAGGGAGCTATGCTCCCTCTGTGCTCTAGACAGTATTAAACTCTCATTCAACATTAATTGTCACAAATATAGGGCTAAGGATTGGGCAGGAAAGGATTTGACCAACCCTGCTCATTTTTAGTGCTTTCACAAAATTTTCAGAGGGCCTCTTCCAATAGTTGGAATCCAAAGCATGAGTGTTCATGTTTAACTGAATCTGAAACATATATTTCAACTCTAGCTAAAGATAAATAAGAACGTGTGGATTAAGGTATCTTTTATAATATGTGATATGATATTTATTTTATTTATTGGCCTAACAATTTTTTATCAATGACACCTAGACTGAAGCCATTACAATTGTGATGGAAGGCTATATTTTTTAGAAAAGGCTATAAAATGTAGAATATCTTGGGTAATAAGGTAGGAAGATAAAGCAGGTTTACTGATACTATGAATACATGTTATATGCTAAAATTTCAAAAACAAATATTTGCAATATAAGCAGATAATAATGTAATGTATTTGGGTTAGCGTTAGATGTTAGCATTATTCCTACATATATTTTAATGGGAGGTTATAAAATATTTTACAAGAATGGCTCATCTCTATTAACATGGTGCTTCAAAGAAACACTAACAAAAGGCTCTCTAAGTACAAAAGAACAACGTTAACTTATTTCCAATTCTCCAGAATATTTATTTAAGATGACTAAAGAAAAAAGATAGTTGGGAATAAAATTCATCTTCTTTAATTTCTTCTTGCTTAACTTAATGAATTCGGTTTTCCTTAATCTACATCGCCTAATCTAAAGTTAATTTTGGATGACCCTGATCCAAAATTAGTTTTAATTATTAAGGTAACAGGCCTCCTGCATGAAGTGGTGGGACTGAAATGAAAGTCTTTTTGCCCAGCCATCCTGCTTTTCCTACAAAGCTTGTAGTTTCCCTCGGGAACATCTTCCTCCTTGGCTTGCCAAGGAGGTTCTGACAGTGGAATTTCTTCCAACCTGAGAAAAATCTCTTGTCAGTCTTCACTCACTTCTCCCCTAGCTCACCACCACAACTGACGGATATACACAACGGACACTGATATAAATAAGACAAGATACAGTCAGACATACACCTACAATTTCACGTAAACATAAATATTGACACAAAAAGAAAGTAGCTCTCAGTAACATAAAGAACTAGATACACAAGCCCTCAGTCAGAGGCCCCAGTGACAAAACTGAAGTGCTTTCTCAATGGGTTGGGTCAATCCCCACGCTTTCTCCCTGGCCTGGAGAAGGGAGGGCCACTCTTTTCCCTTTCTGAACTCCCTTAAAATACTGAAGCATTTCTAATGCTCAGTTGTGTTTCAGACACAGTTACCTAACCCTTACCTATCTCAGGTTGAAGTGGGGTTCCTGTGTGTGTATGAGGGGTGGGCAAGAAATAAAGTTACACATCTTTAAGAAAATTCAGCCTAGTACAGGGTCTTCAGCATTCAAAGTTGTCACATGCTTTCTTAGTGCTCTGTGGCCCCTCTTGTAGCCTCCCTCTGCCCACCTCCCCCATCTTCTGGAACCCAGAAAGACTCCTAATTCTCTACAAAGGAGGGGGAATGCGTGACATGGCTGGAGTTGCCACGAGCTCTGATTGATGATACACAGCTACTAGAATGTAATATTTTGTTTCTTTGGTTGGGGTTGATCCCATTCAAAGTTTACAGCTCTGGCTGCCTACAGGGACCCTGTCAGGCACTCCTGTCCCAGCCTCTTCTCATCAAGAAGGCGTGTGGACATGTGTATGTGTGTTGTTGCACCGAGGAAAGAATTAAGGGTTGAAGAAATAGAAGATCTGAGGAGTGGGTTGAGGCAGGAGTACCCAGTAAGGGCTGGGGTGAGTAGGGAGCCCGGGGGTGCTGAATCATGCAAGTCAAACTATCTAGGCTCCAGGTAAGCCGAGATAAGGAGTCCGTGTCTGTAAACCTAGTGGCATTTATGGATGGCCTCCTCTTAATTTCTTATCAAGCTCCCTTTGAGGAACTCCCACTTGATCTAAACTTGCCCTGGGGGGACGCGGGAACCCGCGGGGCAGTGGCGGCACTCTAACGTCCCCTTCAAAACCCTCCGACCGCACCGACCCCAGCAGCCTCATCCCCGCCACTCACACCCGGACCACCATTTCCTACCTTCGCGTCTCGCAAACGACGCGTGCGTGGCAGCCCTCGCCGCTCGCCTCGTCCTTGTGGAACCTCACAAGCAGCGCTCCTGGGGGTGGGATTAGGGCGGGAACCGGGTCCAGACGTTCTGTCCCCGAAAGGGCACTGCCTTTCTCTCGGCGGAGCCCGCTTCCCACCCCACTCTTCTGCTAATGCACTGAAGGACCCGGCTTCGACCGGACAAACCGGGTCCCGGGTGCTTCCCCGCCCACCCTTGCAAGTCGCTCTCAACCTTCTCAGACCGCACCCGAGGCTCCGAGGCGCTGCCTCCCGTCCTCGGCCTGGGACAGAGGAAGGACGGCGCGCAAGAGCCGTCCCCTCCGCAGCCATCCCCCCGACCCCCCATTCCTCCTGCCCCCTGCCCCCTGCCCCCTGCCCAGAACCCCGAGCGGCTCCGGCACAAACCTAGCGATGCAGTCCGGGGACCGGCGGGGCGCGGGCGGGCCTCGAGCGGGCCTCGAGCGCGGGAGACCCCGAGAGCTCACGAGGAACCCTGCGCGGGGAGGGGTGGTTGCCACAGACTCTTTCAGGGTCTTAGGACGAGGGCCTCGCTTGGACGCCTGGCCTGGTCTGCCGGCATTGATCTATCCTCTTGGTCTTGGAGCCCAGCTCCGAAGGTGTGGAGAGTTTGGGGGGGGGGCCTCCCCGGCCCCCCCGCACCCGCTCGGCCTCCCGCCCACACCCCAGCCCCGGCCGACTTGCCCTTTTCGCTGTCCAAGTGGCCGCACTAGCCGAACCCTCGCCAGGGACCGGACAGATCCCCGGCCTGAGCCCTGCGAGCCGGCGCCGTCTCACCTGGCGCGTCCCGGTCCCCTCGGAGCACCTCGGCGGGTCCCCGGCGCGCCCGCGGGTATCCCGCCCCACTCCGCCCCGCCCCGCCCCGCCCCGCCCCGCCTTAGAACCGGGCGGTGCGGTCTCTTCTTCACCGCCAGCCCCGCCCGCCCCGCGCACAGCCGCGGGGAAAGCCGGCCGGGAGCGGGCGTCGCGGCCCCGCTGCGAGCCGGGAGGGAGCCAATCCGCTCTCCGGGGTCGAGGGACGCCGCGGCCACAGGTCAGACCCAGCAGGGCTTCTCCGGCCCGCGGACCTAGGCGCTCCGGGGGAGGGAGGGAGCTCCACTCGCGTGGCTTCGGTGGAGTGTGCCCCAGCTCGGCCACGCTTTCTGAGGGAAGGGGAATTCTAGCCCTGGCCCCCATGCGCCTCCGTTATTAGCCTGACGCTAAAATGGAGCCGGTTCAGGCCTATTCCTCCCCCACCCCACCACCAAATTTTCAGGTTCTTGGAGAACTGGGAGTGTTGGGTGACCTAGTTTGCTTGGGCCTAAAGGATCTCTCTGGAGTTCTTCCTGACACAAGCACATGACGCCAGGGAGGGAACTTTGGGCTTTTAGACTCCAGGCTGCCCCTCCCCTCAACCTTCCCTTGGGACCAGGTTGGAATCCCTATGGCCTTGGCTTATATTTCCCCCACCCCAGGGTCATCACTGAAGGACTTCAGGCTGGAAAAGTAGCCATGTGGGGCAAGAACAAGGTAGGCCTGTGTTCTCTCCCTGGTTCTGCCGCTGCCTGGGGCTTCACTGCCCTGTCATAAGGTTATGCTTTCCACCCAAGGCTGTTAAAAAGTTACTGAACCAATGTTGTATAAATCACTGTGGTTACCCACCCGAAAGGAGTGGTTATTAAGCATACCCACATTCCTCTTCAGGTTTATCTGCACAGCCTGGCCTGAAAGCTCACTACATTTTTTTTGTGGGCTGAGTGGTCTCTGAGGCCCAGGATCCCGAAGACACAGTGGTAGGGGGGAAGGGGCAAGGCATCCGAGATCAGGGAAGGACCACTGTGGCCACTTAAGCGCATCCATCCTTATGGCTTCAACCATTCAGGACCCTGCTCTTCACACACTATCAAAGGTCACCATCTGGACAGTCTCTGGGATGGAGTGGGTAGAGTGGCTGAGCTTTTGAGTTATGACAGGGCCTAAGGTTTTTCACTTGTTTAATGGGAGATGGCAAGTTGGGATGAGACCACCCTCTGGGGCTCCTCCTCTGGGACTAGACAACCTGTTCAGGAGTCCTGAGGGTTTGGTTTGAGATAAGGCTTTCTCTGAGCTCCCCCTTTCTTCCACTAGATAGTTCCCCACCCCCACCCCCCCCCCCCAGTTTCTATGCCGCCTTTAGAAAATCTTTACTGGCCTGAGGCACTCCCTGTGCCAGTCAGGAGTCCCAGCCTGAGTCCCCTGCTGCCTCTGTTTCCCTGTTGCCCCTGGGTGATCTGTTGGCCTGGGGAGAGAGAGCAGAAAGTTGGCACCAAGCACAGGAGTGCCTGGCGCTGCATTCTTTGATTCCACCGAGAGGAGCCATGCTCTCCCTACATCACATTTACATAACACCTGTGGCCTTTCTTGCTTTGAATTCAACCTCATTCTCACGTTTGAGGTTTGATTCCAACAACCATGCTAGGAGATAGACAGTTCAGGCATGTTTACTCCCATCGCTGGAAGAGGTAACCAAGGTCCAGATCAGATAAGTGACCTGCCTAAGACCACACTCGTGGACTAGCAGCAGCTCAGTGTCCTGGCCCCCAAGCAAGGCTCTGTCCAAGGAACATACACTTTGGGAAGCTGGGCCAAAGCAAGGTTTTTCAGTTAATCTAAGAAGGTAAGTCCAGGAAGGCAGAGATTTCTGTCTGCTTTGTTCATCACTTAACCTCCAGTTCCTAGGTCAGTGCCTGATACATAGTGGGTGCTTGTCAAGTGTTTGTTGAATGAATGAAAGATTCTTGGGAGACAGTGTGTCTCCTGCTCTCTGCTCCTCACTGTGGTGTTGGCCCAGGCCACACCTAGATTCACAGGGGCCTGCAGAGGCCCTGGCCTGACTCTTCTGAATTGCTGGGACTCATTCTTCCTGTTCTCTTTTTCTAGGGTCTCCATTTTAGGGTGTTCTAATACCTAAGCCCTATTATCATATTCATCATGGGCTTCTGCCTGGCTCTGGCATGGACACTCCTGGTTGGGTCATGGACATCCATGGGTAAGTATAGATTGAAGAAGTATAACTAGGAACAGAGGAACCCTGCTGTGTCAGCATTTCCTCTTCATTCCTTACCGTCCGGAGGCCCTTTCTCTCTCCCCTGTCTTCGCTCTTTCTTCATAATGTAAGGACCCCTGATCCCAAGTGGGAAAAGACTGATGAGGCATACAAGATAATAAAGGATCTTGTGGTCAGACTAGACCCAAAGCTGAAGGGAAGTCGCCAGTGTTTTAAAACAATATGGAAAAAAAAGAACAACACAACCAACCACCACCACTAATATGGTCGGTCCATTCGATTTTGTCTTGTTTCTGTCAGCTTTGGACAGTCTCTTACTAGAATCTGAGGCCATTCTCCGAAGTCTGGGTCTCTGAGAAGGGAAGTAGGTTTAAGGTGCTACAAGTTAGGTTAAAAAGAGCCAGTTCCTGGGGCGCCTGGGTGGCTCAGTTGGTTAAGTGTCTGCCTTTGGCTTGGGTCATGATCCCAGGGTCCTGGGATCGAGCCCAGCTGTTCAGCAGGGAGTCTGCTCCTCCCTCTCCCTCTGCTGCTCCCCCTGATCATGCTCTCTCTCTCAAATAAATAATTTTTTTTTAAATTGCCAGTTCCTTATCATCAAGGGTGGGAGGATACAGGAAAAGGAAGCGGAGAAGACCTTTGGAATGATCTATTCTGACTGGGCAATAGACCCCTGCAGCTTCTCCCAGGACAGAGCTGTTCCCATTCCCATTCCTTCCAGCTCTCTCTTTGCCTTGACCTTGGATTTTCCTTTTCTAGTCAGCTCTTGCCACTTATTCGCAGAAGGCATTCTCCCTTATGCTCCCTCCCAAAGGCCCTCCTCCCCCTTGTTCTGCCACCAGTTCATCTTATTTTAAAGATCACACGTATATAGGTGTGCTAGTTCCTGCCCCAAGTCCTGGATCCTTAGCTGAGTTCTCTGCTCAAACACCAGGGCCTGAGTCATTTTCCTTCTCTGACCTGCTGGTGAGCGAGTGTGCACACATGGGTGTGCACATGCACGTGGGAGTGTGGGGCAGGAGGGGAGCTCCGAGATCTTGTTCTTGGTCTGAGTGGAAAGACAATCAGGAATGGGTCTCGCTGGCTGATGAGGGTCCTTTTCTTTGTTCTGTTCTATGAAGTGAGCAGAGAGGGAGCTTTAGCCCTATAACCTTCTAGTTTGGGGAAAGGAATCTAACTGGTCATCTGATCTACTGACCAGAAGGACCCCCATTTCACCTCTGATTCTGGACCCTTCCTCTGCCCTCACTGCCTGAGTTCTTCCCTCGACAACTGAGTGCTCCCAAGAGCCATATCCTTCAGGCTTGCCTGTCCTTTCATGCCCGGACTCGCCCAGCTGCCCCTTCCCTCTGTTCTCACACAGGAGCTCAGAACCCCATTTCCTGGGAGGTACAGCGATTTGATGGGTGGTACAACAACCTCATGGAGCACAGATGGGGCAGCAAAGGTAGGTGAGGGCCAAATAGAGACAACCCCAGGGGCAGGGGTGCCCGAAGGGGCAAGGCCTGGCAGGTACCAGCAAAGGCTCATCCATTCTTAAGGTTTTAGGATCTGTGGTTTGGAGGGAAGCCTGGGAGAGAGGAGGTAAGGGAGCCCCACTGGGGATTTATGTTTGTCCCTACCCCTCCTACCCCAGGCTCTCGGCTGCAGCGCCTGGTCCCGGCCAGCTACGCGGATGGTGTGTACCAGCCCTTGAGAGAACCCCACCTGCCCAACCCGAGAAACCTTAGCAACACTGCCATGAGGGGCCCTGCAGGGCAGGCCTCCCTGCGAAACCGAACAGTGCTAGGAGTCTTCTTCGGTGAGGCCCTCAACCTCTGGGGGAGGGAGGCCAGTAGGGTCAGCTGGACACCTCTGTGTCTGAGGGGGGAGTCAGGGAGTGAGGGAGAGAAGTGATGGAGGATCTTAGAGATGCGTGTGAGAGATGGAGGGGGAGGCAATGAGATGGGGTATTCTTACCCAAAACTGGATTTGCCTCTCGGTGGATATTGAACCAAAAGACAAAACCAAGACAAGAATAGGAAGAGTTTTATTTAGAACAAGTAAAGGAAAACATGGTGAATATTTCCTAAAGCAGTGTCTTCCCAAATAATAAAACTGGGGAAGTTTTAAGGTAAGGGTACCTTACCTTAAGTGCATTCATGAAGGCACTTGTCCAATGGGGGATAAGTCTAGAATTTAGGCAAAAGTCATCTCGGAGTGACAGAGTCCAGGTCTTAATTGATGGAAGTCACATGGGCCAGCAAGGGTTGGCATCAATTTTCTGCCTTTTAATTGCTCTGATATCTCAGTGCTCAAAGGGGTTTGAATCCCGCAACGATAACTCAAGAATGTGCTTTGTGCAAGTAGGCATAAATCACAAGATGTCTGGGGCCTAAAATGACTTTGCTTAAGTCAAGAAAGCTATGTCTTGTATTTCTTTTTCTGGGGAAGAAAAAGTAGAGGGAGAAAGTCTGGTTGGGGGAGGAATAAATTTGCCCCACATTGAGCTGTTGATGGGACTGCAGGTAGAGGCAGGAGCATGACAATAATCTGGTAGGGACTTTTGGTGGGACCCTGTTCTTACTCTTTGCCCACTGTGACTCCTAGGACAGTCTCAGGGCAGGATTCTGATTTTGACAAGAGGGCTGGTGGGCGTGGGTGTCGAAATGGGGGTGCTAGGGTGGGTGGCCGGACCCCAGTGACTGTGGGTTGTTGGCTCCCAGCAGGAGTGCCAGGCTCCTGCTGGCCACCAGGGTGCCTACATTTGATTCCCAGTGTCCAGTGTTGTAGTGAGACTGGCAGGTTCTCTGGGCAGGCTGCTCCCAGCTGCATGTTGGAGCAGGTGTTCCCAGCCTGACTGCCTAGGCACACTCACCCGGCACCTCCCAGTTACCAAGGAGAAGACCAAACTGGCAATGAAAACACTTTGGACCAGGGTGTAACAAAGGATTGGGAAGGGTGGGGGAGGTCAAGACTTGGACTTGCCAAAAATGGCTGAGGAGTCTTTTGAAGCTTCAAGGGGAGTAAGGGAGGGCTAGATACCTGATGCAGAAGGGAGAATGGTCCTTAGGCAGGTCCTTGCACGCCCTCCCCACTGTGGACAGGCTACCACGTGCTCTCGGACCTGGTGAGCGTGGAGACCCCCGGCTGCCCAGCCGAGTTCCTCAACATCCACATCCCGCCCGGGGACCCAGTGTTCGATCCCGACCGGCGCGGGGACGTGGTCCTCCCCTTCCAGAGGAGCCGCTGGGACCCCGAGACCGGACAGAGCCCCAGTAATCCCCGGGACCTGGTGAGACGAGGCGGGCGGGGTCCCGGGTTCGCGGCCAGGCCAGCGCAGGGCGGGGCGGGGAGAGGCTCCCACCCCCTCGCGCACTGACACCCGCCTCCGCTACCCGACCCCCGGCCCACCCCCGGCTCACCCTCGCGGTGCCCCCTGCAGACCAACGAGGTGACGGGCTGGCTGGACGGCAGCGCCATCTATGGCTCCTCGCACTCGTGGAGCGACGCGCTGAGGAGCTTCTCCGGGGGGCAGCTGGCGTCGGGGCCCGACCCCGCCTTCCCCCGGAACGCGCAAAGCCCCCTGCTCATGTGGACGGCGCCCGACCCCGCCACCGGACAGCGAGGGCCCCGGGGGCTGTACGGTGAGGCCGCGGGGCGGGCTGCGGCGGCCGGGCGCGGGGCGGGGTGCGGGCTGCGGGCGGCGTGCGGGCTGCGGGCGGCAAAGTTGGTGGTCACACCGCCGCTCCTCTCCTGCCCTGCGGCCCCGCGTCGCCTGCAGCCTTCGGGGCGGAGCGAGGGAACCGCGACCCGTTCCTGCAGGCGCTGGGCCTGCTGTGGTTCCGCTACCACAACCTGTGCGCGCAGCGGCTGGCCCGCGAGCACCCGCAATGGGGGGAAGAGGAGCTGTTCCAGCACGCGCGCAAGAGGGTCATCGCCACCTACCAGGTCAGTGACGCGCCCTCTCCCCGCCCCCCCCCCCCCGTCCCCACCCCGACTGCTGCGCGGGAGACTCCGCTGCCCCGCAGAGCCCTCCGTCCTCGCGCAAGCAGCCCCCAGAAACGCCCTTTTCCGGGAGGACACTGCTCCCCAGAACTGGAGCTAGCGTCTAGGAATGGACCCCGAAGATGAGGAGCAGGAAAAGGACCCTCACACACGAGACTTGGCCGTGGTTATTAGTCATTAGCCCACGCCCATCCCGTGTTCCTAGTGGGGGACAGGCGTCCGCACCTGTCCTGTTGGAGTTGCCTCCCTGCTGACTGCCCCTGCCTGGCCCTCACCTCCCACCTAAGCCTTCCTGGGGCTCAGACCCTCCCAGCGTGGCTGCTCCAGCGCTTGCCTCCCTTTTGCCCTCTGTTGACCCTCAGAACATCGTTTTGTATGAGTGGCTGCCCAGCTTCCTGCAGAAAACACCCCCGAAGTATGCAGGTAAGGGGATGGGGAGGGAGAATGGGAGAGCTAGCAGGAGTTTTTTGGAGGTGGGGGGGGAGGGTGGGGAGGGAGGGTGGGTGGTTTAAGGGCTAAATGTTACTATCCTCTCTCTTCTCCCCTTCCCCCAGGATACAACCCTTTCCTGGACCCCAGCATCTCCCCAGAGTTCCTGGTGGCCTCTGAGCAGTTCTTCTCCACCATGGTGCCTCCTGGGGTCTACATGAGGTGAGGGCAAAGTGTAAACATTTGTGTGTTGGGAGGAATGGGGATGTCATTTGAGAAAAATCTGCCCTCAGGAAAGGATTATCAGTCTGAAGTGCTAATTTCCCCAGAGAACAATGAATTTGGAGGGGGAAGAACAATTGTTTAAAAAGACATCATTGTGGTTTTGAAGCACTTTATGTCCATTTTCCTACAGCTGGTGTATATATTAATCCTCCAATTAAACACAGGCTAATTGAGGCTCAGAGGGTGAGTCACAAAGCCTGCTGGTCTGAATCTTAGGTCTTGACGCTACACTGGGGGCATTTTTAACTATAAGCACAGGACCTGGATCTTGCAAGCCTTTCTAGAGAATTATAATTAAAAAAGCGTGAGAGCTGATGAGAAATTTTGACTCCAAAATAAGGAAAAGGGAAATTTAAACTAAAAATATACATTTTTAATTAAATGTATATGGAACAAAACATGTCAGTTTATTTTTATAATTGCATTATAATTTAAAACAATTTGTAGGTTAGGGGCACCTGGTTGGCTCAGTCTGTTAAACAGCTGCCCTGAGCTCAGGTCTTGATCCCAGGGTCCTGGGATTGAGCCCTACCTCCAGCTTTCTGCTCAGTGGGGAGTCTGCTTCTCCCTCTCCCTCTACCCCTTCCCCCTGCTCGTTTGCGTGCGCACACGCGCTCTTTGTCAAATAAATTAATAAAATCTTAAAAAAAAAACCAATTCATAGGTTAGATTTTCTTACTCTGGAACAATTTTTGGATATGCCTAATCATAGCCAAGAAATCATAGCATTTGACTTATCCATAGACAAGTAATTTCAAAAGAACAATTAAAAATCCTTTTAAAATGTTTTAACATAGGGGCGCCTGGGTGGCTCAGTTGGTTAAGCAACTGCCTTGGGCTCAGGTCATGATCCTGGAGTCCTGAGATCGAGTCCCGCATCGGGCTCCCTGCTCAGCGGGGAGCCTGCTTCTCCCTCTAACCCTCCCTGCTCTCATGTACTTTCTTGCTCTCTCAAATAAATAAATAACTCTTTAAAAAATGTTTTAACATATATATGTATATGTATATACATATATATACACACACACACATATATATATACACACTCACTCTTTGGGAATCAGGAGAGAAGAGGTGCTCTAAACAGAGCCCCATGCTGTTTAGTAATATATACATAGAGAGATGGAGAAAGAGATGGGGGAAGGGAAGCATGTGCATGCTTTAGGCACATTTTTAAATGGTTTTTTTTTAAGACTTTATTTATTTTTTTGACAGAGAGACAGGGAGAGAGGGAACACAAGCAGGGGGAGTATGAGAGGAAGAGGCAGGCTCCCTACAGCAGGGATCCCAATGCAGGGCTCGATCCCAGGACCCTGGGATCATGACCTGAGCTGAAGGCAGACACTTAATGACTGCGCCACTCAGGCGGCCCATGTTTTTAAATGTTTTAAATGTGACCTGGGCCCCTGGCTATGTACAGTCTTGGAGACCAGAGCTGATGCCTGACTTTAGGACCCCATGGCCTCAGTCATCATTCCCCTGCTCCTTGCATTTCAGAAATGCCAGTTGTCACTTCCAGGAGGTCATCAGTAGGAACTCAAGTACCTCCAGAGCTCTCCGGGTCTGCAATAGCTACTGGAGCCGAAAGGTCAGGGCTGGGGGCACATATATGGGTGGATGTATGTGTGTAGTGTGTGTGTGTGTGTCTGAGGTGTATGATGAAGGGGGGCAGTAGGGCCTAGGCAGCCAGCTTTACATGCTCGAAAGTCAATCCTCCACCTCCACCTCAGGCCTGTGTGAGGGACAGCGAGGCCTATGAAGGTGTGGCTCTACATTCATTCCTTCCTTGTAGGTTTTTTTTTCCTCCCTTGATAGTTCTAAGTCCCCCATAGGCCTTGGAGTACCCCAGCCATCCCACCCCCCCCCCAAGGAAATGTCCCAATTAGATATACCTAAGGCAATGTGTGAATGTGTGTGTTGAGGGGGGGACAAGGAGGAAGGAAGAGTTCTGAGATTATCAGGGATAATCTGTCCCATCCAAACCAGGCCAGTGTGGGTAAAGAGCATTGACGAATAATTTAAAGCAAAATCTGATACTTTGTGTGGAGCGTTCACAAGAGGAGAAGAGAGGTAGAAGGAAAAGGGAGAAGAGGGAAGAACAGAATCAGAGTCATAAAGCTGAATTGAAGAAGACCTCAGTATCCTCCTAATTGTTTTAATTTAATTTAACTTAATTTAATTTTATCCCTAATGCCCTTTTTATTAAGGAAAAGGCACCGAGTTCAGAAAGGTCCTGTGATTTGCCCATGGTCACACAGCTGCTCACTAACAGAGCAAGGACCAAGACCTAGATGTTCTAGTGTCTTTGTTGATCATACTGTCAAGTCTCCTAAAATAGAAGTAAAGTTTTAGATCCCTTGTGTTTGTGGGGACCTGTCTCCCAGCAGCATGAGCTTTGGATGGGGACATCACTCACCCTGAGTGGGGAATCAACCTATGGAGGAGGAATGGCCTGCTGGTTTCAGAGCAAACATCAGCACTGGGTGGGCCCAGGACATGGATTGTGGTGTGGGGAGAGCCTGGCTGCTCAACCTCCAGCCCCATCTTCTCTCCCCATTCCCAAAGCATCCAAACCTACAAAGAGCTGAAGATGTGGACGCGCTACTGCTGGGCATGGCCTCCCAGATCGCTGAGCGAGAGGACCATGTCGTGGTTGAGGATGTACTAGGTGAGGCTGAGGCTGTCCCTGAAGGCTGTGCCCTGCTGGCCCCTGGGTGGGGATTCTGTTGGAGCTCCAGTGTCAGGCCAGGAGGAGTGTCGGTGCCTGGGAGTCTGTACTCTTTCACTGCTGAGAGATGTGTTGACCATGGTTCCCTCTGTGTCATTCTGGTCCCACCTGGGGCTGGTTGGAGCCTGGGTCCTGGGATAGTGGAGCTGTGGTGGCCCTGAGCTCCCTCAAACTCTCTGCTATTTCATCCCCAGATTTCTGGCCTGGGCCCCTGAAGTTCTCTCGTACAGACCACCTGGCTGGCTGCCTGCAAAGGGGCCGGGATCTGGGCTTGCCCTCTTATACCAAGGCCAGGGCAGCCCTGGGTCTTCCTCCCATTACCAGATGGCAGGACATCAACCCTGCACTCTCCCAGAGCAACCATACCGTAAGGAGGGGTTGGGACACAGAAGGCAGGGTGGGAGGGCCCAAGGCACATTGGCCCAAGTCACATTGGCCCAAGACATGGAAGGGAGGCAGTGAGACACAAACACTAGAGACAAGTCCCTGGGGAGAAGGATGGGACTCAGCCAGGTGGCTTTTCCCAGTATCATACACCAGGATGGAAGTTACCAGACCAGCAGGATTTGGCAGTATATCTTGTGACTCTGCAGATCTAGCAAATGTTTGTTGAGCATCTCTTGCATGCTACACACTTAATAGGCATTATCTCATTTGCTCTTCCCAACAACCATCTGAGCAGGTGTAGAAGGTCCTCAACCCAGGAACAAGCTATACTTTTTTATACACTGATACTCAAGCTGCCTTTGGAGAGTCAACTGTCACACCGTGAGCTATCGCCTGGGAAAGTGGTATTGCCTGCCAGCCAACAGACTAGTTTTGGTGGCCTTAGCATCTTGGCATAGTAGCATTTCTACAATTGCATGCTTGTTTTATTGCTTTCGTCCTTACCATTTTATAAGATTGTTGGAAAGTGGAGAATTGAAAGGCTGATGAAGAAGCAATACACACATGGGGCTTGTAAACTTTATAAAATCAGTATAAAGATAGGAATCACCAGGCATACCGAAAGTAGCAAATCTTTAGCTTACCTGGGCCTCACTGGAATTAAGCTGGGCAAATGTTTGTTTACATTGCAGAGAAAAGAACAAAGTAAAGGTCAGGTAGAAAATGCTGCTCATATAATGTTGAAGTCTGTCTCCAAAAAGCAATGTATATGCAGGGATTTGATTTTTAAAAACTTTTTTAGCTCTAAGAATAGAAACCTTTTCTAATACATCATTCTACCTTTCCAACTTTTGTACTGGTTTTGACCCTCAAATTTCATACCATTTTGAGCACAAGCCACATAGGGAACTGGCTGCCCGTTTTGTTCAACTTTCTAAAATAGGCAGCTGAATCTGTGAGCGAGTTCCCATAAATGAGTTAACTTGTGTAAAGCATTTGGAGCGGTGCCTGGGGCATAATAAGTGAGTGATTGTCACTGTCATTTATCATTATCACCCCAGGGGCTGATCCCTGCGCACTACCTCTTTGCCCCAGGGTGGGTGCCAGGTCCTTGCACTCACTCATGTCCCTTCTTGGCCCAGCTGCTGGAGGCCACAGCTGCCCTGTACAACCAGGACCTGTCCCAGCTGGAGCTGCTCCCCGGGGGGCTCCTGGAGAGCCATGGGGACCCCGGGCCCCTCTTCAGCACCATCGTCCTTAACCAGTTTGTGAGGCTGCGGGATGGCGACCGCTACTGGTTTGAGAACACCAGGAATGGGTAAGGCCTGCCTGGGTCCCTTCCTCAGACTTCACCTTGGCCTGGGCCCCAGGCCCTCTGCAAGTAATGTCAGCAGCCCCATGGGCCCTTGATTCCCAGCCAGCCTCCCACACTCCTCGGCCCCTCTGGGTTTCTTTCCTCATCTGGGTTCCTGGGCCAGAGCAGGCATCTCTCTCCCAATGCAGCAGCTCACCACCTCTCCCACCCCCAGGCTGTTCTCTGAGGAAGAAATTGCAGAGATCAGAAACACTTCCCTACGGGATGTTCTAGTGGCTGTCACCAACATGAACCCCAGTGCCCTGCAGCCCAATGTCTTCTTCTGGCATATGGGTGAGTGACCAGGGGGTGCATGGAAGGGCCTGGGGTCTGGTGTCTCATCCCTCCTCATCCGTGGGCCTGGTTCAGGTGCGGTTGGGCAGTAGACTCCAAGGAGGCAGTGAGCCATGTTTCTGCCCTTGAGAACTTTGGTTCTGGGCACCAAGGTGGCCACATGTGGCTGTATAGGTCCCCTTCTGCACAACTTCAGAGGGTACCCAAGTGGGGGCAAGACTGAGACTCAGAGAGACGTAGGGAGGAAGGCTCCCATCAGCTGGGCTGAGCCTGGGGTGGGTGTGGTATCAGGAAGGTCCAGTGCAGTGAGGATAGCCTAATCCCACAGCAGTGACAAGGGAAGGGCTGTGTGTGTGTGTGTGTGTGTGTGTGTGTGTGTACATATGTGCGTGTGAGGGAGAGAGAGGGCTGAGGTTCATTTTTGACCCCACTTGTTACCCCACTAGGCAAACACCACATTTTTGGTATACTGACAGGGGTAAGCAGTTCTCACCCCTCTGCTACCCAGAGGCCCCCCTACTCTACCCTTTCTGCCACTCTGACCTCTTCGGTGATTCTGTGCCAGAGCCTCTGGCCCGGCACGTCCCAGGACTCTAGCTTCCTCTGTCTCCCCAGGAGACCCCTGCCCGCAGCCAAGACAACTCAGCACTGAGGGCCTGCCAGCCTGTGGTCCCTCCATCATGTGGGACTATTTTGAAGGCAGTGGATTTGGCTTTGGAGTCACAATCGGGACTCTCTGCTGCTTCCCCCTGGGTAAAAGTGATGGGCAGGGTGGTGTTGGGTGAAATGCATAAGCTAAGGGGTGGCAGTGGGGTGGTTTCATCTCTAACAACTGACCATGCGGAGTACTGTTTCTTTGGGCACATGACGAAAACATCAGAGCAGGAGGGGACATGAGAAGTGTCTGACCTGCAGATAAGTCAGCTCCAGCGAAATTTGCCTTCCTGTTCTCCTGGGGTCCCTCCAGGGCCTAGGTTGGTCAGGAGTCACAAGGAATCTGTATTTCACAGTTATTTGCAGGAGCCTGGGCCTGGGAAACTGTCCAAGGCAAACCCTGCTTGAGAGCCAGTTGAGAACTAGCTTGAGACTTAGAATTCGGCATGGCTATGTGTGAGTCCACCAGCTGCATGGCAGAGTGGGTCCAGTCTCTGGCACAAGGACTCTGGCCTTAGTCTCTGGCTGGGAAGGGAACTGAGTGGTGGAAGCAACAGAGGCTGTGTTGGCATCTTGCCCAAAGCTCCTTCCCCACCCCTACCCCACTCCGCACCGGGGAGCTTCACAGTTTGAGATAATGAATGAGCCGACCTAGGAGGTGGGGAGAGCAGGGGGCCTTGCCAAGGAAAGGGGCCACTGATCTCCTCAGACTCCTACCATTCCTCTGAGCATCCTCCTGCCTCTGCCCTCTCAGTGAGCCTGCTTAGTGCCTGGATTGTTGCCCGGCTCCGAAGGAGAAATTTCAAGAGGCTCCAGGGCCAGAACCGCCAGAGCATCATGTCTGAGAAGCTCGTGGGGGGCATGGAAGGTAGGCCTGGAGCTGGCCAGGGTGCTGCGGGGGAGGACATGACTCAGGGCTGCAGACCGCTCCCACCTCAGCAGCCTAAGGAAAAGGCCTCACTTTTCTAGGCCTCCAAGCAGGTCAGGGCAGGTGGGAAGAGCCATGGAGGCATCAGGTGGAAATTGGACCTGGAGTCCTCCACCCTCCATAGATCCTCCCCGTGGTCCCACATAAAGGGGATGTGATAGACTCATGGGGAGGAGTCACAGGGCCTTGACTACATTTCATAGGCTTACCATGACTCTCTAGAATCCTCGGCAACAGATGCTTTGTGGCATCTTACACTGGAATTTCAGGCAACAGAGAAGTAATTAATGAAGGTCCAGAGTCACACTGGTGGAGGATTGGAATCTTGATTCCACCACTTGAGCTTTTGGGCCTTAGGCAGATTTTTTAAATCTCTCTAACCCTATTTTTTTTATCTGTAAAACAGGAATAATAATAGCACTTACCTCATGAAAGTTTATGAAGATTATATTAACTAGTTCATGCCAAGTACTTGGTACAGTATTGGGCACACAGTAAACACTCAGGAAATGGTAGTTATTCTTCACGTGGGCTAGAGGCACAGCAGGACTATTGGGGAGCGGACGACCCTCAGTACTCAAGAAAGGGCCAGGAACTACGGAGGCCCTGACCTAACTCCAGCCCTAAGCTAGCCTCCTTTGTCCTGGCCCCAGCTGACCCTGAGCCCTGTCTCTCCAGCATTGGAATGGCAGGGCCACAAGGAGCCCTCCCGGCCTGTGCTGGTGCACCTGCAGCCCGAGCAGATCTGCGTGGTGGATGGCAGGCTCTCTGTGCTCCGCACCATCCAGCTGCGGCCCCTGCAGCAGGTCAGCCTCATCCTGTCCGGCAACCGCAGACGCCGCGCCCTCCTGCTCAAGATCCCCAAGGAGTATGACCTGGTATGGCCCAGTTGGTCCTATTCCTGGTCCATAGCCAGGGAGGCAGCCAGGTGGAGGGGAAGGAGCACTGCATCAGGCAGGGTTTCTGGCTTCTAGTTCCCAGCTGTAGTACCTCATAGAGAAACGTGAACACATTCATCCTGCTCTGGGCCTGTAGGGTGACATGATCTCCACAGTGCCTTCTTCCTGCTTAGTCTTCCTCCCCCCATCTAAGGATGCTTCGGTGGGTCCTAGCTGGGAGTCCTTGGAAGAAGCCAGGCCCTCTTTCCTGCCCCCTGATTTTAGGATCTAGTGAATTGTTAAGAGATTTTGGAGGGGAACTCAACCAGAGGCCGATTTTCAGCTCTGTCTGGCTCCCAGTCCCCTCCGTCATCTGTCCTCCCCACCTTCCCTTCTCTTCTCCAGTGTGAACAGAGAGGGAAGGATGGCTGCAGACATGAGTCTCTGAATGCAGTCTCTGTGCCTATAATCGAGCCCAGAACCCCGTCGAGCCCAGGACATAACAGTAAATCCCTTTTACAAGGGCACTCTTCCCAGTGGCCCCTGACAAAACCCATGCAAAGCCCCTGGCCCCAGGGGGCCCTGACAAATGATTGCTCTCCCTGTTGCCACTCTGTAGGTGCTGCTATTTAACCTGGAGGCAGAACGGCAGGTGCTGGTGGAAAACCTTCGGGGGGGCCCTGAAGGAGAGCGGGCTGAGGTTCCAGGAGTGGGAGCTGCGGGAGCAGGAGCTGATGAGGGCGGCTGTGACGCGAGAGCAGAGGAGCCACCTCCTGGAGACCTTTTTCAGGCACCTTTTCTCCCAGGTGTGTAGCTAGGCTCAGGTCTGTCCCTGCATGTCCGCCTATGGCGGTGCCCTTACCTGAGGGTGGCCGCGGGGTGACTCCAGGGAAGTCAGGAGCCCTGACACTACTCATCAGGTCTGCTGCGTTTTGGGCCCAACCACTTGGCCTTTCTGTAAGGAGATGCTCCACAGCGCCTACCTGTGGGACTCCAGGGAGGCCATGTCAGGAGCTTATCTGCTCAGCGTGTCGCTGAGCGTGCAGATGTGTCGCTCAGCGTGCTCCTCAGGGCTCTCTAGCTTTTCTGCCCTCACTTAACTCATCCTGGCCAAAAGCCCGCAGAAACCCAGGGTCGTGTGGGGGCAGTGAGGACCCTTGGTCCCCCATCCTTGGTGGAGTGCATCTGCCAGAGGCCTCCATGGGGCATTGGTGCCCACCTTGCAGACTTCCATGAACTACTGAGAGGGTGTGGGGAAACAAGCCAGGAAGAGAAATGCAAGGAACTTGCATCCATATCTGGCACATAAATAAAGCCTCCTGGGTCCAAAAGGGTGGAGAGGAGACACTTGGTAAGAGATAAGATCCATCCAGCCTAGGCCCCACTCAAAGAGTTCGTCATCCCTCTGGGAAAAAAGAACAAACACAGGAAGGAAGATAACCAGCACTTCAGAATAATGGCTACAAAACTGAGCCGGGAGCTAAGCAGTGCAGGAGTTCAGAAAAGGTGGTGGACGCTCATGGTTCGGGTCAGATTTGGCGAGGACTTAAAAAGAGGTGAAAAATTTTTGGCTCAGAGGAAAGGAGCAGGGGGGACTGAGCAGAGGTGCCCAGTAGAAGGCCAAAAAAATTAATGTTTGAGGAGAAGGAGCAGGGTTGGCTGGCCTGGGAGAGGATTCGTGAGGGAAGTGACCATTTAATGGTCATTTACGATGTGCCAGGCACATGGCTCTTGTCATTTACTCCCCAAGCCTGTTGAACTTGAGTATGCACTAGAATGGCGGGACCCCCAGGCGGGGAGACTCATTGCCAGGGCCCAAGTAGGGCTGGGGCACATCCATCTACTCAGTTCAGGACCCATCAGAGCTATGGGGACTCCTTGTGCGGGGGATGTGAGGGTGTGTTACTGTGTCTGGGGGATAGCTGCCAACCCTCTCTGTCTGCACAGTACTTCCAGGTTTCAAGATGTTTTCCATACAACGTCTCTTGTTGATTCTCACAATAGCCCTGTGAGATAAGTAAGGCATGTAAGAAAAATTGAATGCCAGACAACTGGAGAGACTTGCCTGAAGTCACACAGCAAGTGGGTGGCAGAGCTGGGACAGGAACCCAGTCTTTTGCCTCCAGCCCCAGGCTCTTTCCACTAAAGCTCCTTGTTTGAAGCAACAAGGTTTGCCTCGTGAAACCACAGCCGGGTTGGGACTGGGGGCCCCCGGCTGACAGGCGGGAGAAATAGGTGCTGTGGCCTGAGGCCTGCCTGCTTCCCTCACCGCCTGTTCTGATGCTGGGGCAGCCCCTGGGTGGGCTGAAGATAGCCTACCGTGAGAATTCCCCTTTCCCAAGCACAACTTTTTCTCAACTCAGCTGAGGCTTTTTCTCAATCAAAACACCTTTGGGTGTAAGAGCAAGCTAGCACTGACAAAGGGTCAGTTGACTCTGAGGCTATGGTCTCAGGAATTCCAAAGGGAGGACTGTGACCTGGCCTGGAAGGGGCGAGGAAAGGGAGAGTTGCCAGCAAACAAGGTCACTCGCTTCTCTCTCTTGGCCTGCCTTGTTTTCTCTGTGTGTTTACTTCCCTCTGTGTGTGTCCCTGAGCACTTGGAAGAACATGGTGGTCCACCACTTTTGAGTTTTCTTGTGCTCAGGTCAAGACAGACCTGGGACCTCTTAGTCCCCATTCCAGATCGTCTGCTTGGGTCAAGTGTGCATGTCTGGTCCAGTGAGCTAACACAGAGGGCCAGGGCTCTGTAGAAGAAATGGCCCCAGGGACTACCTGCTGGGCACGGGGTAGATGCTCAGGAGACAGGGTGCTGGGCAGAAACCTGGAAAAGGTGCCTCCTACAAGCCTCAGCCAGACTTCAAATCAAGGAAACCTTGTCTCCCTCTGCTGCTGCCCGAGTGCAGGTGCTGGACATCGACCAGGCAGATGCAGGGACCCTGCCCCTGGACTCATCACAGAAGGTACAGGAGGCCCTGACTTGCGAGCTGAGCAGAGCTGAGTTTGCCGAGTCCCTGGGCCTCAAGCCCCAGGACATGTTTGTGGAGTCCATGTTCTCCCTGGCTGACAAAGATGGCAATGGCTACCTGTCCTTCCGGGAGTTTCTGGACATCCTTGTGGTCTTCATGAAAGGTAGGGGAGAAGGGAGTGATTGTCCAGGTAGGAGAAGATGGAAGGGGCTAGAGACTGAAGCTGAAGGGTAGCTGACCCATTGGAGATGGGAAGGTGCCAGATCAGGTCTCCAGCCACGGCCGACATTTGGGAGCACCCAGGTAGAGCTCAGGAAGCACAATGACCCCTTGTTGTGTTCAGCAGTGGGTCACACTCATGTGAGGCCCCTTCTGGCCAGCCTGGGGTTTAGGCAGGTAGGTTGGGGCTCTCACGGGGTCCTCCTCCTCCCAGGCTCTCCTGAGGAGAAGTCTCGCCTTATGTTCCGCATGTATGACTTTGATGGGAATGGTCTCATTTCCAAGGACGAGTTCATCAGGATGCTGAGGTTGGTCCTGTGGCATGGCCAGAAGAGTGGGCCAGGACAGGGACTGCTGGTGGAAAGAAGAAGGGGCATGAAGGTGGGAGCAGGAGGGTAAAGAGCTGGGGCCATATAGCCGAAGACTGTTATAACTAGGAGGGGGCTTGGGATTTGACCAGTTGGGGCCCTTCCATGTGGACTCTGAAGGCCTGGTGGGATGGCCAGTAGGCCCTCCTGTCCAGGCTTCAGGCTTCTTTTCAGGGCCTGATGGCTTCCCTCCCCTGACCCCAGGTCCTTCATCGAGATCTCCAACAACTGCCTGTCCAAGGCCCAGCTAACAGAGGTGGTGGAGTCCATGTTCCGGGAGTCTGGCTTCCAGGATAAGGAGGAGCTGACGTGGGAGGACTTCCACTTCATGCTGCGGGACCATGACAGCGAGCTCCGATTCACGCAGCTCTGCGTCAAAGGTGGGGTGGCCTGGCCTTGGGGCTGACTGACATAACCATTAGACACAGCAGGCACAGTGCATCGGGCCCACCTACTTTTAGGAGCCTACAGAAATGTTTTAATCTCTTTTAAAATCAGAAGAATGAATGAATATAATAATAATGAATAGGTGATAATATATCCAGCCTGGATTATATCCTTTAATATACTGACACAGTTGTAAAAAATATTTATCTTTTATAAATATATGTATATACTTTTTTTTTTAAGGGCGGAAGTGGTTTAGGAAGGTGACAGTGCCTAGGGCCCACAAAAGTCCTAATGCAGCTTTGCTCCCAGGGTGGGCAGGGTCAGGATGGGGTGTGGGACAGCAGATAGAAATCTGCTTCTCCCAGCTCTCTGTCAAAGGCCCCTGTGCCGGGTGCCCAGGTCCAGGCAAACAGTGTCTCCTTGTTACAGCCCTAACCAGGCCATATTCGCCTGAGCCAGGGTGTCTGGTGGCAGGGGGGTGGGGGGCTGGGGGGTTGTTTGCCTTTATATCCCTTGGCTGAGTGCTCAGTTAATGTTTGCTTGAGTGCATGGAGAGACCCACTTCTGTTGTCCTTCCCCCTACTTCCTGTCCCACCTGTGTCTGACTCAGGTGGGTGGGGGCTAGAGCCAGGGTGAGGAAGGGGCAGGTAGCAGGACTCTCTGTGGCCTACTCTGAGCTGTTATGGTACCTTCACAGTTTCTCACTGGGGCATGTTGAGACCAAACCCAGCCCCTCCCAGGGGAGCTGAGCAGCCCAGATGGGGGAGAGGGGTGAGTTGGGCAGGACATAGCTCACACAGCCCAGGGCTGGAGGGGAGCTGGTGGAGTGCAGACCCAGCACTCCTGATTATTCAGCCTCTCACTTTTCCCAGGCAATGAGGGCAGTAGGCACCGGGGCCTGAGGGCAGAGCAGGGGCAGGTGCCTGGAGGTAAGCCCAGGCCAGAGTCCCAGGAACATCCATCCAGCCCCTGGGGTAGAAGACCAGGCTGGGGGAGTGAGGATTATGTAGAAGGGTAGCATTGAGTCCTATTTTGTTTTGTTTTTAATTGTTGTTGTGCCTTGTTGTTTCCTTCAGATTTTACTATGAAACATTTTAAATATACCTACAGAAAAGTTACAAGAATAGCACAAGGAGCGTCCCTTTACCCTTTTCACCTAGATTTGCCTTTTGTTACCATTTTGCCACACTTGCTGTTTGCTAAAATTTGAGGGATAAATACCTGTACTTTGTTGTAAACATTCTGATTTCATGAAATTCAGCTTAATCACTTTTGCCCTCTGGGCTGTAGACCAGGGTAATCTTCAAGACTGGTTTAGCACTTGGAAGTGACTTGGAGATTCTCAGGCCTCCTGTGAGAACATGGCTTTGCAGCTCAGTCCTGCCCTGCCCCTCAGTGCTCAACCCAGACAGAGAGGAATGGGTGGCTCATGGCAGAGTATTTTCCCCACAACATTTTATTATGAACATTTTTTTAGACACAGGAAGGCGGCAAGAATTTTTTGGTGATCTCCATATATGCACCACCCAGAGCTACATTTAATTCCCAGGAGGTTTTAAGCTGAAGGGTTTAGCAGGGTTTTTGTGGCAGGATGGTCTCAGCGGGCAGGTTGCACACAGTTCCTGAACTCTACCGCATAAGCCTGATACCAGTCCCGGGAGTGGGGCTGAAGGTGGACACGCATCCAGGGGACACTGCCGGGCCAGCTTTGTCTCAGGCCCTCTCCCTGCCCACTCATGGCTGGGTCTGGCTCCCACTGGTGGCACAGGCTGAGGCTGGGACACCCAAAGCCAAGGGTACTGGCCAAGGACCCTCTACAGTATGGGCATGGGGTGAGTGCCAGGTCTTCCTGGGCTCTGGGCCCTGAGCTGTTGCTCTGTGTTACAGGAGTGGAGGTGCCGGAAGTCATCAAGGACCTCTGCCGGAGAGCCTCCTACATCAGCCAGGAAAGGATCTGGTGAGTCCTCCTCCGGGAATGTCGGAGGGAGGGCTCGGGTGGGGGCATTGCCTTTTCTCTCCCCAGAAGGCCTGGGATCAGCGGCTCTACCAGCCTACGTAGTGGCTTCATGCAAATTAGAAGAAAGGGCTCCTTGCTCTAGGCAGACCCAGCCCTGCACCAGGAAGAGCAGAGAGCCTGCTGCCAGGGTCAGATGCCCTTGTGAAGGGCTCAGCTGTGTGTGTATCCCCAGGATCTAACTCATTCTCTGTCTAGGTCTCAGTGGGAATCCTGCTGTCCCCTGCCTGAGAGCTCTGACCCTTCCTCGACAGAATCCGTCTGAGGACAGACCAGGGGCAGCAGAGGATCGAGTGGCTCAGGTGGCCAAAATCCTCTCTCTCTTGTTCCTGTTAGTCCCTTCCCCAGCGTGAGTGCTCGCTGTCCCCACAGCAGTGCTGATGTGGAGTGGGCAGCACAGAGACTGCAGTGCCCCATGGACACAGACCCTCCCCAGGAGACTCGACGGAGGTTTGGCAAGAAGTACGCCTGCTCTTCTCCTTAAGCCCAGGCGGTTCATCCATCCCTTTAGCATGCCGGGGTGCAGGCCGGATGTATAGTTCATGCCCAGGAAGATCACAGTCTGACAAGATGGTCTGGCACATTGATAATTACAGTGTCCCACTGATGAACGTTGCAATAGTGCTCAGAGCAAAGGGCTTCAGAGCTCAAGGAAGTGCTCACCTCTGCCTGGGAAGTCAAGGCAGGCTTCCTGGAAGGGGGTGTCTTCTGAGCTTCCAGTAAAGGGTGAGAATGGAGCAGGGTAAGAACACGGAGCTGCAGACTGGGAGGGGAGAGGGCTGGCTGAGTGTAAGTGGGAACTGGGCTAGAGGGAGTGCATCCCCTGGGACGAACTGACCAAGTGAGCACTTGCAAGGCTATCCCTATGCAGGGGTGCATAGCCAGAGCCAAGACTTCCCATCCCCCAGGGTAACATCATTCCAGCCCCTGCTGTTCACGGAGGCTCACCGGGAGAAGTTTCAACGGGGCCGGCGCCACCAGACCTTGCAGCAGTTCAAGCGCTTCATCGAGAATTACCGCCGCCACATTGGCTGCGTGGCCGTGTTCTACGCCATCACCGGGGGCCTCTTCCTGGAGCGGGCCTACTGTGAGTGTGGGCAGCTCTGGGGTCGGGGCTCCTGTGGGTGCAAGGGGCCTGCCTGAACGGAGGGGTGGTGCCTCTCAGCAGCACTCTCTCCTCCACACTGCTCCCCTCTTACCCGCCTGGGCTCCCCAACAGACTACGCCTTTGGGGCTCACCATACGGGCATCACGGACACCACCCATGTGGGCATCATCCTGTCCCGGGGCACGGCCGCCAGCATCTCTTTCATGTTCTCCTACATCCTGCTCACCATGTGCCGCAACCTCATCACCTTCCTGCGAGAGACCTTCCTCAACCGCTACGTGCCCTTCGACGCCGCCGTGGACTTCCATCGGCTCATTGCCTCCACGGCCATCGTCCTCACAGGCAAGGCCCCGGAGCCCCAGGGGTTCTGTCCACATCCTCCCTTGCTGCCTGCCCCTCCTTTCTTTTGTGCTTCCGTGTAAGCCCTAGATGTCCTTCTCAGAAGGATGGAGCTGGCCCTGCAGTGGTGTGGAGTGAGCCCAGGAGCAACCCCCCGCCCCCCCGGGCCCCTTCCCATGCTTTCAGGGCCACCTCACCAGCCTCCAGCTGACAAGTTACCCACACCCCAGAACGAGGGCACATCATGTGCAATCTCTCCCAGCTTTTGTGTTGTAAAACATTATCTGTGAGAGAAACCCAAAGAATGAACTTCTAATGGTATAATTTCAGACTCCTCTGACTGTGCTCATCGATGGTATATATGGGGGCACGGTGGGGACGGGGAGGGACAGGAAGATGATGAGCGATCAGAGGTGCAGGCCCCTAGGGTCCTTCAGGCCCCCAAGGCTGGGTGGCTGGAGTCCTCCAACTTGGGCTAAATGGGTTGAACGCCCCCACCAGGCTGCCCCTGGCTCACTCCCACCCTGTGTGGTCTTCCTTAGTCTTGCACAGTGCGGGCCATGTGGTGAATGTGTACCTGTTCTCCATCAGCCCACTCAGCGTCCTTTCCTGCCTCTTCCCTGGACTCTTCCATGACGACGGGTGAGTGAGTGGGCAACACTGTGTGTGTGTGTGTGTGTGTGTGTGTCAAGGTGGGGGAAATTCTCTTGGCTCAGAGGAGAATCACCTTCCAGGCTATAGGACAGACAATGACCAGCCAGAGCCCTGTGCCCAACTGGGCAGAAAGGGAGACTGGTGGCTGGGTTGGGGTATTTCCTCTGGAGGATTCTTTCTGGAAGTCCCAGACATCTCTTCTCAGCATCCTTCCTTGCTTTTCCTTCTCCACAGGTCTGAGTTTCCCCAGAAGTATTACTGGTGGTTCTTCCAGACTGTGCCAGGTGAGAGCCCTCTCTGCTCTAAATTTCTGGGTCTGGCTCTGAGCTCTGGGCTCTGGGTTCGATCTGCCATGAGGCAAGCCCACTAGCACTCACTCAGCTCTCATGGTGGGCCAGGCTCTGCCCTCTGGTCCTGAGGACTCCCCTGGACAGTAGGAGCTTCAGCTCTCCAGTCATTCTCTTGGAAGCTTGGTTGGGCTCCTGCCCCAACTCTGAACATCCTCCTTCTGTGGAATGGGAGTGGACCCCCTCTCCCCCCACCCGAACATACACACCTCCCATGACAGTGGCTTTGAAGAATAGCTGTGCCCCAGCTGCATGGTGGAGGGACCTGGTTTGTCCCAACTAGGCAGAGCCCCCCACCTCTTGTAGTCTGTCTTGACAGGAGCTGTTTAGGGACAAATTCCTAACTCCCCATAATCACCCATTTTAGAACTATTAGCTGTGAATCTATTCAAAAGCTTCTTGAACCTATTTATATTTTCAGTGTGTTTCCTCCTTGGGGTAACACATTTTCTACACTCCTCTCTGTGAAACACAGCATTTTTTTTTTTTAATCCTAAAACAATCTGCTTTGAACTTCAGAGTGCTTGCTAATTCCTGCACACTGGGATTTAGTGTGGATAAGGCTGTCATTATGCCCTCCTCTCTGCTCAGGCCTTTACTGGCTTTGGTTAGATCCCTTCTTCACTTCTGCTTTTCCATACTGCAGGGCTCGAATCTTCGTAATTTCTGCCTCGCTCCTCCTTGATCGCTTGAGGGGCCATTCTCTGGCCCCACACTCCCGTCCTGAATCTAGTATTGCTCTCTTGTGTACCCCGGGTCTGGGATCCCCTGTGAGAGGAGGGGCCTCCCACCAACACTGGGCTGAACCCAGGGGGCTCAGGTGGTCGCGCTTGCTCACTAATGGCCCCAGCTCATGCTGTGGTAGCCACGCCGCGGCTACGGGATCATAGACTGAGTCTTGACTCCATGGGGGCGGGGCCTGCAATGTCCAAAGTCTGACCCAGAGGGCCCAGAGTAGATGCCCCGTGCGTTCATTCAGTCAGTACACGTTTATATGAGGCCCCCAGGAGGCGCTAGGATTCTGTGCTGAACCAGCAGCAGCCTGGTCCCTGTTCTTGTGGGCCTGACAGTCAGGGAAGTGACAGACGAAACAAATGATACCGGTACTTGAAAAATAACAATCGGGACAAGGCCTTGGAGGGGTAAGCAGAGTCTGTAGAAACAAAGGCACCTATGATCAGTGGTGTGCGAGAACAGAGGAGGAGCCTGGGCTTCCACGGCCCCCACCTGGAGCAATGAAGTGGGACGGGGACCCTGACCCATGGCAGCCTCAGAACAGCCCCGCTCCTCTGCCCTTCAACCCATGTTCATTTTGCAGGCCTCACGGGGGTCCTGCTGCTCCTGGTCCTGGCCATCATGTATGTCTTCGCCTCCCACCACTTCCGGCGCCACAGCTTCCGGGGCTTCTGGCTGACCCACCACCTCTACATCCTGCTCTACGTGCTGGTGAGGGCTACTGGGGTCTTGGCAGGATGATCCCAGGGAGGCCATGAGGGCTGAGACATCAGTTCTCCATCCCCTGAGGCATTTCAGGAATCCCCTCCACTTCTCACTTCAAAGCTGGAGAGTATAGTGGGGGGCTGTCAAGCAGACGGACCCGGGGATGCAGTGCCTGGGAGACAGATGCCCTGGCATGGGTCTGGCAGTGACAACCCTACCAGGCTGGACTCATTCCTTGCAGATGCCCGCACATTGTTTCTGCCCAGCCAGTCATTCCCCAGTTCCGGTGGCTGGTGTGAGCTCCTGGGTGGACTGCCCACCTTCACAGGAGCATCACCCTTTTGTTGAGAGAAACATATCTTAATTTGGTTCTGCCACTTTTGTTCTGATCCTGTTTTCTGGGGTGTCAGCACCCTCCCCAGCGAAATGCCACTTGTAGAATTAACGAGCTTGCTCAAAATGTCTTCACTTGGACTGTTGATAAGATGGGTTTTTAAGACTACCTGTTCCCTTTCCTTCTCTTAACCCGGGCTCCTGCCTCCCTTCCTTCACATTCCCTCCCTTCTCTTGTCCTTTCCCTTTACCTTCCCTGAGTTTGCCATCAGCTGTGTCAGCTAATTAGATCCAGAGCTGACTCCGATCTGTGCCTGTGTCTTGGCTCTGCTTGGCCTGCCTTCCTCACGGACACAGGCAGTTCCCTAAAGAGCACCTGAGGGCCTGCTGAGAAGCTAAACTAAGTCCCAAGGCCCCAGCATCCCCACCAATGATAGCTTGGCTGCCAGCATACAGAAGCACAGAGCCCAGATGGTTGCCATCTGTCACCTGGCTCCAGGCAGAACTGCACAGAGTCCTGAGACAGAGGGAGACAGTCCATCATGGCCTGGGTCAGGCTGGCACCCGGGGGGCTGCCCTGCCTCCTCCCAGGTGCAGTTCTGTCCTCACTGATCAGAGAGTCTGTTTCCCTATTGCCCGAGGCTCAGCACTTCACGGTTCTGAAGATGACTACCCAGCCTTGGCTTAGGTCGTTTCCTAGAACTGATGTTTGTTTCCAAAGAAATCTCTGCCTTCTTTGGAAGCTGTGGCTAATTTCTCTCTCCCTACCCACCCTTGCTAGGGTGGAGCCCTAGCATCCTGGGTTACTGTTTCTGTTAGGGGCTGGAGATGATGTTCCTGGTGAAAAAGCAGCTTCTTTTAACTCGATGGGAGACCCAGAAGAGTGGCCAGACTGGTTCCCTGAGACCAAGACCCCTTTCTGACTTATTCCTGGGTTTTGGGGATCAGTGGGGTTCAGAGCCACCCTTCCTGCCAGCAGGGAAGTCAGCAGCTCAGAAAGGTGCAGGACCCTCTGCTGGGCAGTCCTAGACCTGGCCGCTAGGAGAGTCTCACCTGGGGGGGATATCAGGGCTGAAACACCCACTTCCTTCCCATTTATCCCTGGTGTGGCCACTTGACTTGGGGCAGAAAGAGAAGCTACAAGTAAAGGACCCCAGTGTGGAGTCGACCCTGCAGAAGGATGTCCAGGCTCCTGATCCAAGCAGAAGAGGGCAGGGATAGCTTCCCCAGCCCTCAGCCAACCATGAATCTGCAGTAGTTTTGTGGTTTAAAAGTAGAGCCAACACCAAATGGGATGTATAAACAGAGCAGTATGAGGTCACCCCGACATTGTTCTCAGCCTGGTTTGATGCTCAGGAAGCCTTGGCGGTGGGTGTGGGCTCCATAATGAAAGAGGAACTTGGGGAAACCGGAGCCAGTTCAGGGAAGAGCCCAGAGAGGTTTAAGTTAGTCCTGTGGGCAAAGGAACACTAAGCTGGGGAAAAGGAGAGCTGAAAGAGGAGCCAGAGTTCAGTTTAACAGTTATCTGTCAAAGGGTCTAGTATGCACTTGTTCAGTGGAGGGGCGGGGGGGGGGGGCACTCAAAGCTCTGCCCTCAGGAACTTAGGATTTGCTGCAGAGATAAGTGCCATTAACTTGAAATGATCAGAATGAGCAGACAATATAGGATTAACTGCTGAGCTGAGTGTTCCAAACAGTGAGTTATAGTAGCTCACTGAAGGGAGTTTCATTTGGGCCAAACTGGTTAGGGAAGACTTTGGGGAGAAGATGGGACTTGAGCCAAGCCTTAAGGAGAGGTAAGCTAAGATTTGACAAGGCAGAGTGGAATCTGAAAAGCATTCCAGGTAGAAGAAAGGGCATGAGCACTGGTACAGAGGTGGAAATAATGATTCAGGGCACAGAGGGGACAGGCTGTGGATGGCCCCAGGGCATTAGGTGGTGGCAGGACCTGTGTGGGCTGCGGTGGCCACTGAGGGGCTGTGGCTCAGCAGAGGGGCTGTGTCACATGGGACAGCATAGACAGAGGAGAGCAGAGAGTGAGAAAATCAGGTTTGAGCAACATGAAGGATCAGGGCTGGGAGAAGGAACAGGGAGCCAGTGGAGGAGATGGAAAGTGAGTGGCCCCAGAGAAGCAGCACACGTGGCAAGGAGTGGGCGGTTGCTGGTGCCACAGAGGGCTAGCCGTGGGAGCAAATGAAAGGGGACCTTGGGGTCTAGCCACTCGTGGGGCAGGTGAGCCCCAGCGAGCAGGTCCTGAGAAGAGGTGGAAACAGGAGCCAGACTGACCAGACTTAGGAGCAAGCAAATGGGAAGCATGGGGGCAAGTCGTGTTTGACCGTGTTAGACCAGCTTGTTGGGGAAATGACCAGAGCTAGACAATACCTGTCAGGTATTTCAAGGAAAAGGGAGGACTAGTTAGGTGTTCTTAGTCTCCAAAGGGAGAGGATAATTGGGGAAACTTCTTTTATTAACTCAACAATTTTTAAGTACCTGGTATGGTGCCAGGCAGTAACTGCTAAGAGCTGAGAGTATGGTAGCAAAAAAAAGGGACACCCACCCTCCACCGGGGAAAACAACAGAAACACGTAAATGAATGATTAAACAGTGTGGATGATGACAAGTGTTCTGATGGGAGTTAACTGGGAGATATAACAGAGGACCGAGGGAAGGCCTGAGGAGCTGCCGTTTCTGCTGAGCCCTGACAAATGACATAGAGGGGTACACCTGGGTGGCTCAGGTCATGATCTCAGGGTCCTGGGATTGAGCCCCTCGTCATGCTCCCTGCTCAGCGGGGAGCCTGCTTCTCCCTCTCCCTCTGTTCCTTCCCCCCCCACCACCACTCATGCTCTTGTTCTCTCTCTCAAATAAACAATTTTTTTAAAAAAATGAGACAGAGGTAGCCAGGGAAAGAACCAGGGAGAGGGCTTTCCTGGGAGAGGGAACAGCGGGTGCCAAGGTCCTAAAGCAGAGAGGACTTGCCACGTTAGAGGCCAGAGCATCTCAAGACCTTGTGGTGTAATGGGAAGTCCACTAAGACGTGTTAAGCTGGGATGGCATGATAAAACGAACTTTAAAAAGTCACACTGGCTGCCTTGAAAAGAATGGGTCACAGTGGGCAACCCCGTAGAAGACCAGCTAGGAAGCTACTGCAGGAGACCAGGTGAGAGTCAATGTGGCTGGTTTAGATGGTGCCGGGAAGGCACAAATAGTCTCACTGGTCATGGGTGCTCCATAGGATGGGGTTGGGGTTGGGACTGGTTAGATTTGGGCACCTGGAGGGAGTATGGTACACGGATAGGTGGGGATGGAGGGTGCCTGTGGGGGTGGGGTGGGGTGTGTGGAGGATGCAAGGGACTAAGGCCTGAGCCGGCCACAGACATTATTGTGGGTATGGCTTGGTCAGAGCCGAATTCTTCACTCTATCTAGCTCATCATCCACGGCAGCTTCGGCCTGATCCAGCTGCCCCGTTTCCACATCTTCTTCCTGGTCCCGGCACTAATCTATGTGGGGGACAAGCTGGTGAGCCTGAGCCGGAAGAAGGTGGAGATCAGCGTGGTGAAGGCGGAGCTGCTGCCTTCAGGTACCAGCCTCTAGGCTGTCGGGGGCCAGCTGGGTAGTTCTGAGAAAGCCCACAGGGCAGTGCTAGATCCCGGACCTTGCAATCCCCTGGCCTGGCCCAGTGGAGTTGGCAGGGGCCTTGAGGTGGCAACGATAAGGGAGCTGGCAAGAGAAGCCAAGGCCAGGGGACCTGAGCCTCTCTCACAACAGAGAGGAGGAGCCTGGGCCAGGCTGCTCCTTTCCCTGCTGACCACCAACACCAGTGCTGCATTGCCCCTCCTCAGGGTGGACATGGCCCAAGGGGAGTAATGCCTTCTGATGGGTGGAGGCCTTGGCATATTCCAGAAGGAGAGCTGAGGCTGCAGGTGGGGGAACCTTCTGGAGGCCACAGTGCTGCTGGGTCCTGCATAGCAGCCTCCTGCCCACTTCCTTTCCTCAGGAGTCACCCACCTGCAGTTTCAGCGGCCCCAAGGCTTTGAGTACAAGTCGGGACAGTGGGTGCAGATCGCCTGCTTGGCTCTGGGGACCACTGAGTACCACCCGTTCACACTGACTTCTGCACCCCATGAGGATACACTCAGCCTGCATATCCGGGCAGCAGGCCCCTGGACCACTCGGCTCAGGGAGATCTACTCACCTCCAACGGGAGATGGCTGTGCTAAATACCCGAAGGTGACCAGACCCAGGCCAGATGAGCTACCCGCCCCCACATCCCCTTAGCAGGCCTTGGCCCTGCATCCCCAGGCTCCCCACTGTGTTCCTCTCCTCTCCCAATTTAGAGACTGGTCTTTCCAAATAATGCCATGGTACCCCCTTTCTCCTCACTCCATAAACATACCTGCCTTTCCCTGCCTCCCATTTCTAGCTTCAGAACTATTGTGGTGGTGGAGCTTAACTCAAACCCACTCCTCCTCTTGCAGCTCTACCTTGATGGACCATTTGGAGAGGGCCACCAGGAGTGGCATAAGTTTGAGGTGTCAGTGCTGGTGGGAGGGGGCATTGGGGTCACCCCCTTTGCCTCCATCCTCAAAGACCTGGTCTTCAAGTCATCAGTCAGCTGCCAAGTGTTCTGTAAGAAGGTGAGTGCACTCTCCTCCTGCTCACCCATGGTCCCTGTTCCCTATCACTGTGTCCATCTCTGCCTGTCTCTCCTGCCTCTGTTCTTGGGCCTGATCCGGGCAAGGCCCAGTTGGCCTGACACCAGAGGGGTCAGGATATCCTCAGACCCTAAAGAACAGAGTTGGAGAGGGGTAAAGAAACCCACTCTGTCTTACAGAGGAGGCCAGCCCCTGAAGGGAGCATTATCAGCTTGGGAGAAGGAAAGGAACACTTGGGGTGGGGCAGAAGTGAAACTGGCTCTGCTTTCAAGAGGAAGAAGAGGGGAGGTGGCCAGGCAGGGCTGGTGGGCTGGGCTGGTTCCAGGAACACAGCCCAGGCCCTCAGGCCCCCTCCATCCCAGGTCCCTTCACCCCAGCATGGACCTGGTAGCAGGCCCCTGCTTGTTTCTCCCTGGGCCCGGCAGTTGAGTCAGGGGCACAGGAATGTGGCGGCAGAGGCCCAGCCCATGTGCTGTCAGCTTTCGGAGGGTGCCAGGCAGCTCCCCTGCTCCTCCATCTGTGCCAACTCTGCCTCTGCTTCTTAACCCACATGGCCCCTGCTTCATCCTCTTCGGAAGTTGGAGGTGGCTCCCTCTGTGGCAACTTCCGTCCCCTGGAGCCCATTCCCATCTGCTCCAGGCAGCCAGCGGGGTCTTCCCTAAGGCTGTTCTGTGACTGCCCCTTAGTGGAACCCTATCCCTCTGGGCTAGGGTTGCTTGGGAGCCTAGCAGCCTGAGGAGGGCCCATTGGAGGGAGCGGCAGGGCAGGCTCCGTGTGAAAAAGCTGCTTCCCACCCCATCAGACCTTCAGCTCACTTGACAAGTGTCCTTTTTCATCACCTCAGGTTATCACTCCCTTCTACCTCTCCATGCCCTGGGGTAACCCCCATCTCCCGCCCCAGAGCCTGGCTCTGTGGGCCCCGCAGCACTCCATCTCCGCAGGGTGTCTGGGGAGAGGCACAAGCTGACCACGGTCTATTCCTATGGAGATCCCTGGGATACAGGGAGCCTGAGCTGAGCCAGGTCCTGAGCTCTCGCCATGTGTCCCCAGATCTACTTCATCTGGGTGACGCGCACCCAGCGGCAGTTTGAGTGGCTGGCTGACATCATCCGGGAGGTGGAGGAGAATGACCGCCAGGACCTGGTGTCCGTGCACATCTACATCACCCAGCTGGCTGAGAAGTTTGACCTCAGGACCACCATGCTGGTAGGTCAGGGCCGGCCGGCCGGGGCGGCTAGGTGGGGATATGGGTTGGTGGAGTGAGGCAGATGACCAGGGCGGTGGGTGGACAGCCAGGTCCAGACGGCAGGAGGTACAGAGATGGCGGTCCTGATCCTCAGCCTCCAGCTCCCTCGCCACCCCGTTCTCTGTCTCCTGAGCTGCAGGCTAGCTTGGGCTAGGCATGGACCCTGACTGTCCTTGGCCTGACCTGCCCCTGTGCCCCCAGTACATCTGTGAGCGGCACTTCCAGAAGGTGCTGAACCGGAGTCTGTTCACGGGCCTGCGCTCCATCACCCACTTTGGCCGCCCCCCCTTCGAGCCCTTCTTCAAGTCCCTGCAGGAGGTCCACCCGCAGGTCAGTCCCACCCCACATCAAGGTTCTCCTGGCATTTATCACCTGAGGTCTGAGCAAACCTCCCGACCCAGCTCCATGAGGGAAGGAACTGACTGCTGAGGAGAACTCATCACCCAGGAGATAAGTGGGGATAATGGAATAGAAAAACAGTAGGGGTCACTCTGAGGAGTGAAGGGGGGAAGCAGCCACAGGGACTTGCCACTTCTAAAGCCATGATGCCTGTCCAGAAGGAACAGCTCAGTGATTGAGCTCGTCCTTACCATAAACTCAAGAGCTACTCTTACCATGAATACTGAGCCAGTCCTCACCCTAGACACTGATCTTTATCATGAACACTGGGCTAGCCACTACTCTCATAAATAATGGCCTAGCCCTCAAAGAGACAGTAAGCTAGCCTTTAACTGGAACATTGATTAACCCAGCCCCTATCAGAAACACTGATCATGTACCTGAAGCTGACAGATGCCTTGGAGGGGGTGGAGGTTGGACCCGCACAGAGCAAGTCTACCAAAACTGAGCTGATGTAAACACACTGAGCCATACCTCACCACACATGGTGTGAAGCACACCTTTATCAGAAACATAGAAGGAGTCCTCACCAAGGACTCTTGCCTGTCTTTGACACGAACACCGAGCTAGCCTTCACGTTTCCCTCCCCCAGCAGGTCCGGAAGATTGGGGTGTTTAGCTGTGGCCCGCCTGGCATGACCAAGAATGTGGAAAAGGCCTGTCAGCTCATCAACAAGCAGGATCGGACTCACTTCTCCCACCATTATGAGAACTTCTAGGCCTCCTGCCCAGGGGCTCTTCCCACTGCCCAGCTGAGCAGAGGTTTGGGCCCCCACCACGCTCTGTACTTCCTGTTTCTGACTCCTTCTGCCTCCTCCTCATTCCTACCCCCCAACCTTGGCCCAGGTGGTCATGGTCAGTCACCCCCTATGGGTTCATAGACCCCCAAGTCCAGAATGTCTTAGCCTGGAGAAGTGGGAGGTCCTGTCTGGGCAACAGAGGTTGGCAGGTAGGAGAGCTATTATTACTTTGGGGCAAAGTGACACCTCTTCTTCCAAACTAAGAAAAAGCCTCAAAAGACTGGAGCTAAAAAGCCGTGTGTATGTGTATTAGGGGGCTGTGAGCCTAAGGACAAAGTGGGAGTACAGATGCTGGCATCTTGGAACTTCCCCCCCACAACCTCCCCCTCCTCTAGGCTCCCTACTGTCAAAAGGGCTGGCAAATGCCTTGGGGTGGGGGTAGAGGCTGGGGCCCTCAGAGAGAAGTCTACAGGAACCCCCTCAAGCATCCTAGTGTAACAGCACAACTGATCTTTTCTCCCCAGTTTTTAAATATGTACTGTAGTCAGAATCTGGCCCAATATCTGTGTAGTGCTCCTCAGGCCTTGTCTCTTCTTCCTACTGCAGTAGTCTTCTTTACAAATAAACCACTTTTCTGCACTCTGGGTTTCTTTATTCTGCCCTGGGATGGGGATAGGCACTGGCAGAGAAAGCTACTCAACCAGCCAGCTCACCGAGGCTGGTGCAGACAGTCCTCTGAACTTCCCAGCATCTACTGAATAAAGGAACCAGCTCAAGGCCGAGTGCTTTAGCTGGAGACCGCTTTCCCAGCTCAGGGGCACGCTTCCTGACCGAGGACCTCTCAGGGTGGCTAGTGTGGGGCTTCTGAAGCCTGATCAGGAAGGGAAGGGAGAGAGAAAGGGGTTCTGGAGAAGGTGGGCCAGGCGCAAAGTGCAGGTGTGTGTGGCAGGACAGAGCAGGAGCCCACAGGGAGCCAGTGGTTGCCTGGCCTGGCTCCAGGACCTCTGGGCAACAGGAGTTGACCCCCTGTGCCTACATGGGTCTTCCAGGTAAAGAGATGAAAGCAAGGAGACGGATGAGCACATCACCTAAACACTCAGAGCCTGTTTCCTCATCTGCAAAGTGACTCAATACCCTCCAAGATAGAGGGCAACCCTCTGAGGGAATTTCTAAAGCAGGGCCCAATTTCAAGTGAGACTTTCGATGGTCCCCACAGAATTCTTACATTTGTCAGGTCACATGTCCTCGATTTCGATAAAATAGCCAGGGGATTAGAAAATCCAAAATTCCATGATTGACACTACATTTGGGTGATGCAGGTTTAGGTTCTGTAAGGAGGCCCTCAGACTGCGCTCCCAGGCCAGCGGATGTTTGTTCGGCCCCTCGGGGAGCCCCGTGGGAGCAGGAGGGCGGGCCTGGAGTGGGTCAACAGCAGCTCCGACAGGCGGCCCGGTGGGTATTTCCGGGGGGCTGGCCCCACAGGCCTCGGCCGGGTCCAGCTGTGGGCGCGGGCTGGGGCGTCTCCAGGGCCGGGGTCTGGTGTGGCCCGGTGCCCGCAACCCGCGGTTAGAGGCACGGCCAGCAGGGGGCACGCGCGGACTGCCCCGCCACGCTCGGCTGCCAGCCCGAAGGCCCAGCCCCAAGGGAGCTCCGAGCCCAGACCTGCGGGCTGCAAGTCTCCTGGGGCCGGACTCACGGTCGGAGAATGGGGGAGGCGCGGCAGGCCCCGCTTCCTCCGGAAAGAAGACGCAGTCCGCCGCGCCAGCTTTCCCGCCTCCGCGGGTGCGCGGCTTCCGCGTGGCAGGGCCGCCCGCTCCACCTCGTCTGGCGCGCTGCCTCTTTGTCTCTCCGCGGCTCCCCTCCTCCCAGACGAACGGCTGTTGGCAGGAAATTGGACGCGCTCTTGGGGAGCCGCGCTCCTCCGCGCGGCGGGGAGGGGGCGCCACGCGGCCGGTCGGCTCCGGGTGCCCCCAGCCGGGGCGGGGGTGGCAGGGGATGTTTTGACATCTCGTCAAGGGAAGGAACTTGATGCTTCGAAAGTGCTTTTCACAGCCGGCTTGTGTCTGCTCCAGAACTGATTTATAAACAGAATCTGCGCTTGCTTCGCCTCTCCCTCCCCCGACAGCCCGGTGGGGGGGGGGGGCGCGGCGCTGGAGGCGCGGACGCGGCTGTGCCTGGCAGGACTGGGTTTATTTATTGCATCTGGCCGGGAGCCGGAGCGGCCCGGGGACTGCGCAAGTTCCCTCTGGCCCGAGCCCTTCCCCTCGTCTCCCCACCCCCACGGCCAGCTCCATCCTTGGGGGGTCTGCCTTCCCAAAGCCCCGCACCGGACTCTGGACGGAGCCCGCCGGCGCTTTAGGGGTGGAGGCGGCCAGGGCGCCCCGCAGGCCCGCGTCCTGCCCCACCCCGCATTGACCCAGGGGGAAGGAGTCGGTGGGGAAGGGGGTCGCCACCTGTGCCCTAGGGGCGGAAAAGGCGGGGAGCTGCGGATCTTAAACTCCTCTGGAGACCAGGGGCTATCCTTTCTCCCCAGGGATTCCTCTGTCCTCGGCTCCAGACCACCTTTTACTCCTTTTACTCCGAGGCCCCAGTAGGCCTTCCCGTTTAGAATAAATTAAGGAATCTCCAGCTTCCACTCGATCTCAGGGAGAGGGGAAGAAAGGTTTGACAGAACAGGTCCCTGGGAGGGGCCCCAGCCCTCAGCCAGGGGATGGGCACAGGGCTGGGTCCAGATCTGTCACAGTGCCCGGGCCACCCATCTACAGAGTCCGAATGGCCACGGGGTAGAGCAGGGACATGTGCTCGGCCCCCTTAATGGGCAGCTTGCGGCTGGCGTAGTGGTGCACGATTTCAGGGACGCTGCTGAAGGGTGGGCTGTTCTGGCCCAGCACGTACTTGTGTTCCTTGGTCCGGGACAGCTTCATGTGCATGAAGCCCTGACTGCTCCTGGGAAGAGGAGAGGAGACCCTGGTGAGTAGGGGCCCTCTCCGGTCGCCCTCCCCTCCCCCACCCCTGCAGCAAATGTGGTTGTTCTGAGCCAGCTGTTGTGGAGGTGAGGAGGGAAGGTGGAGGTCAGTCCAGAAAACAGGGAGGAGGCAGAGGGGATTTTGTGAATGGGTAACAGTAGGCATTGGCTTTGTGGTGAGGGCACTAGGCATGCCAAGAATGTGTGTGTAGTGAGTGTAGAGGGCGTGTGCAGGTGGAAACTGGAGCGACCACTCTCCCTACCCCAAACTCTCGGACCCAGGCACCAGCGCCCTCCAGCCTGTATGGCCAAAGCTGGTCTACCCTCCCCATCTCTGAGCTGTGGGGGACGACACCTGTGGGGGGCTCCTAGTGACTGATGTGGAGACACAAACATCCTTGGCAGGACAGTGTGTGGACAGATGTGACAACCAAGTGAATCTTGGTTGAGGCTCTCTCTTGCAGAAACCAGGGGAGGGGGCGAGCTAGCTAGCTGCTCTGGAGGTCCCTCCCAAATCGGGAAGGCTCCACTGTCTTGTCCCGGGGATATCCCTTTACCCTCCTGCTAACTGGGCCTTGGGCCAAGCCCCCAGCTCCTCTATCCCTTCAGCCCAGGATGACATCATCGATGAGGCTATAACTCCATTCCCTCCCTCAGAGAGGAAAGGCTCCACTGCCTCTCCCAGCTCCCTGACATAATCCAGGAAATTGACATTAGTGCCCGGCCCTGCCCACAGACAAGGACCCTGCTGCTCAGAGCTCTGGCTAGCTCCCAGCTGCCCTGGCACCCTGTCTTAGAGAGAAAGCATGGGGGTGGGGCCAGAGCAAGAACGGCACCTGCCCAAGCTACCACAGGCCCCGTCCACAGGCAAGGAGGAAGCAGTGCATGGGGGAGCCCTGAAGCCTGAATACTTGTCTCTCCAGGCCAGAGCCTATGTGGAGACAAGTGCAGGGCTCAGAAACTAGTATAGGAGGTAGGACTGGTGAGGGGGGGGCCTCAAAAGAGGTGAGGCTGGCAAACCTTATTTCCCTCCCCTGCCTAGGTACAAAGAAGGCTCTGACTGGACCCATTTCACTGGGCCCACAAGTGGAGATGGAGAGTGGATGACTGAAGAGAGGAAAGTGATGACAGGAAAAAACAGTCCTTTATCACCCACCCTCCCAATTTCTTCTCCCTGCGCCAGGATCCAGTGCCCTAAAGCCTGCTGCGGGCCCCAGGCTGGGTGTATGTGTGTAGGGCGGGGGGGTGCGGCGGCACGGGCATCCTTCTTCTGGAGGCCTGAGGTAACAGCTGAGGCTGACAGTGACCACACAGGCCCTGGGGAAGGGAGCTATGGGCCCGAGGAAAATGTGCAGTCCCTGGGGGCGGGAGAGAAGGGAGGCAGTGAGCAGTCTCCCCGCACCCCCCCCCCCCCCGTCTGCCCTATGCCATGGCCCAGGCCCAAAGCTGTGGGCAGCAGCTTGGCCCTTGCTTTCCCTCACCCTCTCACAGTTTGGGGACAACCCCTACCCACAGTCCACTTGGGATGATCACCTCTCCCCAAAACTGCATTATATCTTCTCCTTGAGGGACAGATTTGGCCAAAAAGGGCAATAAAGTGGCAACAAGCCTCCATCTGGATAACTGACCTCCCGGGATAAAGTCCCAAGCCGAGTCCTTGCCCAACCCTCAGGAGCCTGGGTGGGACTAGCTGGGCCGCAGGGCCAGAGCTGACATGGCTTTGGGAGGAAGCTGTTTAATTACCAGTGAAAGCCCTTCCATTACAGAGAACAGAGAAACCATAATTGTATTTCAGAGAATCCATTTATATGCAAACGAGGCTCTGGCAGACAGATGCTGGTGGGGCCAGATCAGCCAGGGCTGAAGCAGCATCCAGGCCTGCCTCCCCTCTTACTCCCCAGGCTAAGGCGGAGCCCTGCCCTGCTCGGTGTAGGGAGCCAGACCCTTGCTATCTAACCCAGCCTTGGACTGTTCCAGACTTGAGGACGGGTGGAGCTATGCAATGGAATAGTGCTGTTCTTGTAGTCAGACTGAACTGAGCTGGGTCCAAATGCTGCTTTTGGCACTTTACTACCTGGTGGCCTTGAGCGAGTCACATACCTCTTTGTATTTCTTTCTGGCTATAAAAAAGAGATTCATCTTGCAGGTTGGTAGTTGGTTTGGAGAGGGTATATACGCTGCTTGGCACATAGTAGATGCTCTATGACTCTTAACTACTAAAGCAATACACATCCTAGTGTTATATCAGATTTTTGACAGATGAACTTTTCCTAAATGCTCCTTTGATTGTATGATAATTTGCAGAGTATGAGAGCTGCAAGAAGCCTAAGAGGTACCCATCAATGCATTTTGCAATGGGAGAGACCAAGGCCAGAGAGGTTACATGATTTGCCTAGGATCACATAGCTAGTTTTATTAAGCCCAAGAATAAAATTCAAGTTATTTGACTATAGACTGGCATCTTCCCATTAGCTTTTAGTTGAAGTTGAATAATTATCCTCAAATGGATCTGTTTAATAGTCCCAAATTTCTGTATATTGCATTTGTTTGAAGTGGGGATATACCTGTATTCTAATATCCCTGGGAAATGTGGTAGGAGGTAGTACAGATGTCCCAGTAGTGATGGGGGGATGTGAATGGACACACCATCTGACAGGCTGCCATGTGGGGTGCAGGCTCTACCAGGCAGAACTCCTGGGTCCCGAGGGGAGGGCTGGCCATTCTACCAGGATGGCCTCGGAGGCCAGTGCTCGTTCTGTGTATATCTGCTCCCTAGGAGGAAGGTTGAAGGGAAGGGAGGGTCCTGCCTCCCCCTCCTCTTCCTGGATCCTTTAAAATGCAGTTATCAGCCACTAGTACCCAGACCTCCTGCCCACTTCTTTCTTCAGAGTGAACAACAGCTTCGTGTCCACTGCCCCACCCTCCCCCCAGGACCCAGCCTCTGCAGGCAAAGTTCCCATCTCTTTGCCTGTGCTTGAAGAACATTTGGACTTCCATTAATAAAGATGATGGCGATAATTTATTTAGCACTTAGCACCATGTTAAGTGCCTCCCATATATTATTTCATTTGATCCTTCCCTATAAGGTAGATATTATTATTCCCCCATTTTATAAGTAAGAAAACTGAGGCCCAGAGAGGTTAAGGGGGCCCCAGGCCACACAGCTAGTGACAGAAACTTTCTGAGATGGACACTGTAGCTTGACTGTTTCCTCTAATGGACTCTGAGCCCCTTGCGATCTAGGGCTGAGCCTCAGACCGCTCCAAATCCCCAGGGCCTGGCCCAGAGTCAGCAAATGTTCATGGGGATGGAGTTCTCCCCAGCTTGGCTGGGCACGGGGAGAATGTTGGAGTCTCCTCCTGTCCTGCTGGTTGTCTTCCCATGGATTCTCCTTGGTGCCATGGTGACAAGCTAATCCTGCCTAACGCTGGTAGTTGGCCCACCCCTACTCACTTGAGGGACAGAGAGAAATCATTCTTGCTGGTCTCACTGTTGCGCACCAGGTAGCTGGCCTCTTTGCACAGTCGGAGCAGGTTCTCGGCATCTGTTCGACTGATGGCCCCATGGTACCAGCTGAGGACAAGAGAGAGGAAGGGGGGCATCTCTGCTGGGTCCCTCGCCGTCCTGGCCCACCCATTCTGGGTGTCCCCTGCAGGCAAGCCAGTGGCAGGAGGGGAAGGGAGGAGGGGAGAGAGTCCCCAGCTGGACACAGACACTCACACCTGGTTTTCCAGAGGCAGTGCTGGGTCTGTCCACTCCCCAAGGGGGCTGCTGGGCTCCATGCTTAGGGGCTTGGCTGACTTGGGGTTCCCTGCAGAGAGTCGGGGAGGTAGCCGCCCCTTCTCCTCCCGGCCGGGTGACAGGCAGCTCTTCTCAGATCCTTCAAACTGGGCTGTGGGGAATATACCAGTCATAGACTCTGAGGACCTTAGAGATAGAGCCCTGTAGAATAACTGGGGCCCCACCCCCATTTTCTGCCAGAAGGGGTCAAAGGAATGTTCTGGAAGTGTGGGACATGCCCCTGGGCTTGACTGGCTCAGGGGACAGAATCCTGGGTCCACTCCCTCGTTGGGGGTGGGGCTCAGCCCTCCCATGCCACACTGTGCCTACCAGTCTCCACGCTGTGGGAGGAGAGGGGAGAGGAGCAACATGAGAAACCACTTAAACTTCTCCCTCTGGAGCAGCGGCCTGCCTTCCCCTATGCCATTCCCCCTCGGGGTGGCTTCAGCGCTGATAATATTGTTTCTTTCTCCTCCTCAGAGTTCATTACCGTTCTCCATATCACCCTGCCAAGCCATTCTGTAGAAATGACTTATCGATTTGAGAACAATTATCCGATTCCCCTTGGTGCCATCCTGACAGGCTAATCCTGCCCAAAGCCGCCAGCCGGCCCGCCCCTCCCCCGCCCCCAGGGTTGCTGCCCACAGGCTCCCTGCCCCCACCCCGAGGAGCCCGGCTGAGGCGGCTCTGCCCTCCCAGACCAGGGCAGGCCTGACCACTGAGCCAGCACAGGGCAGGGAGGAAGCCAGTGGTCTACATGAGCGCAGGCACACGCGGGCAGGCGACGGAGACCCTCCTTCATCCTGTATTTACAAAATACCCCTCACACTCAGGCCCAAATGTACAAACATTCTGTACAAAACTGAACAGAGATGAAGCGTTCAGTGCTTCCTTTCTCATCTGGGCTTTTTCTCTCCTTGGAGCACTTTCAGGACCTTATTGTCTCTCAGTCACCAGATGCAAGGATCAGACCCTTCCCTTACTCGAAGGAGTCAGACACTTCCTATGCTAGCATCACCCCCACCTCAAGAGTTATTTGCATTGCCAAAGGACTGGGGCAGGCAAAATCCTATGCAAAGAAGTGAATTTAAAATAGTGGATTTTTGTGGCATGGTAGGAAAGACATTTGGAAAGGGACTCCTTTAGAAGACACCTTCCCCACACCTTTGGGAGGAAGGAGGAATGTGTGCTTCGTCCCTTCTCTCTTCCCTCCAGGACGAGGGGGATTCTTCCTGGGTTCTCCAAACCCTGCCCCACTTCAGCTCCTCCAACCCAAGCTGACAGGGCCTGAGGCGTGAGAGGACATGTCACCCTGGCCAGAAGCTCCCACAAGACCCACCGCTGCCGTCCTCCAGGCTGGGCTCGGGGAGGGGTGAGGCTGGACCGGAGATGTCCCTGTCCCCGTCAGGCAGGGAGGGGCTGCTGTCCAGCTGTCCCACCGGCGGAGGCCAAGGTAGGTCTTTGATGACCTTAATGTCAACTGGAACCAGTAGCAGCAGGGAGAAGAGGCACAGACAGGGACAGAGACAGAGAGACAGAGAGAGGGAGAGGTTGAGACACCAAAACCCAGAGCCAGGACACAGGACAGCCTAGAAAGGAGGATGGTCAGAGCAGAGGCAGGGGTGGCTTCTGAGGGGGGAGCAGGACTCTCAGAGGGTTGGATGGAGCCACAGTGCCCACACCAGGCTGGCTTAGTCAAAGGGTGGGAGGCACAGGTAGCAAATAGCAGGATGCACAGTCTTGCACTGCCAGCCACGTGGGCCCCCTTCATTTGAACCCTCATAAGCCTCCCGGGCCCAAAGGGACCAGGAGAGGAGGGAGAGAGAGACAACAAGCTGCCCTTGCCTCCCAGCACCCACACCCAGGCTCCCACAGCCTCCTGGCACCCTCAGACTTGCCACCTTTTCCCCACGGCCTGGGAAGTCATGAGCAGCAAGACTGACAGCCCAGCTCCAGGCTGTCAGGAATACTCCGATGTGGGGGCAGATGTTTTATTGAAATTTACCCCCCACACCCTCAATCCTGAGCCTTGACAATTAAGACAGGGATGCCGCTGGCGGCTGCAGGACTGCTAACGAGGTTTCCTAATGACGAGCATAGATTTTCCCATTAAGCAATCCAAACAGTATTGATTCTCCAAGGAGACTTCTGGAGATAAACGGTCCATCCTCAATGGTGCATGCTTTACAGGAAACAAATTAGAAACCTGTGGTTTCCCAGTCTGGCTGCCAGGGTGGGGAGGACAGGGCAGAGAGCTGAGTCCAGCTCCAGGAGGGGTGAGGGGGCCATGGGAGTCCGGGTGAAGTTGAATGGCATTTCCACCCTTTGTGTTCCACTGTATCAAGAATCCGGGGCTAAAAGCAATCTCCAGGCTCTCCAGACTGGAACAGCACCCACTCAGACCACCAACACACACCTCCCCAGGCTGGACTCCAGGCCTGGGACAGGAGAAACCTAACCCTCATTCAACAAAGGGGATTTCTCACAACCTCACTCTCCCCCACCAGTTCCTGCTCGTCAGAAATCCCCCTGGGGCACAGGTGCCCCTGGTCTGGCACAGCCTGCTACGGGGGGGGGGGCACAGCTCTCTGATTCAGGGCTGGGATCTCTAAAGGTTACACACGGCCGTTTTCATTGTCTGGGGGCTTAAATACCTTCCTTTGTTAAGTGTAAGTATTTAACATGTCGCAAGTTTTATCATTTTGTTTGGGAATTTCTTTATTTTAAAATATGCCCTGTCTCCCAAAAGACGGAAGTGGCCTAAGCCTCTTGGCCTCTGAGAGGTGGTGACGCAGGGGAGACCCTTCATCCTCCCGTGCCCGTTCCCTGACCCTGCACCCACCCTGCCCAATTCACCAATCTCTGGGATGCACTCAACTATGCTTCCCTTGAGCCCAGCTTCGGGGACTCCCCGAGCCCCTGGGGTCCACTCCTTCCACTCCCCTGGGCCTGGAGAGCTGTTTAGAGGCCCCAGCAGACCCACCCTCTCCGCCCAGGGCTTACCTGCAAAAGCTTTGGAAATCCGCTCCTTCTTCCACTCCCAGGGCTGGTCATACTCCTCAGGGGGCCTCTCGTCATCCTCTGGCAGCCGGGACTCCCGGGGCCAGGGGGCCCCCTCACCCTCTGGGGTGGCCCCCTCCTCCTCTGGTTCATAGGGTGTGTCATACAGAGGCAGGGGCTGAGCTGCTGTCTCCTTGGAACTCCGGATCTCTGCCAGGGCAAGGCAGGAGGGGAGGTGTGAGAGCAGCCCTGGCTGCCCAGCTCAGCTCCTCCGGCAGCGCCCTCAGCAACACACCAAGCCTCCTTCAGAGGAGATGCCACTGGCTTTGGGGGCCCAGTGGCCACACATCCGGGGTCCCTTGCCCTCAAAACACCTCTGGGGTTCCAAAAAGCAATGGGATCCAATAGAGGCAGGGGCAGAAAAGCACCAGCGTGAAAGACAGAAAAAAGATCTTTAGATGGCCAGCAAGGACTTGGGAAATGAGGCTGACGCATTTTGGAAACTGAGGCAGGGTCCTCTCCTAATCCACCTCCTCTTGGCTACTCAGCTCCAATTTTTTTCCTTGCATCCCAAGTAATATCACTTGACAAACAGAAAATCCTTCTTTGTTGCTCAGATACTGCTGGTCACTCCCTCCGTGAAACTGTCCCCTCTGACAAGTCATGTTCATGGTCGTCCTCTCTGAACACCCCTATTTGGACTCTTTCCCTGGCCCCTCTCTCGGTCTCTGTTCCCCAGAACCAGGTCTGATTCGCCCTCACTCCTTGCCCAGTCTCATGGCACCCTATACACTTCCAGTTGCCATCAAGATCTTTCACTTGAACGTTTCAAACTTGCCACTTTCCCCAGAAGTTCTTCTAGTCTGTTCGGTGATTCTTTTTGGGATCGTTGACCCCAGTGAAAATCTAATAAAAGCTATGGAGCTACTCCCCAGAAAAAAATGTGCCAATTCTCACATACAACTGCAGGTCATTTATGGACCTCCGAGGGGGACACACCCCTCTGGTCTAAATTCGGTAGTCACCCTCCCACCTTCTCCCTTTCTGTCCACTATACTGCTCTCCTCGGTCCTGGCCCTCCTTCATTCTCCAGATCCCATCTGTTCACCACCAGTACCGGATGACTCTCAGCCTCGTCTCTCCGCATCTAGATTCCTCCACTCTACTGGCTCACGCTTCCATGAGCCCCATGGAAGAACACTCCTGACCGCTCTCTGCCCCCCACCCCTCTCCCAAGGAGGGAGAGCAGCTTATCTGATCACCAGCGGATGCTCGCTCTCTTTCTCAGCTCTGCCTTCTGGCTCTTTCTCCTCCTGCCCCCCGTGAAGGGGCTTATAGCTGTGCTGCATGGCCCAAGCCTGAGTGGGCAAGTTTAATTCTGTGAAGTATTAAGCAGCCCATTGTGGAGACATAGCTAAGTAATGTTCTCCAATCTACTTTGTCAGTAATAAAGCTGACATAATCTTATCTTCATCTGTCTGTTTCCTTATTCTTACTTCTCAGTGATCTCCACGCTCAGGAGGGGAAGAAAGCGGTGCTAATTATTGCTCCCTTAGAGCCTCAGTAATTTCCACAACTGCTAACTCATCTTTCTGATGCCCAGTTCTTCTGGTCTGTTCTGTACACCGAAGCCTCAGTAATCCCCTCAAAATGCCATATTTGCCCTGTTTCTGTCTTGCTCAAGAATCTACATTGGTTTCCCTCCTCTTCGAGAGCAAGTCCAAATGCCTCATTCCAGCCTTCAAGGCCCTTCACTGCCCCTCGTGGCCTCTCTCATTTGGGCTCCTTGGTATGCCCAACACTAAAACTGTCTGCCCCTGAGCAAACCTTCCCTCCATTCTGCCTTGGGGCCTTGGCTTGGACTGACTCACCCCTGTCCTCCTCTCAGATCACCCCCATTCGTTCTCTTTCCCTGGGTCCTCTCTTGACCTCTGCTCTGCTCCCCAGGACCAGGTCTTATTCATTGCTCTCTGCCCCCACTCCTTGACATTGCCATAGAGATGTTTCACTCTGACATCACATCATCTCAAGGTCACCACCTTCCCTAAAGCTAGTGATTCTCTTTTTGGGTTCCATGACCCCCGGCCCACACCACTATCCTGCCCTCCTGACTATCCTAACTCTATCTGCCTGACCTTTGGTTGTGTGGCCTTCTCTACCACCTCACGTATCAGGTACCACAAGTCATTGCTCTTTCTCCAAAATGTCTCTCTTGAAGGCAGTGGCCAAGGACCCAAGGTGGTCCATGGTGGACCCATGGTCTCCAAGGACCCAGTGAAGGGATCATGGAATCAGTCCTTAGTCTTGTGGGTCCCAGAGCCTGTTGTGCAAATACCAAGGCTTCAGAGAGCAATTCCCCTACCCCTGACTCCATCACGCACCAGCCATCATCTTTTGGGCCTCATAGGGCTCCATGTAGCCGTCATTTTCAAGGACCTTCTCTGGGGCTCCCAAAGCTCCTGCTGAGCCTTCACCAGTCTCCTGAACATCAAACGGGTCCGCGTAGTCTTCAAGGATTGCCAACTGTGGGAAGACAGTGAGGAGAGCAGGCTTCAGACATCTGAGAGATAGCTCTGCTACTCCCCAGATGCTCTGTCCATGGGAGTGAGTCCCGAACAGAATGTCTTAGACCCAGAGCCCGAGGTATCCAAGGGCAGGCTCTGAGCTTGAACGGACACAAGCTCTGGCTCTTTCTCTGCAGAGTTCCCCTACTAGATTGCCAGCAGAGTGGCAGATCTCTCTTTTCTGTTAATTTTGTGCCTCTGGGCCATCCCTTAGGTTAAATGGCCAGGATGAAGCTCTAGGGAGGCTTCATTAAGGCCTGCCTCAGTCCAGGTCCAGGCAGGGCGATAGAGGTGTTCAAAACCAGATGGTTCAACAGAGGGAATTAATTCAGAGAGCTGGTTACAAAGGGGTTGGAGTTCAAAGAACAAGTAGGGAATAGCAGGCAACTCAGAGATTAACTTGGTCCACCATGCCTACAAATTCAATCCCAGATGCTGAACAAAGAAGAATTTGCTGACCATCAAGAAAAGAAAAGCCAAATACTCCTTTTATGGCACAATTCTGCTGGGCTATCCTCAGAACATTCATCACCATGTCATGTGCGTATTATTATACTCATTTTAAGGAAATGGAGGCTCAGGGCAGGTAGGGAACAATATGCCCAAGACCATCCTGCCTAAGTGGAGGAACCCAATTGGAAACTGTGCCCTTTGTGCAAAATTATGCTGTCAACCAGCCACGAGTAGGCATGTTGGCCATCCCGGGAGAGAGACCACCTAAGGACAGCCCTGAGGAAAGCCAGGGTTTGCACTCTGCTGAAATTCCCTGGTTCCTGGGGGCCAGGAACAGGAAAGGCATAGCCTTGACCCTCCACATCCCACACTGCCCCTTTCTCCTCCCAGGTGGTTCATGACCAACCCTCTGTCCCTGCTCCAGTCAAGGCAGAGCGAACTGCAAGCCACACACCCTGAGGAAGAGCTCAAGGTGCTCAGGGCGGGGTGCAGCGGAGGACAATAGAGCCTTTCTCCAAGCTGGGCACAGGCTGCTTGAAGGGGGGAGGCCGAGGCGGAGACGGAGCCCAGCCCACCCAGGGCTGCCAGCACCTGAGGGGAAGCACTGCACACTGAGTTGACAGGCATTGACAAGAAGTGGCTCTGGGGCCCGCGGCACGAGGAGGGGCCACTCCTGCCCCTCCTCCATTCTTGGTGTAGGCTTTGGGTCTGGGCCAGATCAGGATTGCGGGAGCCAGTTGAGCAGGGAGGCTGTGGGGTGACTGCCCGCCCAGGGTCAGTGGATCTGGGACCCCTAGCAAAGCAGAGATGGAGAAAGGAAATTGCCCCCCCGACAGAGACCTCTCATGCATGTTCCTTGGCCCCCCCCCCCATGAGCCCCTCTAGGGGTCTCTGAAGCACATCCCAACGACTCCTACCATCTCCCCCTTCAGTTCTTCAGCCCCTACCATGTTCCACCTTGTTCCACCCAAGCCCCCCAGTTCCTTCACCTCCCTCAAATCTCTACCTGCTTCTGAGAAGACCACCATCTCAGGTCATACCATCCCCACCATCAGCTCATCCACTAGCCTACAGTTCTTTGTTGTTTCTGTCTCTCAAGCTCTAAGAAGCACCTGGCTCACAGCAGGTACTAGAAAAATGTTGCTACTAGATCACTGCCTATCTCCCCTTGGCGCTCTCCACCCCCAGTCCTCTTTCCTCCAGGAAGCAGAGAAAAGAAATCCACTCCCACCCCAAGCTGCTTCCTCCCAGGCCTACTAGCACCCACAGCCGCACCCACCTGACTAAGGGGGCTCTGGAGTTGGCAGCGGGCACCCAGCCTCACGCTCCTATGTGGCAGCTACTTAACAGTAACTGAGTCACTGGACGTGCCATCCTTAAACAGTGTAATGCCCACAAGAAAAAGTCCAAAGTTAAAGGGATTTAAAGATTCTACTTTCCTCTTCGGTTTCTCCCTACCCACCTTGGATCATTCTGTTACCTGAAAGTTCTGGGCTTTGTTTCTTACCAAAAAAAGCTTTCCCTCTGCCTGCATTAGATGATTTTCTTTCTTCAGAAAGCCTTTCCATTCTCCCCCCAGGTATGGTTAGGTGCCTCTGTGCTAGGCTATTATTACACTGTGTAGTAAATACTTGTTTTATCATCTGTCTTCCTGTAGACCGTGAGCTTCCTGAGGGTAGGAACCATGTTTACTGCTAAATACCCAGTGCCTAAAAGTGCTCAGTAGATATTTGTTAAGTTAGTTCACATAAAACAGGAAGAATGGACAAAGGAAGCACTTTTCCTTGTTTATTCAGAAGAGAAAGGCATCATGAATCCAGCGGGGAGGTGGCGGAGCACTGAGTCCCGGAGCTGCTTAGTGAGAAGTGCCTGGCCTAAGCTCCAGTCCCCCCAACTCTACAGAGCTCCCCCCAACAGTCCTTCCCACTGGAGTCCTGGGCTGGACTTGAACTGTGACCCCTCCCAGGCCCAGCATGGGCCTCCTGAGGGCCAGCCCACGATGCCTGCGGGCACCCAGGTGGCACCTCTGTGGGCAGCTCAATGGCTCCTCTGTTCCATCCCTGACTCCACACCCTGCTCCAGGAAACCCTAGCCCCCCGCCCTGGGCACGTCACCCAGAGAAGCCACCCACAGGGCTGGGAGTCAGGAGCAGAAGCAGAAACACCTGCTGGGAAGGTTGGCAAGATGGGCACCCACCCTGGGCACATAGGATCCCTGTCAGAGGCCAGGCCTGCCTTCCCAGTGGTTTCTAGGTCATGTGAGGAGGCAAAACTGCTCGGGGGGGGGGGGGGGGGGAGCTGCCTCCGCAGGCTTCTGACACCTTTGCTCTATCATGATTTATTTTGCTTATGGGACCTTTACCTGACTACTGTACTCACTGTTGTATACCGCATCCATCACGGGGCCTGGCACGAGGAAGGTGCTCAGTGCACATTTCCTGGATGTTCAAAAGGCCTCCCTCTCTCAGACTCTATCTTCTGGAGCGACACAGGCTCTCAGATCCCCATTCACCCCAACTCTGACCACTCTCACAGGCCAGTAGCCGCTGTAGGAGCAGCCTGTCTGGAGAACCAACATTTAATGGGGATCAAAGCCTCCGGTTCAAGGGCAGAAGGGAAGAACTGGCAGGGAAGGTGCCTAAAACCAGGGCTAATATTTAGGCAAACCCTCTAGTAGACAGCATGCTACTGAAAGGCTGAAATAATTCCAAACTAGTAGGCAAGTAGCTGCTGCTCAGACGCCCCCTTATCCCCATGCCTCCTGCCATCCAGCAGGCTCCAGACCCGGCTCTTGTGCCTGTTCCTACTGGGCAGTGCCCCTCCCAGAGCAGCTGTCCGGCTTTGAGTCTCCTTCCTGCCCAAGCCTCTCCTGAGATAGCTGGCAGGCCCACCATCTGGTGTGACCCTCCGCTCTGCAGCTGGGCCCTGCTAGGAGTTCCTGACCCCACCCCTGGGGCTTGCCAGTCCAGGGGGGAGCTAGGAGGGGGCACAAGTCACAGGATTTGGGCTCTGCAAGGTCCCCAAAGTCTATCCCTGCCCCTTTCCTCCATGTCTTCAGTTGACATTTAATGTCTGGAAGCCTCTGGTTTTTCACCTGTAGAATGGGGATGGTATTAGTACCTACCTCAAGAGGACAATGAGCGTCAAAGTCCTTAGTTCAGAGGCTGGAATGCAGTCGGTGCTCAATAGATGTTAGCCCTGCTGCTGTGATCTCTTCTATTCAGACACTAAAGCCCAGAGTTTAGGTGCCTGACAGGGTACACAGATGGTGGCCATAGAGACAAGGCTAGGACCCAGGTCTCCTGACTCTCAGTGCCTTGCTGCAGATTTTCCAGACAACTTGAGAAATGTAGCATCTTCTCTCCTCTCCTTGTAGATTTAAAATACACTCTTAGCACGTTAAAGGCTCTGAGAAATCGTGTAGCAGAGAGCTGTCTAATTTTGTTTAACTCGGCATTTCTCCAAAGTATTTAACCGTGAAATCCGTTTTCCGCTGAAAGTCTGTCAGTTTTGGAAATGGTATACTATTTACCTTTCCCAAGATCAAACTTTCTGCACCCTCTTGCCACTTATTGGAATGCCTTTCCCAATTTTATCTGCCATGGAAACTCCTTCGCATGAAACAAATTTGTTCTCATCTTTTTCTAATTACAAAGAAATGTCATGCTTATAAGACGTTCAAACATCACAGACACACAATGGATGTCGACAACCCTTTTAAGGTGTGTCTGGGGCCACCTGAGGACTGGGTGGCAAGTGCTGGCCTTCAGGTTCGGGAAATGGTGAACTCAGCACGGGATGCACTCTCCATTCCTTCTCTGAGTCTCCTTCCCCTTGTTCCTCAGCAAATGCTCGGTGAACACCTCCCGTCTCCTGTCTGCAGGGCTCCCCAGAGGTGCCACGGTCCCACGGTACGGTGTTGGCAGCCAGCCTGCCGTCAGGCTGCCTGGCTGTGCACCTCAGCTCTCCTACTTACCAGCTGTGAAACCATGCAAATGTGACTCAACACTCCTGTGCTTCAGTCTCCCTATATTTAACCTGGGGATAATAACAGAATCTTCCTCGTAGGGTCGCTGTCAGAAGCAACTGGTCTAAAACACATCAGCTGCTTCAAATTGGTACCAGGCACACGGTAGGTACTAACTAGGTAACTGTCTGCCATTATATCATTAAAGACGAAAAGACCAAATTTCCGGGTCCTCCAGGAGCTCACAGTGAAAGCCACAAAGGGAGCTCCAAGAGTGCGGCACCTCGAGGTGCTGTGAAGCCCCGTGGCTGCGCCCCAGGCTCTGGAGGTACCGCAGGCTCACTGCACGCGGGGACTGGGCTCCCCTGCTGCTCTCGCATAGTGTCCCACTGGTCCGCAGCGCCCTGGCTGTTCCCAGCTCCCAACAGGTGGAGTGCCAGGGCTGACTGAAGGTGTCACTGAGTCACTGGCCAAGCCAACAAGCTGCAGATGCCTTCCCGAAAGAGTGCGTGCCGCAACGTGAGGAGGCGGCAGTGGGAAGAGTGGATGGGCCCGCCATAAAATGCGCCAGTAGCCAGCAAGGCCTCAGCAGTAAAGCTGAGCACCAGTGGCAGCAAAGATGGCCCGCCCAGGCCCCAAAGGGTTAAGAGCTCTAACCAGTCCACAAAGGTCCCTTCACCTGGACCCTTCTCTTTTCCTCCCCCTGCCTCCACCGGAGGACATGTGCAAGATAAATAGATCAGAACTCCAGACTCTGTGGAAGTCATAAGAAGGAAAATTAAAGCAAGACCAAACAAACTCAAAAAAGGCAAGGACCAGGTCTTGTAGGTGGTGAGTCCCTTCAGCGCCCAGGCCAGTGTCACTTAATGCTATAGAAATCCTCAGTGAACAATGGCTAAGGCACTATCCTGCAGCAGCCCCTACCCGCCCTCCTGATCCCAGGGCAGGGATGTCTTGTTTGACTTCGGACACCCTCAAAGTCTCCTTCCCTTTCCTCTTTCTACCTGTCTTCTCACTTGTTTCCAAATTTGGGCCTGGAAGATCCAAGTCCACATGGACACCACGTATGAGGTGTATCTATTTTTTAAAGTTCTTGATATTTTGGGCCCTATGAACTCCTGTGAGAATCTGGGAGCTGTAAGCCTTCTCCCAGAAAAATGCTAATGCACCCGAATATTTGCACACAATTTCTGGAGGTTCATGAACCCCAGAAGCTTCTCCATGAGCTAAGAACAAGAGCCCTGGTTTCAATGCATCCAGGGTGCCTGTCTTATTGTTCACATCATCTCTTTCACTGTCTCTCTGTCACACACACACACACACACACACACACATCTTGGCAGGATGGAGGCAAAGGACAATGTGCAGATGGTCACAGGCAGCTCAAAGCTTCATCCAATTAGGCCCCCTTTCCCATCCCCATCCCCCTTTCCTAATCAGACCAGGTTTTTCCTGTTGCAGATCTGAGAAAAGGGAGCAAAGCAAGGAAGGCCCAGTTTTCTCACCCCTCTGCCCAAGTGTGGCCTGGAGGCCAGACAGGGCCCAGCACGATGAGGGAATTCTTCCTATGGCCAGACGGTGAGGCCCTGCCTGCCTGGTCCAGGGTGCGGCTCCCACTGCTCCCACACCTGCCCTGCCAGGCCTGCCCAGATGGCACCCTTGCCCCCTTGCCAAATGCGGCAGTGGGCCTCAGGGAGGGCCAGCAGCCAGAGCCCTGCATGGGGAGACACTAACGGTCTTAAGCTCCCTGGGCCTCTCAGGGTCCTGCCTAAATCCCCATTCTCTCCTGCCCCCCACATTCACTTTCCACGGGGCTCGTTTCCCCTCAATCTTCTCATCACGGAAGTATTTCCACCCATTTCGTCAAACCTCACAACCCAGGCCCTCTCACAGGGTTCGGGTCCTCCCGGCACCAGCCACTGGGCTCCAGGAGAAGAAGAAAAGGGGGCCAGCCTATGGCACATCCTGGTCTGCAGTCCCTACCTCGCCTCAGAAAGTGACCCCAAAGCAAAGGGCCAAGAAGACCTGCCTGGATGAGAGGAGAGGAACAGAGAATCGAGACAAAACACCTCACAGAACAGAAACTCCAGATGAACAGGCCGGCTCACTGTTCAGGGACAGCAACCTGGGTTTAGGATAAGGGGCCCAGGGACCTAGCCTGTATTCGTCCTAAGGGAAAACTCTGGGATCCCCCCAACTCTGCTCTTAAACGAGTGGAGCTGCTCTCTCTCAATGGTGGGAGGCTCCAGGTCAGGGCCCGCAGAGACAATGTCCCTGCCCCTGAGCCAGTTTGGATGGCATCCTGGATCCTTCTCATCACACCCACTAAAGAAACCACAGATTGTGTAGCTCCTGGGAGATCCTGCTGGATTTCATTCCTGCCCCTACAGCTGACAAAGGAGTCAGACACCTCTTGGGCCCTAGGGTCTGAACAGCCCACAGATCACAGGGCCGACCCAGGTTGAGGAATGGATGCCCTCGGTGAGAAGAGGCTATGGATCATCCACGGTTGTGTGGATGCAGCCCCTTCCTTGCGGGTCTCTGTGGGGAAATGTACAAAAGGGAGCTGCCGTTAAGGGAGTCTCTGACCTTCAGGTCACCCTAGCAATGGGCATATTTCATTCACCCCTTTTTATGCCAAGCATGTCAGGCACGTGGGAGATACAGACATGAGAAGCCCATGGCTTGGGGGGGAGCCTGTTAGGCTATTCCAAGACTGCAGAGAGGAAGGCCAGGGACAGCTCAGGCCCATGTGCCAACGGGCAGTGGTCAGGGAGAAGGACACTAACTGGTCAATAGTGAGAACAAGGCCTAACGCTCCCTGTGCCTCACTGCCACCACCACCTCACATCGCCCAACAGTGGGCGACAATGAGGAAGGAGAGGAGCTGAAGGACGCGATGAAAGCACAGCCTCCTTCCGCTGGCTAAGGATCCTGGCCCAGGATGGGCAGTCATGCCCCATGGCAGGAACTAGGGGAAAAATAATTCACATTCCTGAGGCTTCTGCTCTGACCCCGACACATCTTTCTTATCCAGGAAATCGGGCAGAACGGCGCTCTCTCCACCAAAGGCTTAACACGGGAGCCAATGGATTCAGACAGCAACTTTGCTCTCCAATCAAATAAAACTGTGTTCTCCACTGAAGAAAGGGATTAGGCCCCAGAGCTGAGCTTCCAGGGTTGCGTGAGGCAGGGACAACAGAGCCAGAGCAGCCCACAGAGTCACTGTTGTGGAACTTAGGGCTAGAGGGACCTGGAGATGGCTTTCAGCTATCAAGGAGGGAGAAGGCTGAATTGGGGTTGGGCAAGGGATGGCTTCTCCACCAGAGCCTCTGAGGCACCGTGGATGTTCTCCAGAACAGTGAATGCCCAGCTTTCCCTTCATCCCATGCCTGCAGGTACCCCAAAGGCTCTGGCCTCCCTCAGAATGGGCCCGGGAAAGGGGAGGCCAGGAGGAGACAAGTGGGCTCAGCTGCTCAGCCCCTTCTGGGCAACAGGTTCTAAGCACTGACTGCCCCCTTACCTGGGGGGACAGGGAAGGAGTGCAGGAGTGGGCCTGCCTGGACCTCAGTGGTCAGTATCCTTGGTGAAGAGCTACATTCCGCTTGTTCTGGCTTCCTGAGAACAACAGTCCACCTGGCTCCAGTACCACACTGGGTAAGGCAAAGGCCAGCTCTTGCGGTAGCCACAGGGAGAAACCCCAGAGCCCCCCCCCCCTCTTCCTGGGGCTCCAGCACCTGCAGGGAGGCTTGGGCTCCCTGAGGAGGAGGAATGGAGCTCTGTGCTGCCTCTGCCCCGGGGGGAGGGGTCAGAGATCAAAGGGCAGGGAGGCCATAAACTGCCGTAGCGTAGGGTGGGGGGGGGGGTGCTCAAATTCCGTTAGAATAAAGCTCGCTGATTAGGCCCCGGGAGGAGGCGGAGGACTGAGATGGGGAGGGCAGAGCCCGTGAGGAAGAGGGCCACTGGTCCCGGGGCGATAACAGGGACAGAAGCAGAGTTTGGGGCACACGTCGCAGATTAGTCGAGAATTTGAACAAAGGTGGTTGAAGGCTCCGAGCCCCCGGGTCAAGGATTAAGATCTTGTCCGCCAGGAACCGTGACATTGAGGGGCCCAGACCGGGCCCCGGCCAGACCACCTTTGTCCCTCTTGAAAGCCCCAGACCTCCTACCACCTCTCCTCCCGGCCACCCCCGCCCCGGCGCAGCACTCACCCGGTCGCTACTGGCGGGGGGTCCAGAGATCCGCTCCTCGGGAGGGGGCGCTGGGGGGCCAGGGGTCTCGACCCGAATAAGGCGGTGGGGAGGCGAGCCGTGGCGCGGGGGCGGTGTGGGGCCGGGAACCGCGGCGGTGGCTGGGGCAGCAGCGGAGCTGGACGGCCCCCCAGAGTAGGGGTCTTCGAAGTCGCGCTCCCTCTGCAGCCGGTAGGCGGCCAGGATGTCCGGGGGTGGCGCAGGGGGCGCGGCCGGGGAGGGTGCGGGGGGACGGTAGTCCGGCTCCGGGGGCGCCGGCTTGCCCCCACCTCCGCCGCCGCCCCCCCCGCGGAAGCCCAGGTGCTCCCGGAGCCACTTGGCCACTCCGCCACTGCCGCCCCCTCCAGGGCCGGCTCCCGCTCCCCCGGCGCCCCGGCGCGACCCCCCCCGGGCCGCTCCCCGCGCTCCCCTGTGCCCGCTGCCCCGGGCCGGAGCCCGCCGGAGGAGCTCCGCTCAGTAACATGGGGCCAGCCAGACTGAGCGAGGGGAGCTCTGTGGCCCGGCGGGGGGCGGGGGCGGGGGCGGAGCTCCGCCGGACGGCGGGAGGGGGCGGGGTTCGTCAGTAACAAGGGAGGGGCGGGGTTCCGCTCCCTATCGGGGTCTACCTCCCCCTGCCAGGGAAGAGAAGACGGGGTGCGGGTTTCCAGCCGGGGTGGACGCACGAGAAGTAAGTGGGCGACCCCAAGGCAGGGGATGCGAATCCTGGACTGAAGGTGAATCCTCCACGTGTCCCCACACGTGCCCCTGTGGGGGCGCACCTGTCTCCATCTGTTCCCCCTCCCCAGCTCACGCGCGGCGCCTCACAATCCTGGTTTCCCAGTCCTTGGACGCCTACCGTCCCTCCCCTCCCTTCCCCCAAGGCTTCCTAACTGGGAAATATCCCAAGAGGAAAAGCTAGGGAGGGCGAGGGAAGGGGCTGTTCTATAAGATGTGTCTGTAACAATCCCCTCTCTTCTGTGTACCGTGGGAGCCCCACCTACCTCCTCCCATCCAACTGCTCCCACTGCATTGCTTCCCAGTCCAGGCAGGCATGTCTCACATCACAGATAATCAACTCTCTAGTGATACCCACTTCTCCCGTATCGTTTCCACACACGCCCTCCTTCCATGCAAACAGCCCTCACACGAACGCCTCGCACCCACCGGCGCAGCCGCTAGGAGCAGGCCCACCCGGCCCTGACGGCAGCGTGCACACACGCAGAAATCCCTTCGAGTCAAATCCCAGGTTTCATTGTCAATCAGGTTAGTGACAGAATAGAAACAGACAAGTCAATAAATCAAGTCTAGAAACAGTTCCAATGTTGTCTATCACAAAACCCTTATTCTCTCGAGGCTCGGATGCTCAAGCGACAGGCATTTTTGTCTTAGAAATAAAGCCAGTTTCCCCACAGAAATAGTGTAGACCCGAAGCAAACGCCAACATTTGCTTTTGGCTCTGCTGGGGAGGTAGCAGCTTCACGTCCTCATCATCCCCCTGGGCACTGCCTCAGAGTCTCTCTCACCCTTGGGCTCACATCTGCCATGGGAGGGAGCAAAGAGCCACATTAGGCCCCAAAGGGAAGGGGGCTCAGAGGTGGGGGGGGAGTAAGAGAAAGATGTGATGGCAAAACTGTGAATCCCCTAGGAATCCCAGAGCCCCCGTCTCCAAATGTTTGTTGGGTTTCTGCTTTGTGCCTATTCTAGTTGGCATCATAGGACAGTGCTTCTCAAACTTTAATGTGAACACAATCACCTAGGGAACTTGTTACTGCCGTTTCTGATTCTGTACATCTAGCTGGGGTGGGGTCCCAGACTGTAGTTCTAACAGGCTCACAGGTTATACAGACGCTGCTGGTCCCCACTCCCACCCCCAAACATACACACACGCTTGGAGTAGTAGGGTTGTAGGAAACATAGGAGTCCAACAGTTGCAGGCTCTAGCCTGATCTCTGGGCAAGGTACTCAGTGCAACCGATCCTCACTTTCCTGATATCTGCGGAGGGCATAATAAACTGTTGTGGGAAGATTAGGGGAGATGATGGACAATGAACAGGCTCTGAAACCTGTAAAATGCTTACAATGGTAGGTGTCAAATGAAGCCACGTTTGCTTAAGAAGTAGGGAGTTAAGCTGCGGACAGCTCAGAGGAACGGAATCAATCAAGTCTACACAAAAGATGGCAGGCTTCATGGGGCAGGTAGACCTGAGCTGGGTAGGATTTGGGCAGAAAAAGCAAAAGAGCAAAAGGTCACTCCAAGCTATGAGGTCAGCATGAGCTGAGCCAAGGCAATGAGGTAGGAAGTAGCATAAAGAAGGAGAGGATACCTGGTAGAAAAGAATAGAAAAAAGTTAGATGAGGAGGGAGGTGGATATCATAAAAGTAGAATTTAAATGATAATTTTAAAATTAATACCCTGTGTACACCTTGCACTTCCTGTTTTAAATTATCTGTTAATGTACTTTCTTCCCTCACCAGAGTGTGCACTCCTGGAAACAGGCTGCTGAGCACCTCATAGGGGCCAAGCAGCTTGCTAGGAACCCGGGGTCTAGAGGTGAGGTCATCACAGCAAGGCTCTCTGAGACTTGGGTGAGGTTTGCCAGATCCAAAGTCATCCCTTTTAAGCCATACACCATAAAATCAGGATTCTGTAGGGGAGCAGGGTCCTCCCATCTCTTAGCGTAGAGCCTGTCGTGTGGCAGGAGCTTAACAAATGTTGAAATGAATAAAGATCATTTCTCTTGTTCTTATTTTTATATAGCTATAATTGTGGTATACACAATTTTATGTCCTTATTTTTTTTCACTTAACGTCGCAGAGTTTCCCCCCATTTTTATTATGTAAGTTTTATTTTCTTCCAATTTTTTAAAAAAATGTCAAACCTACAGACAAGCTCAAAGAAAGTACAGTGGAAATCTGTATACTCTTCACCTAAATTCACTACTTTTTAACATTTTGCCATAGTCACTCTATCCCTTTCTCTTTTTTCCTTGACCGTTTGAAGCAAGTTGCAAATATCATGACACTTTTGCTGTAAATAATTCAGCAGCCATTTCATAAAAATAAAGAATTCTTCTATAGGGCCATTCGAACACGTCCACAATAGTGTTGTTTATTATGCAGTCCGTATTAAATTTTTTCCATTTTGCCAAAATGTCTTTTATATACATATTTTTTTTGTCCTGATTCAGGATTTAACCAGGGCTCTCCCATTACATTTGTTTGTTAAGTTTCTTTAGTCTTTTGAAATCTTGACCAGTTCCCCCATTTTATCGTTATTTGTTTTTCATGACATTGATTACTATGAAGCGTCCAGGGCAGTTGTCATGTAGAATGTCCCGCATTCTGGGTTTTTCCAGTCTCCTCCTGATTTGATTCAGATTAGATATTTTGGAAAGGACCACTACATAGGGGATGTTGTGGACTTCCCACTATATTACACTGGCAGGCTGGGAGCACATATTTGTCCCTTCATTGGTGATGCTGGGCTCGATCACTTGGTTAATTTGGAGTCCATCAGATCTTTCCTTTACAGTTTAAAGTAAGCTGCGGTGGGATATCCTGAGATATCCTTGATTATTTGCTCCCAACAGTGTTTTGCCCACTGGTTTTCAGCTTCCATTGATGATCTCTCCTTCTATTGGTCATGATGCTGGGGGTTGCAAAATGGTGACTCTAATTCTGTCATTTCTTTTGCATTTATTATCTGGCATTTTCTTGTAAAGAAGAGCTGCTGCTGCTTCTCTCTCTGCCTCTCTGTTTCTCTCTCTCCTCTCCATGGTCTCAAAAATTATTTCTCTATCTACCTATTCAGTGTGATATAATCCGTTACTATTATTACTCATTATTTTTTGATGCTCAAATTGTCCCAAATTTGGCCAACAGGAGGCCTTTAAAGAGGCTTCTGTGTCCTTTTGACTTGGTCCCATCAATCTTTGAGCAGTTAACTTTCTTACAGAAAATATTTCAGACTTATGCTTCCCCTGCTATAGACCTATAATCAGGCTTTTTTTTTTTTTTAAGGGAACCTTACTCCTTTTGGTTAGAAATAGGTATTTAAAAGTTGACTTAATACTTCATTTATGTACTTTTGATACTTTAAAAAAAACTATTCAATATATCATCAAATGAACATATTTTATTTTGGTTCAATCTTACTTTATTTGTTGAGCATTCAGGATATTTGCACTCTCTTCCCTTCTAAATAACCCTGTAATAAACATCTTTATGCAGATACCTTTTCCAAGTTTAGGATTATTTCCTTTAGCAAGATCCCCAGAAATGGAATTACTGGGGCAAAGGGTGTACATTTTTTTTTTCTGACTCTTGATAGACATTATCTAGTTGCTCTCATAGAAGGTTTTTAAAGTGAACAATGACTTCTAAGTGTCAAACCCAATGATTTTATCTTATTCCTCTTTCTTTTTTGCAGCACCTGAATCTTCTGATCTCTATCCCTGAAACCTCCTTCTCCCACACTTTCCTTAAATGACACTATTATGATTCTCCTCCTTTCTTTCAGGCCACACCCTCTTCCTCCTTTAACCTCCTACATTTGTGCTTGTCCCAAGGCCTAGTCCTTAGCCCTTACTTTTCTTAGTGGGTACTAAGTGGGGTGTCCTCACTTCTGTTTGTCTAAATTTGGATGCCCAGTCCTCTCCTGAGTTCTGATCCCTTCTGGGTTTTGCCTTCTTCTAAGACTGGTCCTTGTCTTCTGTCTCCAGCCTTGCCTCAGGCCCATCTCTGTTCACAAACTTAGTACACTCACACATGCTCTCTGTTCTTTGAGATTCTAGATAGAGATGGAGTTTCATTTGGGCCAAGTTTTCTATTTGTCTGATATGAAGATAACATGTATTTGAAAGAATACAACGTAAGGTACAATCATGAAGTCCACTTCACTCATTTATGGACTCCATAAGAAACCTCTCTTCAAATATTTATGGAGAGGTTGTATGCTTGGAAAATATACATAGGAAGATTCAGTTCTGCCTTTGATTAACTTGAATTTTCTAACTCTAGAGGCCTGTAATTTAAGTTTGATCCTCATAATAAGATATCAGAGAGATGGAAGTGAAGGGTCTCCAAATGGACTACCAGGTCAAGTCCCTCTTCCCAACCCCAAACCTAGGATGCTACCCTGCCCTTCCAATGTGAAATCAAAATAGGACTGCTTCTCAACAGAGCCCAGGCTCCCATCCAAAGGTTTTTATCAGCACAATAAGGAATCTGTTTCCTCTATCTCACCTGCCCCAGCCAGGATCCAGGGCCTAGGGAGAAAAAAGACAGGATGGGTGGGGAGCTATGCCCTCCCGCAATGTGTACTCTTCCTTGCAAAGGGAGATTGCCTATTAGTGCAAATATATCACCTCAAGTTCTGCCTGACTTCTGCGGGTGAGGGCAAGGAAGGGAAGAAGTCATTTGTATTATGCAAGAAGGGGGGGACATATTTTTATACATATATGCTATATAAATGTTTGTTTATAC